AACGGGTCGCTTGGGATCAATCTTCCTAACGACATGGTCGATTATGCTGAAAGGAAAAGACTATGAATAGATCAGCTTTCATGCACCAAACTATTGAAGGGTCCCTGTCAGATAGTAGAGACAACAACAGCTCCATCTCGGATTAATTAGAGTAGCCAACTCAGCACAGACGCTGACTCAGTCCTGGGCGTATATCAACTTTGAGTGATGTATTCGTTTTTGACCGTCTACTGACATTGTTCTCAATATCTTCTTCGCTCTGATCCATCGCGTGAAAGGGGCAGGGAATGGTCATTGGCACCTTCCTTCATTTGCCGAGACCGAGAAAGTGATAAGGCTGAAAGGTGGTCGAAAGCGGTTAGCGGGGACCACTAATGGTATCTTCAAATGACGCCCTGCAAGATTTTGCAACAGAGTCAACCTTTCACCCCGCAACTCCACACAACACGCTCTCGCACAGTACGGTCATGAGCGAGTACGTGACTTTCTCATTCTTCTTTACTCTCACTGAGTAGTGTCGGTGGCTTGCATCACTCGCTACTGAAGAGCCAGCTAGACTAGACTCGTGAGCCAGTCATAGAAGCTTCAACCTCGATTTCGAAGACTTCCAGGATACGAGATCCATCCTCGAGACTCCGACGCTACCTATTGAAGTACCCTCTATTGTCGCACCAATAAAGCCTTTGGTGCAACTAAGTCATACTTTAACAGCAAGGAAGGTCATCACTGTCACAACATCCGTTCTACCTTCTTCAATTGAAGACCAAGTGGACCATGTCATCCTATCGCCCAAATTACGGTCACCAACCGGCTTCGTACCACAATGTCCCTCCACCTCCTCCACCACGCGACATGCCTCCTCTTCCCCCCGGCCCATCCCCGCCATACGACTCATACCGCAACAATGATTGGAGGCCTCAGGGCTTCAACACATACCCACAGACTGGGTTTACGTTTCGGAACAATGATGGTGCGCCCCAGTATCCCCGGGAGTCAGACTACAACAGAAACAACGGGCCCAGACCATATGCAATGCAGGAAAACAGTCGGCCGAGACCGAGAGATCAACATAGGGATAATAGGAATCTAAACCGCCCTCGAGGAGCTCACAACTTCCATCGTGGACGTGGCAATTACGGCAGTTACGTCGCTCCATCTGATCGCCCATTGCTTCGACAACGCAATGAGACAGGCTCGGAGGAATTACTTGGCATGACAGAGGAGCAAGCTAGCATCAGGAGATATATGCCTGCAGAAGATATCTCTGACAGCGATGATGAGCCCATGGACGAGTCTGACTCAGACGCAGACGACGCAGAGCATAACGGCGACGGATCAGTTGAACCGCCAAAAAAGCGCAGAACTGTTGGCTCGGGCAAGCGTCACGGCACTGATGGAGACAGTGAGCCCAAGTGGTCAAATCCAGATCCATACACCGTTCTGCCTCCAGTCGATGAAGAGGCGCGCAAAAGAAAAGACGTTGTGAAGCTTATACGCAAATCCGACCTCCATACCGGTGCAAAGGCATCACAACATAACCAAGTGGCTGCTAATGACGACTTCATCTCTTTCGGGTTTGAAGATGATAAAACTTCGATTCGCGATGAGGTGCCTCCGAGCCCAAGCCCTGTTGACCAAGATGATTACGGCATTGGTGTGCCTGGAGCGCCATCAGGACCTCGTCAGCAGTTCAGTCATCTTGAAAACCTTCACGGCCAAGCCTCGGAAGATGCTCCCGGGACCCATAGCAAAGCCGAGACCGCCAGCAGCCTGGGTCCGCCGCCTACCTTTTTTGAGACTGGCCCCCTCGTCCCAGAGGAAATTGGTCTTGATACACAGCTGTCACGCGGGACAGAACATCCAAAGGGAGGCAATTCATCTGCCTCCCTCCCATACGATGACGGTGCATTGGGGAATCGCAAGAGGACCCATAACGACGAGATCAAGGGTGAAAAGATCCGACCTCGTAAGAAGGCTGGTTTCGGACAAGCAAATGGGTCCGTTCTCTCCGAGTGGGTGCCAGGCCAAGAAACAGATCCACTTCCTTGGCTCCGTCGATCGGACACAATAACAGCAAATGCAGGTTTCAGGTCAGTATTAGCAGGAGTCATTTTACAGAAAGGCATAACGAATGTATACAGGCTCCACAAGGAAATCTGCGACTTCTACGAATTCGTTCGGCCTCGAAAATTCGAGCAAATTGTTCGCCAGGAATTATTGACCCGCCTACAAAATGTCGTCAGCAGCCAGGTTCCCAATTGCAATGTTCACTCCTTCGGGTCCTTTGCCGCTGGCTTATACCTCCCTAATGCCGACATGGATGTTGTCGTGATTTCCAACAGCTTTCGATCCTCAGGACAGAAGGTTGTTTGCCAGACCAAAAAACAATTGTTTCGCTTCGGTGATTTCATCAAGTCTTCCGATATAGCTCAGCAAGGCACTGTGGAAGTCATCGTTGGCGCCAAGGTACCATTGGTCAAATTCGTCGATCAGATTACTATGATCAAGGTAGATGTGTCCTTTGAGAATAACACCGGAGTCATAGCCAATGATACATTCGCCCTCTGGAAGAAGCAATTCCCAGCGATGCCACTACTTGTTATGATCATCAAGCAATTTTTGATGATGCGAGGTATGAACGAAGTGCAGCACGGTGGCCTCGGTGGCTTTTCTGTGACGTGTTTGGTGACAAGCCTTCTGCAGAACATGCCTCGCGTACAGAGCGGAGAGCTGATTCCCGAGCAAAACCTGGGGGAGATCCTGATCGAGTTCCTAGATTTCTATGGCAACCAACTTGATACTACGCGCACGGGCATTACAATGGATCCGCCTGGATACTTCGACAAGGTATGTGATATCATATGTACGATCCAATGTCTTTTAACATATCGTGTGCAGATCGCCTATCAGCGTCCTAACCTCCGAGGCTCTGTGTATCATGCAAACAAAGCTGATCGTCTTGCCATTATTGACCCGAACAAGCCTGACAATGACATCTCAGGTGGCTCCAAGAATGTAATGCAAATATTTCATCGTTTCGCCCAGGCGCACCATGAAATACTGGAAGCAATGAAAACTCCCAACCGTCCAAGTCTCCTCGATTGGTCGCTTGGAGGTGATTACGAGTCTTTTGTGTGGCAGCGAGACCATCTGCGACGCTTGTATAGGCTGCGATGGGGAACCCCAGAAAAAGACGTTGTGTAAGCACTCTCCCTCCTTGGCTCGTGACGTTGTCTGAGATGTCTCTAAACTAGAGACATGTCCGATGATCATATCGGAGCAGACGTGCAATGGTATGGCAACGTTTGGCCATCGAGTGGGATGCAAGGCACCGCAACCGCAAACATGCACAATACTGGAGATGCGACGTCGATAAGCAGTGTCGTAGCCGAACCTCCCCATTCCGATCACCCCTCCAATGCAAAATCAAGAAAAAAGGCTAAACACACAGGTTCAACTCCAACCTCGAAGAAAGCTGCAAATGTCTCTACCTCGACGCCAGCAGATGTGAAGGAGTTTAGAAAGGAACAAAGCAGCGCGGCCAGAGCTACTGCGTTACGAAAGAAGTTCCCAACTATGCAGAATATACCTAACAGCATAACTCCAGGTCTGAGGAAGAAGCTCATTCTCCGTCACACGCAGAGTGCAACCAATCACTCAGCCACCAAGGAAGGACCCAAAGATGCGAGTACAGTACCTACCACCCAACCTGCGAAGAGCATCAAGGCCACGAACGATGAAAAGCAGAGAAACAGGGCCGCCTTACTCAAGCAACAATATCCGGATATGGAAGGAATTCCCCCTAAGATTGGCAAGGGAACTAAAAGGAAATTGGTCGCACAGTACAGTGCAAGAACATCGGCATTGGCGCCTGCAGCGACAATGCCCACATCTTCTGGTACAGCAAAAAGAAATGGTCCTCGTTTGAACGACCTGCCGACACGACCTGTGCCTCTTGCCTCGACCTCAGGTACAAACCCAACATACAAAATTACTCCTCTTCACGAAACACCTGCTGATTCGTCAGCAACCTCCGACCCGAGGTCTCAGAGGCCGACATCGTACAAAATGGCACCATTGACCGAGGAGAGACGCGCAGAGGTTGCCCGCAACCTCGCAGCCGGTTCCAATAACGACCCCGTCATGATTGACTGAATCAGCCCACTTGTATTCTCTACAAACAGGATCTCGCTTTGTCGCATTGTTATGGGATACGATCAAGATGGAATGGCTATGGTGTATGGTGACGGTGTGTATTATGACTTTGAAGAGGCTGGACACGACAAGAAGAGCAGAAGAGACTTTTCGTTCTTTACCCTCATGTTGAGCAAGTTATCATATCCGGCGTAAGCTTACAGGACGCATAGGTACGGCGCTTGCGACGATACCCCGTTTGCATAGATGGCTCCAAATCCAATGCTCCCTCGCTTGCCCATGGGCACTGCTATGGCGATGCACGATGCGCTTGAATTGCTAAAAGCATGCATAGATAGACTCTCTTCCACTATGCCTTGCGCGCTTGATTGTGACTACATGTATGAGGTTATGAAGAACTGCGTTGCTTCGACTACAACCATTACCTGCTAGAATGGCGCAAAGTACTACTGATCGCTCCTTCTCCTCTAGACACTTTTTGGACACTGGGGGCTCAACCGAGGAAAGAGACAGCGATGTCGTCAAGACCTCTGGTCTTCATGCCATCATTGCCTGTCGGCCTCTTGCATCTCAATACCTCCTTCGGGTCGTTAGCATTAGGCAGACCGGCAGTGACGACTGGAGACTTCTTTCTCAGCGCAGGGCCCGCTTCATGCGGGCCTGTGGAGAGGATTGGGAATGAGCGGAGCGGTGTGATGGATGGATGTGTGTATGTGTGTATGCAGACAATCGTGAAGGTGCGAAATCGATCTTGACAAACGAGAATAGGACCTCGAGCAATGGGGACGTGCAATTTCATACCGGAATGGAGACGAAATGACCACGCACATCCTAGTCGAGTAGCCATGTTTTCATGGTGAGATTCATCCTGTGCCGGCTCAGTGAGCACTTGATATGATCGTTCTGGTTCAGTAGGCACGACTTCAGCCTGGGGAGGAAGAAAGGATTGATTGAACGTAAGTTGAGCGATGCATTCATCGTGTGTGTGAATGATGTGAAGGAGAAGGAGAAGGAGGAGGAGGAGGAGGAGGAGAAGGAGAAGGGGAAGGAGAAGGAGACGGAGACGGAGACGGAGAACAGTGACGGAGACGGAGAAGGAGGAGAAGGAGACGGAGAGGAGAAGGAGAGACGGAGGAGGAGAAGGAGACGGAGACGGAGAAGGAGACGGAGAAGGAGACGGAGAAGGAGAAGGAGAAGGAGAAGGAGGAGGAGAAGGAGAAGGAGAAGGAGAAGGAGAAGGAGAAGGAGAAGGAGAAGGAGAAGGAGAAGGAGAAGGAGAAGGAGAAGGAGAAGGAGAAGGAGAAGGAGGAGAAGAAGAAGAAGAAGAAGAAGAAGGATAGAGTGTTTTCAAATGCATGATCCATTGTTGCCAAGATCATCTCATCCATCCATGCTATCGTATCGTATCTCTCTGAGAAGTAGTAATGTAGGTATATACAGAAAAAGCACCAAAGGTGCAAACAGGGGGTGAGCTCAAGATCAATCCAGCTGATCGAGCACGAGGAGAAGCCTTCCCTCAACTTTTCAAACAGTGAGGTGGTAGAAACACACGCTTGGTCGTACATAAGGTATATCCGTCGCGAACAAATGCCCGAATCGCCTTTCTCCGATATGCTCGCAACGATGGTATCGAAATCGCACAGTCAGAATGCTGGCACTAGCCTGTGTCCCTTGCGGGATTCTTTCTAGTCAATTAAAGTCGTAGTGAACGTCTCTTCAGATCCCTGCCAACAAGAAATCCACAAAACATGTCCGAGGAAATGACGCAACTCTCCAATCTAGGGCGACGAATTGCTTTCAGCACCACGTCTCGTGCATTTTCAAAACATCACAGCGCTCGCGGGCACATCCTTTTGCGCTTGATAAGGGAAATGCTGCTCCAAGCCGGGACTCTGAACCTCAAAATTGGGCACAGCCGGACTCGGCGCTTGCAGCGCTGCCTGCCTAGCAGCCTTCGCGTTCAAGCCTCCCTCACTACTTGTTTTCCTTAGTCTTTGCCTCATCTTGCTTGATGCAGTTGGTTCATCGTCTGCTGAGAACGTGCTGCACTCCTCGTAGGGGTCATCTTCTCGATGACTAGGCGTTGGCTCCGTGGAGGTCGTTTCGAGGGGCTTTTCGGTCCGACCCAGGGCTTGGAGGAATGTTTGAGTGCGCTTTCGGCGAGAGTCGCGGACGGGAATGGGAGGTGGTGGGCCACGAGTGGGGCTGGGTGCATCCATACCGTTGGAGAGGCTGGCGCCTGGTGGCAGATTGACGGTATCAACGGAAGAGGTGCAGGAGACGAAGGTGGGTTCGGATATGTCTTGCTTGTTTACAGAGCGTTTGCGGGGATTCCCAGGGCGGTTGTATGAGAGACTAGCAGAGCTCTGAGACGGGATCAATGTTGACGGAGAGGAGGTCATGGACGAGGTAGAAGGCCGACTCTCGTTCGATGTGGCTGTAGATTCTGCGCGAGGCCGATTTGGATGTACTGTTGGAGAACGGGAGGGTGTCTTAGGATTGATCATGTAGGGAGTGCCCGGCGGAGGCACACGAGAAGATTGCTTGGGGTTGATCATGAACGGAGTGCCCGGTGGCGCGGCACGTGGCTCGAAATATGATGGAGTGACAGGCTTGCTATTGCTTCGAAGACGGCCTCCCATTGCAGACTGTGATCGCTCTGTGGGCGACATCGGAAGGTGTCGAGACATTGCTGACTGTGATCTTCCGGCTGGCGGCAAGCCACTGCGGGGCATGCTATCCACCACTCCATCTGCGGGTCTTGCGGCATTCTGTGCCTCTCTTGGCTCGTATCCTGTGGCAGCCGTGACTGGATGGGATCCATTGATACGATTCCGATCCACGCTCGGCAATGGGGCGCTATCTTTCCCTGGCTCAAGTCGTTTCTCGGAGCTATCAGAGTATGAAGAGCCTGACTTCGATGAGGGTGACGATATCCTTTGAGCAAGATTCTCCTGACTTCGGCCACTGTTGGGCAATCGTTGTCCGGAGCCCGGGCTATTATCTGAATGCTGACGGAGATCTTGAGGTCGTCTTGGTGGTGGCGAAGTTTTCTTGCCTAGTGGCATGGCCCGGTCATGGAATTGGCCGCGTCCCATGAACATATCTGGCGGAGGCTGTGGTGCATCATGGCCGGCCTCTCCTGGTCTGATTCCCAGCATCTTCATGGCCTTTGATGGCCGCTCTTGCTTTGCAACCAGAGAGCCTCTGGAGGTCTTTTTCAGTATTCCAAATGGATGTCTTGGCCTTGCGAGGCCATCTTCTTGAGGCCGAACACCGGGCGCTGGGCTGGGAGATCTACTGTTATCCTCGACATAAGTCTTGAGGTTGTCTTGAACTCTGCGTCTCCTTGCCGCCATCTCAGTGGCAAGACCTTCACGCTCTTGTTGCGTCTCGGTGCTTCCAACACGTGCGTGGTGAGCCTTCAGCTGGTCTTGCCAGGAGGTTGAGTTATCTCGAGAATGGCTGGACCGAGGAGCTTCACCACCCAAGAGCCGCTGCGCTTTGTCGTTGGTCAGCACTTGCTGCGCCTTCGGATTTTGTTGATTATGCCTTAACGCCGTTGCCTGTTGCAGTATATGTCGAGCGGCAAAAGACAGCGGTGGTGGCGCCACGATACTACTTTGCTCAGACCCCCTTCTCTCCTTGACCCAGTATTCGCCATTTACACCACTGTCATCCTTTGATCCTTGTCGTGAATGGTTAAGCGCCGATTCATGACCAAATATGCTTTGGCGAACCTCGACGGGAAATCTGTCTGGTCTGGGAGAGTCCTCAGGGTATATAGAGGATTGGCCACTGTCATTACGCAGATGTGCGTGTACGAGGCCACTCAGTCCATTCGCAACACGCACTGGGCCCAATGTCGGAGAGTCAGCGTCAATCCCATTCGGTTCATTGCTTTCCTGAGGCTGGGTTATCGTTGATTCACTCAGGTGACTCCGACTATCAAAGGCGCTTTCTTCGGCGGGCGGCGTGAGATGATTAGCTTCAGGATCGAAGTTGAGCTGTTGATCAAGCGAGACGGGCTTTGCCTGCGACATAGGATGTGAAAAGCTTTGGGAATTTGATTTAAATGATGATATCGGGGAATTTGATTCGGCCTCTGATTCGCTTTCAGCGACATCGCTGCTGCTCCTTCCAGCCAGGAAGCTTTGCTCCATAGTTGTATTGGTGTGATGCTCGTCGACGGGAGGTGAGCTGCCTCTGCTCCCTCTTTCTGGAACAGCCCTCAGCACACGGTCTTCTCTGTGGTGCTCCCATGGCTGTTTGACCGACTCGGTCCTTGAAAAGGTGCTTCCGATGGAATTATTGCGGCTGCGGCCGGTTGTCTGCTCGTCAATGGAGAGCGCCTGTGGGGAAAAGGGCCGTATGAGCTGTGGACTGGGCGTATTCCGGCCTTCGAGTAACTGAATCTGTCTTTCCTTGTACTGCCGATCGTCGTATTGCAATTTCGGTTTGTTGAAAGCCCCAGAAGCAGTAGCCTTGCCGAGGTCATTAGGCTCCAGCGCGGCCAAAAAGGTCGTATCATGGTTGTTCGGATCATGGCTTGGGCTCATGGGTGGGCTCAGTGGAGGAGATCTGCCACATCCAGAGTCCGCGAGATTGCTAACAGCTTGATCAGGGACGAGACCCAAGTCGAATTCTTCCATTCTAGATGGCGTGCCAGACGGAGGTGGACTACCGGCGCGGAACCCATTGGATGCGTACAGCGGTCCTCCACGTTGATAGCGATCATTCAGACCGGTAGCGCTCCTCGACTGCTGAAGACTTCGTATTGCGGGGCCACCCGCGATTGAACGCGGTTTGTTCAGTGACTCAAGTCTATGCATTGCGGAAGACTGTTGTTCGTGCAAGTGCTGATCGAGATCCTGCCTATACAACCTCCTGGTGGCCTTAGGGATAGGGCGGTCCGAGCCAGCTGAGCTCGGTTGCGTGGACGGTGATAAGGCATGAGCAGAGCTACTCATGTTTTCGTAATAAATGGATCTCTGAGAGGCAACAGAAGTCGCAGCGGTGGACGTTCGAGGTTGGGATCGGCCGGAGTTAGTAGAGGACGAGGTTTCTCGGTTTTGATTGTATTTTGCAAGTGGCGGCGAGCCGTCACGATCCTGCTCTTTCGACGACCGTAATTGTTCCAAGCTCGCTCTCTCCCGTTCTTGCCTCTCCTCCTCTCGAAGCCTCTGAAAGGCGGACGTAGCGATGTCACTTTCGTACAGCGCCTTTCCACCCATGTTCACACCTGACGGCAGCTCTTCATCGTCTTTGGCTCCGAAGTGCTTCACAGATCCTGCACCTCCAACAGGTATCTTGTATATCTTTTGCCGGCCTCCAAACATAGTGTTGCCCTCTCCAGGCCTAGACCTGCTCATGACGCTGCCATCGTCTGTGTCGTAACTACCAGAGCCATACGACTCTGTTCGTATAGATGCGAAAGGGGGGCGTACGGTCCCATGAAGGGAGTCCACCTCTGTTACATAAGAAAGGCCGTGCCCCTTGAACAAATCCAGCCGCGACGCTCGCTTCGGGAAGAGCACGCTGTCATCGTTGGCTTTTCCTATCTTGGACGATGGGTCATCTTGTTCTCGAAGCATACTGAATCTGGCGGACAGATTTGGCATGAGAAGACTTGTGCGGAAGTCTTCTGAGGCCGGCAGCGCGGCTGATATGTTTATTTCGGGCTTGGGTTGTGGTGCGACCTTTTTCTTTCCCCCCCATCTCATCGACGCAAAGGATTGTAGTGGTGGAGCTGGAGGGTCGGAGTCGAGCGAGGGTCTTCGACTCCCTTGACCTCGTTCGGGCGAATTCTTCCTTGATCGAAAGCGTTTCATCGTGACTGCTGCGCTTGTCGTCTATTGCAACTCTGTTGCCGATGCCAATGGTATAGTCAAACTATCAGAGGGTGTTTTGCATGGGTAGCTGACCGAAGATGATACATGTGATAATGTCTTTTAGACGCTGGGCTGTTTCAAGCATCCAATTCTGTTGTTTGTAGAATATCCCCTATCGTCTTCCCCGTGTCACCAAACTGGATCCAATGCTGCGGTAGACTGCAGGGTATGGCCAGATGCGCAGACTGCAGGATATATCGTGTGATATCAATCGAGATGTGAGCTTGATGACTCATGCAGTGAATGGTGCTGTCCAATGTGTATGTGACTCGTGGGTGTTGGAAAAAGATCGGCGAGACTGGCTGTTTTCTTGGACGCGACTTTGGCAAATTCCTCGAGGGAGAAATTTCCTGTGAGTTTGGTGTTTGCCCAGGAGCCAGTCCTCGACGGTGAATGGACGGAGACGATTGAGATGGAAATTAACGAGCGTCGTATAGGGAAGTATACAGGGAAAGTCGTGGAGATTGGGAAAATTGATGAGTCGCAAATGGGTTTAGAGTGGCCGGGGAGGCGGATTCTGGTAGTGGCTGTAAGCGCGTCGCAACCTCCCAGTGGTGCCAGCAACCTGGTACGTGTTCAAGGGGCGTTTTTTGTGATTCGTTTTCTTTGCCGTTTCTCGCATATGAATCATCAAGGGTACTCGGTAGAGTATTATATCACGGGTCAAGGGTCAACGGCCAAGGGTAGACGATGGCGTTGGCTGGGTGAAGGCTGAATACTTGGCCGTGGATGAGAGGAGTGGGAGCTGCGCAATAAAATCTGCAATAATTCCAATAATCCCAAATTCTAAAAACACGAACATGTTTACTTTATGTAACATTCCCCACAACAAGTACACTCGCAAAAGATTATTCCAATCTCAGGGGCATGAAGAAACCCTCTCCAAGACTTCCTCTAGCCTCTCGCTTTCCTCGCCACAATTCGAGACCTCCATGATCTCATCTTTGGAAAAGAAAAAAAAGAAAAAAAAAAAGAGAAAAAAAAATAGGGGAACCCCCCAGAATCAATGTACGGGATGATCCGATTGGCTTCTTTTCCCCGGGGACCCTGCTGTGCCTGAGACGTTAGCGCTAATCCCTGACCTCCCCCGGCCCCGAACTCGCCAAGAGAGACGGCGTTTGTTTTAGATCAAAATTGATGTCTTCCATGACCAATAGAAACTCTGCCGAAAGTCGTTAAACATCATCTTTTCACGTGCCTATCCATGTGTTCGGTCACATCAAGCTTTTCTCTAGACTTGGAGATCATCTATGGCTTCATCGTTTGCCAGGGGGATTCAAGAAACCATTTGCCACGAGGCGGAGTTTGCTCCGAGTCTCACGATCCCGTGTACGGTATGTTTGCTTTGCTTCCACTCGAGTGGTGATTCATGTGAAATTGAAGGAAACCCAAAGAACGGAAAATGAAATCCCTGACAGTGTCCGGCATGATTCTTTGGGTCTGAGCGTCAGTGACTTGTCATCTCTTTTGCTGCATGTGCTCTGCTTCCCTTGCTGGAAATACCTGCGAGAGAAACAGAGAAAAAGTAAGGGAACCTTCGTGGTCAGCTGTCACAATCGACCTTGCATATGTAACAGCTTTCTCATGCAGAACATCCATGGTCGCATGTAGATCATCAATTCGATGCGCGCAAATGGCTAGTCAAGTCCCACAATCCCACAATCCCACAATCCCACGTCACGACGAACATTGGGGTAACTGTGCAAGTGCTTGACCAGCTAGCGAAGATGTGGAGAGTTACAGACACGGAGATTTGGAGATACATCTTCATCGTTGAGCATTGAATGGCCTCCATTCTTGAAAGACTATCTCACACATTTGGGATTGGTGATCCTTTTTCTTCCACATCCGCCATCTCTTTCTGCCAACTGCTCCACTATTTAACCGTACAGGTTCCGCACTACAAGTGCCACTTCCGCTCTGCCATCCGCGAGTTCATGCATTAGATCCATACTCCCTCCCACAGCTTCAACAATCAATACCTAGAAACACCCACGACTTTTCCTTTAATTCTCGTGGTATCCACCCCCAACCGCTCAAAGAGCCCCTCAGCCCTTCCCCGCATTTAGCCACGCAACGCGACGCTCGGACTCACAGAACATGCTTGCGCAAACGTCCTGACGAAGATGTTGTGAATCCTCTTTCACCGCCCGGACTGGCTTTGAGCCTAAAGGCCGGCAGACCAACAGGAAGACTGTTGACCGAGACTCCTGTATGTCATTGGAGACAAACTACTGGTCTCTCTCCTGATGGAATATCTTTTCGTTGTCCCCTCCTCTGCTTATTCGCGCTGATTCTTACCGCCGCGCGACTGAAGGAAGACCTCATCTCCATCCGTTTGTCTTTTGGCTTTGCTCAACACAACACTTCCGATCCAACCACCTCACATATTCCACACATAGCGTATCCACAAACCTCCAAAACACATCCGAAGCCCACAAACAAGCATGGTATAGCCAATCCCGAACCCCCAGGAACACAGACAAAGAAAATACCCCAAACACCAGCTTCATCTTATCCACGCACAGTATTCCAAATGGGGCGGGTAATGTGTCAAACAAAGCCTCCATCAAAGGTCCGTGTACGAGGTAGAGAGCAGATCCAATGATCCTGGATCGGCTCCATAGCGAAGACCCCTTTCGTAGTGGAGGCAGATGGTGGCAGGCGACCACTTTTTGCAGCGATGCGATCTCGAATCACGGTGTTGCTTTCCAGGCAATTACGAAATCGTAGCCTCGAGATTGATAGGGTTCCGGAGACGGACCCTCCATCCATCTGAATCCGGGGGCTTTGTTCGTGTCGTGCTCAGTGCCCAGCTCGAAAAGAGGACCACATGATCCCTATGAGTGCTGCAAGACGAACGCCCCATGATGATGAACAACGCCATTGACCTTGCCATTTCGACCAGGAGATCCAAATATGTATGTCATATTTGTGTGGGAAAAGCATCCGAATTCCACGGCTGTGTGATGCGCTCGAATGCGTCACTATAGTCTGTTAATTGGGCTACAATACCACCCTCAACGACTGATTACCCACAACATCTGGCAGTCAACAAGGACGAGCTTCATGAGTATAGAGAGAAGTGCGAGTGGAGAGAATCGAAGAGCGCGCCGGATTAGAAGAGGAGACTGGACATCTCCGGGTCGAGATCTTGAGGATCTTTGACGGATCAACTTTCCTCCGAGATGCGGAGCCTTTCGTGTGAGTCCATTAAGATACCTGTAGCCAAGACTCTGAATCTTAGACACTCAGGTCCATTATTCTTCTAGTAAGACAACAAACGTCCTACCAAATATATCTCCGAAGAAGCAAGATAAGAAGGGCGAGATCAAAGCAGAAAGAGATCAGAAGAAGCTAGACTTAGCAATCACACGCCACCTCGAGTTCGTCGTGCATATCCCCTCTGCCGTTCAGGATGACGACGATATTGCTCAAGAAGCTATTTCTTCAATAGCACAAGCCTTGAAAGAAGCAGTAGAGCACACAGTGGAAGGCAGAGGTCAGGGTTACGGAAATCAAAGCGCAGTCGATATACTTCAACAGAGCCAGCTCCTAGAGCACCATTCAACCCAAATCGCAGACTTACAAAAACACTCGCAATGACAGACCCGGCAGATCGAAGACCTGCGTACCCAAGTCCGACAACTTAGTGACGCCTCACTTGGGCATCTCGACATTTGCCGCAGATTCTTAGATGTTTATCGACGGGACGTTCAGCAGATCATCAACACTGGACACAGGATTCGAACCAGAAAGGCACGTGCTCATCACGGCGATTGCGTGACAGATGCGGAGCTATACGCAAGTGGAAAACGAGAAGATGACTATCTCTTTGTCCTAATCTACGGACTTTCACACAAGAAAGTCCAACAGCTGGCACTTCACAAGAACCACACTGCGATCCGTGCATTGATTGACTATGGCACAATGGAGGCCGATTCAGAGATTCGGATACCCGATCTTGTGAAGACAGCTTTCATACGCTTCTGCTATCAGCTTTGCGACAGTCCGTCGAAGAGCTTATATTACTATGATCAGGGTGACCCTTACAGAAGCCACTGGAATTTCACGCTCAAGTTTCAACAGTGCAAGCATGATCGAAGAGCCGCCGAACGCACAGCTCGAAGAGAGCGCGACCAGAAACTATCGCTTGACTCTAGCTGAGCTTCCGCGATCTACAAAACATTACAGACTGCCACCGACACATCCTGGGCTTCGCCATTGAACCATACCGTGTTCTCACTTGATCAAGCGCTTGTAAAGGCAATTGACTCTCGCATCATGACGATCTAACTATTCACGCTTATCCAAGCCTCTGGTCTATAGGCGCACTTCTCAAATATTCCGCATACTCAAGGGTTCTTGGACTTGTTTAAGGGTCCCTGGACTTATTCAAGGGCAACATGAGACGGATCGAGGGTTCGTGCCGCTGCTTCCGTCCAGGCGATGAACACGACCTTCGTATTTGTCTGGTCTGCCTTAATGTTGATCTCTCTGGGGATATCGCATGTCGCAGCCATGACCAATACAAGTGCTCACAGCTGGATCCATGAGTGTTAAACGGTCATGCGCACGATAAATCACTGGCTACGCATGCCGCGTCGAATATGCAGTCAGCAAGGAATTCAGATGGGAGGAGCATTTAGATCTCGTCTCTCACGCTGTTCTGGCTATGTCAAGAGGGTTCAAGCTTCAGTACCTTGCTCTTCTGGTGGAAACGGACACTAAAGATCCTACCAGAGGACATTAGCTCGAAGACAATCTTGGAACTCAATGTTGAACCCCGTATCGCCGCTTTTCTTCAGCATAGCTTTGACCACTTCAGCTAGTTTCATACCGCTCCCGGCTTCTATCCATCTCACCGAACCTGGTCTCGCTGTTGGGAATGTCTCTCTGAACGCAGATGTACCAGATCCACGCTTCAGCATATCTCCCATATTTGAAGTCCCGCTTCTCCCAACCGACCCTTGTCTTGTGAATTTCTTGTACTTTATGAGTGAGATCGCCTATGGAGACTTCACCCAGCGACATCCACCCAAGACGTACAGAGTTCCCGGCTACGATGAAGTCGAGATCGTAACCGGGACTGCTATGACCGCGCGATTCCTTATCTGGGGCGCGTGGCTGGCGATGAAGTACATGATTAACAACAGTCTATTCCGTAATGCGCTCTGGACACTCAGGTGGCAACAGACTATACTTGGCACCATCAAGATCCAGGCATCCACACCTCGCCTCGGTCTTCCAGGTAGCAGCAATGTTCAGCGATTCGGCACACCATCCACCGAGAACGGCACGACGAACCCCGGAGCAACCATCAGCGATCCGAACATCTCCAACCACTCCCTCGACGCGCGGTTCGTCGTGTCCATCGACTCCTTCGCCGACGGCAAACCTCTCACCAAGTACGAAGGCTTCATGATCTGCTACACCGGACTCTTATACTGCGCCCAGCAACCTACGACGGCGCCGATGCGGTCTTTCCACACCCGGTCGCCCATCGGCGACGTGTCGCTCCACATGTACCCATCCCGCCCGGGTCTGACATACGCGTACATCATCCGGACCTTGACGCACATCCCGCTCTATCTGCTACGGGACCCCCGCGGCTTCCGCGAGGTCAATTTCGATCTGGACCTTGACGGCGCGGTGTGTGCCAGAGGGGCCATCACCAAAGGACGGGTGTGAGAAAGGCAGGGGGGAAGCTGCTGCACGAATGACGGGCCGTGGGCGACAATGTACGGCGGAGATTGGCACGCTGTTGGGCATCTGTCAGGTCCCGTTTTTCCGTAGTTCTTCTTGGGAAGATGCACATGCCGTGTACATGTGCGTACCGCGCTCAGAAGCGCGAATGGAATTTAAATAAGGGCGTGGGCGTCAGGCCGAGAATTTGATGCCCGACAATTCAATCTGCTCCCTGGCCTTGGATGTAGAATAAATATAAAGATTAAAGCGATTATAATACTAAGAGCTATACTCTTTATATCCTAGAATATAAAGACTATAATAAATGACCTCTTGATGCAGTATGCTCCCAGAAAACTTAAGTAGGGAAGAGACCCTGGATGATATATTCGAAAGGCAGTGACAGCGTTCATCCAGGGGCAAAGATGCGATGAGCTAGGGCAAAAACAGGAGGTTGAGGTGGAGAAAAGAAGATGGGATGGGGAAAGACTTGCGACGCCAAAGCTTTACCGCTGAGACGAGAAAATAAGTCGATTCGTGGTCAAAGTATTTCATTACTCCGTGTTACAATATCCTATCCTATCTTGCCAAAGCCCTTGCATATCCCTATTCACCAAAATCCTGCCATCATGACTCCTTTCCTCCCCTTACGACCTCTCCTTCCTACTCGATATCGACCTTCTTGACATCCACAAACTCTTCCGTCTTCGGGATCGTAACCAACAACACCCCATCCTCCATCTTCGCGGAAATGGAATCCGCATCCACGTTCGCAGGGTTTGCTTTACTGCCCAGCTTCACTTTTCGGTCAAAGACCCCCACTTTTCGCTCATCCAGCGCCAAGGTCTTGAGGAATTCTTCGTTGCCGGGGCGGTAGATGACGCCAGCGACGTTGAGTTCGCTCTTGTCGGCGTCCCAGTTCACGCCCACGTCTTCTTTCTTGGCACCGGGGAGCGAGATGTGCACGACGTAGGCGTCGGGGGTGTCGAAGATGTCAGCGGGAGGGGTAAAATCTTTGTTGTTGGTGGTTGCCGCTTCCTTGCTGGTGGTGGCGGTATTGTCTCTGGGGGCGATGTTGGAGAGCACGTCCTCGGGCACGAATTGCGAAATGAAGTCTGCTAGTTTGCTCATGTCGAAGTTGCCGCCGGCGGCCCAGGGGTTAGAGCCACGTTCGCCACCGCAGCGTCCGCCGCGACCACCCCAGCCACCACGACCGCGTCCACCCCAGCCGCCACGACGTTCGTGGCCGTGTGGTCCACCGTGATGTCCATGATGTCCTCCGTGATGAGGACCGCCGCGGCGTCCGCCAAAGGGGAAGCCGGGACCGAAGGGGTGGTCATGGGGACCCGGTGGCGGAGGAGAAGGAGGATCTTCGTGCTCTGGGGGAGGTGGTCCCGAGTGATGGGGTGGTGGCGGTCCCTCGTGGTGCGGCGGTGGACCATCATGGTGGTCTGAGGCACCAGGCCAGCCGTACTCGGGAGGCGGACCGCGAGGTTGGCGAGACTCGGGGTTGTAGGCGTTGGAGAAGGGGTGGTTGGCGTTGGAGCCGTCGAGGCCGGCGATGAAGTCCCAGAAGGGGTTCTGTTCGTTGAGGAAGCGGACTGATGACATGTTTGCTATGATTATAGAGTATGAAAGTAGATGGAGTGTTTGGGATTTAGGTGAGAGAGATGAGAGTGGATACTGATGAATGGTAGGAAAGGAAGAGAAAGGGAGAGCTTTCAAGCCACATTATATGCTTGCTGGAAAGCCACAGGCAGATATGACATACGTAAACATACGCATGCACACAGGCAACAAATGCGCAAATAGAGGGGTCGAGAAGCGTGGAGAAGCTTGTGGAAAGGACGAGTTTCCATAGGATGGGCCTACGGCGGGGAAACAAACATCAGGCTCCAGGAATGACGCGTATGCGGTTTCAGGGAAAAGAGTGACATGATACCCAGTCACACATGGAAGGGTCCAAAAGGGCCGTTATCATGATTGCCTCGAGTGACTTGGACTTTGGTGGCAAAATATCCAATGCTTTCTTCTACAGTACGGTATGCATGTTTTGGAAAGGCCGAGAAAGTGATGGAGCAGAGGAGGCAAAAGATGTTATCGTGCCCTAGTTGGAAATTAGTCATCCAGGTCGTCTCCGCTCTCATTGGTCAGAGTCAAAGTAGGAGAGTATCTCCATTGAGGTTTTGAACCCGGCTGACTTTGAAATCTGTGGTGCATAACACTTTTTGAAACGTGTTAAAGAATAGAACGGAGTTCAATGTTCGCCATTCCAAAACCTCGTTTTGGTTAGCGCTTCAAAAACATCTGACTCATAACATACCTCAACATTGAGAAGTGTCTTTCGAGAAAGTACGATGCTTACTTTTGACTGTGTTGATGTGTTGATGTGTTGATGTGTTGATGTGTTGATGTGTTGATGTGTTGATGTGTTGCTTTGGATGTTCATTGCTCAAAATATGGACCCAGGGAGCAAACCGGATGAGCACAACAGGCAGCTTGCTGACCTTTCAACATCGGAAAGAGACACGGATTTAGAAATCCTACAACGAAGGCCGATGTAGACAATTCAGAGCCGAGTTTCCATGTCAGCCCATTGACAGATCCCGGAGAGATTGCTTAAGGCTTGGGAATCGCTGAAGGATTGGAAAAAGCACGACGGCCGTATATTAACTTTCAGCGCAAGAAACAGAGAAAGAGCAGGAACTAACTTTGGCACTTCCTTTGCCAAACCCCGCATTACTTTCAAGCAACGGGACTTTTGAATTCGCCTCGCTTCTATCGAAACTCCATAAGACTTCTGCATTCACTCAGCTACCACCGTTGCGCTTGTGGTGTGCTCACAGCTCTATCAAGAGTCAGATGGACACTAACGCCCGAGCCTTTGACTGGCTCAATTCCCTTCTAGGCATCCCCATACCTTCGGCAAGACCACTTGACCTCCACGCAACAGCAACAAACATTATTCACTACGTCTTCGTTACCAAGTCATTGGTGATTCTTTTCCCATCCCTTTGATCTTTGTAACACATCTAAACACTTAGATCGCACCTAAGATCGACTACTTCAGCTAAGATCTATCCTCTCATGGTACGTCCTGATTTATTATATCTTGTGTCTCCGTATTCAATACTTGGCACAAGACCCGGGCTTGTTGAAAAGCAGCTTTGGCTCAAAATCTCTTCTTCGGTACTGAAGCGATCGATAGCAACCTAGAGTTCAGCGTCGCTCTGAATGCAACTCTTTCTTAGCTCTCAAAGGCTTCCCTAAACCGTCAAGAATGCTCTCGCTATCTCCTCACTTTCCTGGCCGAGCTCGGACTATGACTTGTATATCATGTATCCACTCGAGTGACTGCTCACTTGCAGGGTGATCGACAATCTTGGAGGACTGGTTGCCTGAGATGCACCTACCTGGAGAGTGTTTCTCTGCTTACCTGCCGCGTGGTTGCTCGACGGCGGGCTTGTTTGTCATTGTCCGGCTTACGAGAACCACGTATTGAGTGAGCTTCGAGAAATTAAACGTCTTTCAAATGTGCTTGAACAAGGCAGATGGCCCGGAATTGTTGTTTGAGACCGTGGGATCCTGGTGAAGATGTTCGTTATCAAAGGCTTTGTTGAGAGAGTATAGACGCATTGAGAGGTAAGAAGTCTAAAGTTGGTTTTCAACCGCGCTCCTCTATCAGCCTGCTTATCAGTGTGTCAAGCTTTCAAGCCCCAGCGTAATTTACCATCCCACGGCAACCCCCTTGTCCTTGATTATATCGAAGCCTTACCGGTAAGAATCTTAAACCCACATACAATCACGCTTTTCCCTCCTGTTGTGTGTCACAGTTCGAAGGATGAACGAACCCGGATGTTCTATCTGCTGTAGGCTGCTTGATTCTTTCTTACGAGACCCGAGCTTGTTCAATTTACCGCGGATCTCCGCTAATGATAGACAGCTTAGTAACTTTACTCAACACAGCGACCCTACACATTTTATCTACAACACAGATTCCAAGACATATCATGGTCTTGCCGATATATACCATCTCCAAATCTCGTGCCTTACCATTCACCACCCTTAAATATATACGAGATCGTCCTCAAGAGCTTGTCCCAGGTCCTGATGATCCTGGTCTAGCAAAGTTGTCGGAGCCAGCACTGCAAATCACCTTCAGCAGAAAGCCAAAGAACCCCGAATTGGGCTATCTTCTAGGCAGCGACCGTGAGCTATGCGACATACTCTTGGGCTGTCCAGACGACTCCATCAGCCACCGGATGTTCGCGATATCTTTCAACCAATACAACGAGGTTCTTTCGCGAATGTAGCAAGTCTTTCGAATCGACGGGCCAGGCATTGAGAATCATCCATCTTCAACGAACGAACGAACGAACGAACGAACGGATCCATCCCCAACCACACAGGCTACCAGCCACCGGAGCGCGGCCGAGATCAAGATGTCGATCGTGGGCCATCATATGGAATCAAACCGATCATTCATCCGTTCGATTCAATCCTCATCGCAAACCAGCAAAGGCGATCAATGCGCAGCAAGACATGGGAGTCCAATAGATGCAACGGCTCGATGGCGAAAGATCAGCTCCTTCAGGAGCCCCACGTCGAATTGTTGGAAATGTATGAAGGATTGATTGATTATCTATGGGAGTGTTGAGTGGGCTACTTATATCCCTATTTGCCCACCATGCGGGGTAGCTACATCACAGATGCTGCAGCAGATCTCAACACGAAGAGATATACACGTCCCTGACACGATACCTAGCTCATTAGAGCACCATCTGTCTCAAAACCAGTTGTCCCGGATCTTCCCCCTCGATTTCTACGGGGACAACATGTTCCTGACCATAACCAGCGACGGGTTGCAGCTGATATCCTCGCATACATGGCAGGAGAGCTCCGAAGTGGGTGGAGGAGCGGGGCACCGAGGGTAAACATTGTGCAAGAGAGAGAGAGCGAGGAAACAAAGAATGGAACGCTGGCGACGAAGACGATATCCTACATTTAATCAATCGTAATCTATAGATAATCAGAAAGAACCAACCCACAATCCACCCGTATTCATCTCCGAACCAAACTTCCCCCCCCCCCCAACACCAACCCCGAAACATTCCACGCAGATCGGTCCGTAGAACAGCCTCTGCCTTTGCCCTCCCGATCAAAAGGCGCACTTCCCCAGCCTAACAGATTTCCCCCTCGTTAAAAAGGCGCAGTCGCAGTCTCTACAACCACCGCGCTCAATATTTGCCAGACCCTGGAGTGCTTGGCCCATCCGGAGCTACTCTTGCCGGAACCTCATCTTCGTATCTGCGAACGTGCTCGGGGGCACTAGATGAACGATGTCGAGCATTGAAGGATGCGAAGATTAACTTCATGATATCGAGACTCAAGGTTCACTCTACTCCCACAGCCCGATGATGAGGACAAGTAAAAAAGCGAGAATTTTGTGGGATCACAAAGTGGACAGGGAGCGCCGCAGCCCCGGGCTTCAAGTATGTTTTTGCACTGGATTAATGCTATGGATTCAAGTGCAGTAGCCAATTTTATTAGTGAGTATACAGTCTCACTGCTCGGAAAGGGTCCAATAACAATCCCTCCTCAACCTGCTTTCCGCTATTGGCGTCCCTCTGCCCTAGTCTGCATCCTCGTCTTCACAACGTTTCCCTTCTCAAATGGCTGCTTCCACTACACCATTTCAGAGTCAGCGTTCTCTTGTAGGACGGATCCTTGGGTCTAATGGTGTGTTGAAGGAGCAAAACGTGTGTTTTGACTCCACCTCCACATCCACAAACATGTCTTGAGATTCGGGCAAGGGTATGAAGGGGAGAAAATAACTCAGAAAGGGTGCTTACAAACCCCTCCTCCTTCCCTAGCCACTCCTCTCCCTCTCCTCCCTCCTCCTCGCTCTCGTCCTCCATCTCCTCCGGTGAGTCCACGTACTCTCCGCTTCTACAATCCGACTTCTTTCTGTCAATTCCTCCCTTTACCTCGTCAACATTCTTTGGGGGTCCTGGGAATAGAACGTGGCCAACAGGCCTCATGGTACTCTTCTCATTAGCCGCTGCAATCTCAGCCGCAATGCAGAAAATTTTGCCGCTTCTAGTCCTGACGATGCGGCGCATTGGATCATCGCTACGAAAGATGTCAATGCTGGTCGGTATCGGAGGTGCGAGTTGAGGGGGTTTAGGTCCGGAAGATTTGGGGCTGGTAAAAGATCTGAAGTCGAGAGATGGATGTATGGAAAGAGTGGCCAGACTAGGATCCGGGAGTGGATCTTGCGGGATTGGGGGTGACGGAAGGGCCGGCGCAGGTTGTGGAGCTAGGAGCGACAGATATGGATCTCCCGTGTCGAAGTCAGGTGAGATGCGGGCGGAGGCGGAGGGTGGGTTGGAAGATCGACCGGACTGGGCTTCGGTTTGGAGAACCAGCGGCGAGAGCTGTGATTGTGGCTTGGTGGGCGAGATGCTTGCGGCTGCGGGAGCTGAGGGCTGCTGGTTCCGCTCTATACGTGTTGACTTTGCGGGTGTATGGGGAGCAAGCCTTGGTATTGACGGTCTGTTAGGGCGAGGATTAGTAACAGAGGTGGGTGCCCGGGATTTGTCCTTGATCGTTTCGCTCGATGATGATTGGCCGGTAGGAGGAATGTCAGTCTGAAGGGGTAGTGTAATAGGTCTCTCGTGGTGAGGGCTAGGGTCCAAAGGTATCGTAAATGCCCGCTCTTCTTGTATACCAGGTGCAGGTTCTTTGGGAGGAAGAACAGCGAAGCGGTTATCTGGAAATACCACAATTGTCAGTCGCGCCATCCTTGAGAGCTATAATGGCATCAGAATGTCAAAGTCTGCACTCACTGCTCAACAACCCCGCCGTGACCTCTCTCTCCTCAGACTTGCTCTCCATGTCACCACTACTTCTGGTTCCTTCATGAGTAACAGATCCACGGGCTCCTCGTCGCAATCGGGTACGACGGGCATAAACCCCGCGCTGGGCGCTGGCGGCTGTGGGGGATGCGTGCATGACAGGATATCAGTTTGCTAGTATATTTTTGCTGGGATAATGAATGTTTGACGAAGGGCGAATAAGAGGCGAGAGAAACATTAGGAAAGGGAAAGACGGAGCATTAGCATTGCTTGAGCATGAAGAGTAGGTATAGAGTAGGCCCTGTGCTAGTGAAAGATGATTGGTCGAAGAAAGGGGGGAGATGCTAGTCAAAGATGAATGAGGAAAGAGTGAGCAGCATTTTCGTTCCAAGTAAAACAGGAAGGCGGGACTGGCGAATTGTCAGAACAGGTGCCAGGATTAGCAGTGATCCTAGTATCGCAAATGCTGAGAAAGAAACGAGCACAATGAGGAAACCACAATTTTGTAGATGCTCTGTTGGGCTCATGACTACTCCCGGCTTCTCTAGTCGAGCGGTTGGGATGCCTTCGTTACGCACAGGACGAGAGTGTTGGAGACCCAAAGCTCGAGAAGAGGCGACGCAAGTCTGTTCAGAAAAGAACGGAAAGAATAAACTCATTAGACTGGATTCGTAACGTGACCTTTGCTGATTTATCTCGACACTAACACGATGTTCTGATAATGTATTTGCCAAAGCTTGGGCGTATCTGGGCCTCAGGTGCAGTCTCTGTCTAGTGAATGACAGCAAAAGCTCTCCAAGCGTCGCCAATGAAAGAAGAAGAAGAAGAAGAAGAAGAAGACGGCATCTTATGCAACCCAATGCCCTGTATTTTCAATGTCCTAACTCTTGCCTACTGGTTTTCGAAACACCGATCGCTTGCAATGCTAACTTGAAGCTCTTTTGAAAGCTCTACCTCCTGCAAAAACACGAAAAGCCCAATGCTATCTCTTCTGCTTGTCTGGCGTGCTTGGTTCAGACGCCTGTCGATCGATGCCGGTGAAGCATCTCGCCAGAGAGACTTGTCCATCGCCAGTCGTTTCTACCCGTTCTGTGTATCCGACCTCTGCCCACTCATGCTCTCTAGCGGTCAGTCGTTGACTCCATGGCACGCTCTTACTCTGCAGCACAATCTGGCGTCTTCGTTCTCGCTCTTTTACTATCGCATGTAATTGACGCGAGATAGGTTGAGTCCCAACTTCGAGCAGGTACTTTAAAGCCGCGAATGGTAGAGAGAGCACGATGCTAGAGACAAGAAAATTGCGATTGCTTGCTTTGGCATGCAACTCAGAAGGGTGATCGCCGAATTGAATCCGGCTCAGACGGGACTTGAACAAGGGTGAACGGCTCTCCGCGGTCGTAGGCAACCGATCGACTTCGGCCAACGGTCTGGCAGACGGATCGAAATGCCAGAAGTCGTCAAGGTTGGATGCCATCCATTGAAGGCAACGCATTTGCAGATCCCATGCACTGCGAACCTCTGCTGTGTAAGAATTGACAGACGATATGCCTTCATCTCTAGCGCCGGGCTGATCAGAGTGTTCTGGCCGGGATTCTGTGCTTGACGATGGTGGGGTCAGGTTGAGAGCAGAAGGATGATCGCTTTCGCGTGGCCACACTGTGGAATAGGAAGAGAGAGGAATCACATCAACCGAGGCGCTGGTTCCACGATTGGGTCCGCTTTCCAGACCAAATGAGAGCGCGTTCTCCAGGTTCTCCCAATCAAGTATGGAATGTGCGATTTGCAGACCTTTCAAGACAACGTTCTCCAAACCTAGGACGTGGCCAGCCGCAGTAAAAGCCAGACATGCATCCATTTGGAAAGCCCACGTTTCAGCATTTGCGTCGAAAGTGCTGTGGATCATAGCGAGCGTGAACATCTCTGGGCGCTCGCCGTAGAGGACTCGAAGTGCTGAATTCATGGCCCACGGCGTTACAAAGCGATCGGTTAGTCTTATCTCTAGGCGTCTCTTCCCCTCTGCGCTCTGACCGGCTGACTTGAGTAGATCCCGTAACTTGTTGCTTTGGGCGAGCAATAGGCTACTGAGTGACCACGTTATTTTCTCAAACCGAAGATTCTCGTGTACGAGAGTCAACTGGCAGTCGGCGTACTCCTCATTGTTGAATTGTTGTAGTAGATGTTCAACCAGCGGCACGTGACTCGACATACAATCGTTTAGATTGCGCCAGGAATCTCTGAGCAGTTGGGCTGTTTTCTTTTCAACGACGTTTAATTGGACCGGCTTGGGCGTGTTGTCGACAACATCAGCCTCCCGAGCAAACTCATCCGACTTCAAGATTTCATGAGACGTTGAGGGAAAACATGATTCAGACGTTGGTTGCGGATGAAATGAGGGCATGTAACCGTAGCTGAAGGGCGTCGTCGGCGGTCCGTTGGAACAGCTCCATGGCTGGGCTGAGGGATCCAGTGGTGTCCTAGAAGGAGTGAGCGGTGGTTGACTTCCTAAGATAGGATGGGGTGACTGATTGCTGTAGTATGGCGGTTGTGGCTCATAGGTTTGTTCATAAGGAACACCGACTTGGGTACCGTGTGGAAGGTCAATGGGGTGCTGAGACGGATGAGACTGCGGAGAATATTCATAAGACGCAGGTGCGTAAGCATACCCCTGATAAATGGAGTGATCCGGAGAAGACGGGTCATCCGATGATTGAGGTGGTGCGTAGAATGAGATGTTCTGGCTAATATCATAGCCTTGATAGGGTTGTTGTATAGGAGACAGGGTATCATCAGTAGGCAGTGTAGATTCTTGTTGCAAATGGATCGACTGGGCTAGATCATACCCTTTGTAAGACGACTCTGTTGGAGAGGTGGTGACATCGGTGGGAGGGGTTGGATGAGCATGGAAGGTTGGCGCAGCAGCATTGAGGGTTACATGATTCTCAGCTGAAGACTGCTGGCTCATGTTGCTGCCATCCTCTTCCTCAACGGACTGCGAGGTCTCTTCCGAAGCGATATCTTTCTCATTCGCGGAAGAGAAATCGGTTGAGATGGCTGGTGGCGGAGACCGCTTCGGATAGAAGGGCGGAGGCAGGCGAAACCCGTGCTTTTCTATTCCGAAGTCTTCGGCATGGACTGGGGAGAGATTGATGCCATCCGCTGCTGAGGTTGTTGACTTTTGTTCGTTTGTTCCCGGGACGAGAGTACTTTGGAATGTAGAGTCACCTCCAACAGTAGCAACCTCTTTCTCCGAGCCTGCATTTTCTGGAGCCTCAACAACAGCCTCTTGCACAACATTTCCTTGCACATCATCTTTCGTATCTAAGCCGTTGAGAGCTTCGTTCTGCACTGCTACAGCAGTCTCTTGTGACCCTTCTTTTCCTTCGCCAGGAATTGGGCGAATTGGACTGCCAACTCCTCCCCCATCTTCATTACCCTTCACATCCTGTTTGAGCTTCCGCTTCTCGAGACTTCTCGGTATAGCAGGAATAATCGGCACCATCCGCCGTGGCTGCTTGCTCGGTGTAGCACCCGGACTTAGGGTCATCTGTGGGGCAAGAGAAGGCGCCATTGCGGGCGAAGAGAGTCCCCAGAGGCAGCTGATGAGAGTCGGTAGATACTCCGAGAGGGCAGCCGCATTCTGGGGAGAAATTTAAGAAGGTAAGCAAACATGAAAGAAGAGATGCAACTCGCCTTCCGGTCAGAAGGGAAACTTTGCTAGCCCCGCATATGTCATCCCGCAACGGTTTTTTGTTTTTTGCCCGCTAGTTGCAGATTGCTACCTCCCAGGCAGGCAACACTTCTGCGATTACTCATATCTTTCTATCAGATAGACGGCGTCTACAATGGGTAACGACGGGGGCTCCATCCCTACTCGACGCGAACTCGTCAAGTCCTCCGCCGCTGCCCTCTCGACCACCCAAGTCAAGGAAATCCAAACCGAGCAACAAGAGCACTACTGGTCCACCTGCGCCCTCTCTCACCAACCTCTACGCCGTCCTGTCGTCTCAGACGCTTTAGGCACCTTATACAACAAAGATGCCGTGCTTGATTATTTGCTAGACGTGGGGAAAGAGGGTGGAGAGGTGGAGAAGGCGGAGTTGGAGAGGAGAGGGGAGGCATTCAAGGATCGCTTGAGGGGGTTGAGGGATGTAGTTGAGGTACGGTTCCAGACTGAAGGGGCGGGAGGGAGTCAGAGATGGGTTTGTCCCGTTACGGGCAAACAGTTGGGACCGGGAACGAGGGCTGTATATCTCGTGCCGTGCGGCCATGCGTTTGGGGAGACAGTCTTCAAAGAGATGCCGGGTGATGTTTGCCTACTGGTATGCTCGATCTACTGGAATATTGACCTATAGTACGAGAATGCTGACAAAGGGCAGTGCAACGAACCCTACACCGCCGAGAATATGATACCGATCCTTCCCACCTCCGAAACAGACAAGGACCGCCTCGAACAGCGCATCGAAGCTCTGAAAGCACAAGGCCTGACACACTCACTAAAGAAAGCCCCCGGTGCCGGCAAGAAAAGGAAGAAGACAGCCACTGTCGAAGAAGCTACCGTAGGCGAGGAACCCCTCAACCCGACACAAACGAAGAGCGAGAAGCCGGAAAGCAACCTCAAGAACGCGGAGACGGCATCGTTAACGGCAAAGGTCCTGGCGGAGCAGGAAGAGCGGAACAAGCGGAGGAAGCTAGGAGCGAATGACAATGTGAAGAGCTTGTTTTCGAATAAGAATGGAATGGACGAGAAACATTTGGATTTTATGACGAGAGGATTTTCCATACCTGCAAATGCGAAACGATGAGATATCCGTGGCAGCATAGTACGGCGTTGGGGAATAAGAATCTGGCTGAAGGGCGATTTGGGTTGGAAATGTGCCATCAATATTGTGTACATATTATCGGTGATACCCTTTGCAGATTGTCTAATGTACAAATATCTCGTCTATCTTCAGCTATAGCTCATCTTTAGGCCTCTCCTCCCTCTTCTCGCCCACTCCACAGACAGCAGGCGTCCCCACCTCCATCCTATACACACACTTCTCTTCCTCTGTTACCTTCCATACTTCGTCCTTCTCTGCACATGCCAGCACAACGAGCGTACTCCTATTCGGTCCATTCCAGCAATGTTGCCCATTCCCATATCTCAGCGCCACTCTCTCCCCACTGCCTAGCCCCTTTCCGTCAGGTGGGACCTCATCATCAACCAGGATTCTTTCGACGGACACGAAATTTCCCATAACAGTCTGAGAGCCGCCTTTTTTCGATTTCTGCTTCGTCTTGTCCAGCCAGCATAGCTCGTATGTATACTCACCAGAATCCTTGCTGACGCACTGCCCTTTGAGAGCGCGGAACACATCGTCGGCGCCGTAATCTTTGTCGAGGTCTTCTTGATGGGTATTGAGTTGCTTGTTGTTCTCGTTCAGGCTGTCTTGGGCGGCTTTGAGAGCGTTACGGGCATCTGCGAGTCCTTTGGATTCGCCATCAGGGGAGTGAGTGGCGGCGAGGATGCCGTTGTCCACAAGTATCACCCGGAAGTCGCGGAGCTTTTGGTCAAGCCAGTCTCTCACGGTGGTGGGGAGGTAGGCTGCAAATTTGTAGACTTTGAGATTGTCAAAAGTGGACAAAGTGGAACTGACAGGCGGAGACTTACGAACGCCGACATCACTCTCCTCAGGCTCCTCCCATTCACTCCACTTGATAGCGCCAGTCTCACCATCGGGCTTCGCTATCTCGTCGAGGTCTCGGTCATGGGCATCATCGCCAAGCGCAGGCTTGTCCCGGGCAGCATATTCTTCCCAGCTCCTGACAGCTCTCTTAACACCTTCGTCGTTGAAGTTAGGGTTGTACTCCTCCTTGAACGTTGACAGTATCCCTTCCAGCTCTGCAATCCTCTCTTTGCCCGTATCTCTCTGAACTCGCACCTCCACTAGTGATTCCCGAAGCTCCTCTGTCCTATCCTTCGCAAGCTGGGCCAACAGGCCCATCTTACTTAGTTCTTTGGGACTCCTGACGACCTTACTCCTTTCCTGTCTTTCAGCCTCCGCCAGGTCTGATTCAAGAGCCTTCACCTTCATCTCTCCGCCCTGAATCTCTGTTCGCAACGACTGTAATCGGTCTTCGACCTCCTTTCTCAGTCTCTCAGCATCCGCCACTATCTCCTTCCTCCTCTTCGCTGCATTGGAGAGCGATTTCTGCCTCTGCTCATCCTGTTTCTTCCATTCCTTGCCAATCTCTTTGCACCGGTCCTCGCATTTCACACCGCCAACCCTCGCCCATTCATCACTCCCATCGCAGCAAAACTCGTAGTCGCAGACGCCATCATTAACAACTGTAAAAGGGACATAGCTTGGGTGATGGCCTTTATTCTTGCAGTAAAAGCCAGGTAGTGCAGTTGTAGTATCTAAATCATCGCTGGGAGTCGATCCAAGGAAGGCCGGAGAGAGGGGAGAAAGGTGTGCGCAGGCAGAGGTGCCAGGTTCATCGGAACCGTCAGGGCAGTCGCAGAAATCGTCGTTTAGACGAGCAACGGAAAGGTGTATCGAGGGGGCAGATATGCATGTGAACGTTTCCGAGTCTTTGTAGTATTTGGCAACTGTCCATTCGGTCAGTAAGCAAGTCACGCGAGCGGTACAGCTTTGGGGAGAGGCGTCGAACATTCAGGGCCAACGCCCCGTGGCCGAGGGGCTTCTGCAGCTACAATTGCTCTGGCTACTGTCCCAGAGAGTAGTAAGAAATATGGGCTTCTCATTTTGAGAATTGTAAAGACAGGACTGCGGCTACGCGCATTGAACGAAAGCTTTAGAAAAGGTGTCTGGCTTGGCATTTAGAGGCTAACTTGGGACTAGCGTGAAAGCATCACAGCAATTGCGAGGTACAGCATCCCCCTTGTATATGGCCATGGTGGGAGAGTAGACTTGGTGGGATCACAGGGCACTTTGACACACAGGCTGCTGAGATTCATCGCTTCGATTCGGGTGTTGACTATATTAGTTCATCCCAGCCTATGTAATTACCACTCGTCTTCACTCCAGTCACTGGGCCCGTCCCATCTTCCTGTCCAGTCTATCTTGATCTTCCTCACGTCTTCCATATCGTATGTCCTCACTACCCATCTGCCTGACCCATCGATGTTATGAACGTCCTGGCCAACTGCTTCACTGAAAGGCAATGACTCACAAGTACCTCATCCGGCTATCAAGTTGCGAAACCATGGCAGGTGCCACGGTTATTGACTTCTGACTTTCGAGGTCTTGCGTTCTCTGCGCCTGCGTGCGGTGTCATATCCGAGACGTTTCCGGAAACAATTTGCTTGCCGCAGAAAGCCTCTGTCAACGACGACCCCTTATGCTATATTTCCTGCTCGGGTCGTAGGATCCGAGAATGAGGCTGCTCAGTCCTGACTCGAGGAGTCTTATTAGAGCCCTGGCTTCCGGTATTTCATTAACCATCGAGTCTCTACGTGTTGGCGCCCACTTCCTTCTCGGCAAACTCTGTTCCTTGGGCTAACCACTCGTGGAAACTTGGCGGACATCCATTCGTAAACATATAAACCGGTGATTCATAGATCCATCGCTTTATCATCTCGCGGTTCCCAGATTCCCCTTCTCCGGGTAGTAAGAAATCGTCATCGATACGTTGAAAGTGCCATCCATAGCGCTTGAGAAAGGCCGAAAGGAGCGGTTGCATACCAGGCTCCTTGATTAATTTGAAGAGGACTTCGCCCCATCCGCAGACGCTCTCTTCTTCATAATGGAAGCCGGGTACTGGTAGTTATTAGTGTCGTCTTCTCGCTATGGAAGGTCGATGCTAGAGCTCTCTCGGTTCTGGAAGTAGAATTGGGGAAAGGCTAGGGTGCTAATTTGCTTACCAAGTCCCCAACGAATCAACTCCCGCTCCGTCTCAAGCACCTTGTACCTCGCAAAGATCGAATCCGGCCCCGTCTCAAGTTTCCGCGTCTGGATGTGCATGTGATAGGTGGTTGCTTCAAATGCTTGGCCCTCAGTTTCCAGGAAAACCTTCAGGAATGGCTTCCCATGTGCAGCTTCCACGAATGCAAACATGTCTCCGATGATTTCCGTTTCAACAAACCACATCATGTTTTCAACTCCACTTAGATATCGCGTTCCAAAGGAGTCTAGGGAGCGGCCAAGTACCCTTGCGGCGCTGCGCATATGTTCAACCTGTTGAGGATGGGTCGCGTGTCGAGACTTCCACACGATCGGATGAAGTAGGTGCTGGCTGAAAAGGGGACGCATTTCGAAGGGCTGTGTTACGATAGCCTCCGAGTCGATCCACAAAGCGGCATTATAGCGCAGCTCTCTGGCTGCCAGTAGCTTCTTGAGACCTTGATATTTGAACTTGCCGTAATGCTCGAGCAAGTGGTTGGTGTTGTCGGGCTCCACCTTTTTCTGTAGAAATGAGGGAAGAAGGTCATAGAGATTCATAAGATGGATTTGAGGGTTCCCGGTTTGGTTGGCGGGCATAGGATAAATGCCGTAGTGGTCGCCGCATGGTTTCATACTTTGAACTAAGTTGCCAAATTGAGAGACTTCTGTGGTGCTTGAGAGGACAAAAGCTATCTCGATGTCGTTGATGTCGGTGCAGAGACAGCGCAGGGATTGAAGGAAGGCGATTGCGTCACGAAAGTGGCCCACCTGCCCAATTTTTAGTCTTTCGGTTTCCAAGGCAGATTGAATTGGCAACGTTAGGGAAGGAAGACGCACAAAAGTGGGTACTATGATTGTGTAGTTCAGGCCTGAGAAATCCCACTTGGCAAGTTCAATTTCAATGTGAGATTCCTCAGTGCCAAATGCCACCAAACGATCCTCATAGTAGCTGGGAGGCTTCGGTTGAGGAGGATATGAAGATACCGCATGACTGTCTCTGCCCGTAGATTTACTGAGAAATTCTGGATATGAAGATGGTAGAGGGTAAGGAACCCTCGTTGTAAAGTATTGTGCCTTGCTGTGCGATGTTGATTCCAATTCCCATGACTGGACGTTGGTTGGTAGATAATAGTGAAGGCACAAGATTAGGAATGCGATTGTGGTGGCTATGACGAGAGGTTGAGATCTCGCAGCAGCAGCAGCGGATAACATCTTTGATCAATCAATTCATCGTGAGAAAGATAAAATGGGTTGAGGAGGGCACCTCGAAAGGTGTCTTTCGCGTAGGATGACATGGCGCAGCGCATTGTGCCTGATGGCACAGACGGATAACGGACCTCAGCTCCAGGAGCACAGTAGCACTTCTTGCGAAAGTTGAAGTTGACGGGTCGGCGCGCGTCAAACTCCGAGTCCTGAAACTGAATGCTAGCTTCAGGTTAAACCATGAAGCACCAAAGGTGCCCAGAACCTCGAATGCGGCTAGTGGCTTTCCTAAAGTTTTGCGTAATTCAACGGTTGCGGTGTGCCCAAAACCTCAAATCGGACTAGTGGGTTTCCTAAAGTTTTGCGTAATTCAACGGTTGCGGTGTGCCCAAAACCTCAAATGGGACTAGTGGATTTCTAGAGGTTTGCGTACAACGGTTGCGGTGGCCAAATAAAAGAATAAGATTTTTCTAAAGATTTCCTGCAAAGAGGTATCTTTATCATCTAGCAGTCACGGTTTCTATCGGCGACGATGTCTCAACGCATTCATGTCTCCTAGAGCCCAGGATGCAGCTAGAACTTGCTGTCTATTCCTTCAGACTTACCTATTATCGATTGGGTACCTTATCCTCACCAATAAAGCAATCGCAGGCGAGAGCACGGGCCGCGGAGCAATCAGACAAGGAATGATCGAACGTGCCAAGCAACAGGCTAGGGGTCCTCGAAGGAACGGGCTACACGCCGACGCGCATGATCGAGCAAACCTTCTCCCACAATCCCCGTGCTTGAGAGCGGAATTATGCCGATCATGTTCTCTAGACGCAGTCTTTGCATCAGTACTTTATAACAAATGAAGGCAGCGGAGATTTTGGCCAAAGGCAGGCGTCTTGGAGCAACGGAGATCAGCCAACGTGGTAAAGCTCTCTGGCGGAAAGCCCCTCGGAGACTTTTTTCCAGATGTAGGATTCTAGCGCGGGTGCCCTTTGCTTGGCAAACTTGAACGGCCGCATTCATAAATACCCCACCATCTCCCCACCTCTTTTGTTCAAAACAGCTCTACTCTACATTATTGAAAGCTATTCACACATCTCTCCATCACTACACCAGCACTACTTCAACACCTTCATCCTGCGCACGCACCAATCTGCGACCGATTACCAACAACCATAGCAAACCCTCAACGTCCTCAGCCATCAACAATGGGTACGCTCAACCACCCCCACCCTTTTATCCCGCCGGTGTTCTTGGCTGAGTTCTCGTTCGCGAATAGGTCCAGGTTGTTCATGCAGCTGCGGCACCTCGTGTGCCTGCCCTTCTGGTCAATGCACCTGCAAATGAAATAGGGTGCGTGTTGCACGGTCCGAGCGCATGGTCATGGGGGGTGCTGACGGTGGGCGTGTGGGATGTAGGAATGGGAAGATCGAGATGGGGCATGAGCGGGATGTGGATGTGGATATGGAGACGAAGCGAGACTGGACGAGAGGAACATGTTGGGGGAGTTATGGGATGTAATATCATGGGCACGGACGCGCGTGTAGAGGATTGAGACACACATAGATAGTGGGAGACGGTCACATTCATTAGCGGCTAGGAAGACAAGCCGTGACTCCAGCCCATCCTGCAGTACTGAGCGCCATCACACGCTTCACTGCGCCTTGCCCTCAGTGCGACCTCGGACGATTCGTAGGATCCCAATGTGCTGGTTCCGCATATGCACCCCACCACCCTCCTGAACCAATGCCCCCCAGACCGAAATACTCCATCAGGCAGGTACCGCTTCGTCGGAGACAAACCACGCAGCAAAAGGTCCGAAAGCTGCTACCTCTGGTCCCCACCATTGGCCAATAACCAGCGATCACGTCCGCGGTGGGAGATGGATGCGCGACTTGTGCTTGGAGGGGATCGTGCGTACTCTAGAATGACGGCCCAAACACCACTCCTATAAGACATATCCGGTCCCCCGAAATCACTCTCCTTTCTTTCTTTCTTTCTTTCTTTCTTTCTTCCCCTCACCACCTCCCACAGAATCACCATCCACCCACCCACACACACACACACACAATAGCAAACACCATCCACCCAAACCCACATTACCGACCCCTTACCTACCAAAATGGCACCCTGTTCTTGCGCCAGCTGCGCCACCTGCAAAGGTGACTGCACGAGCTGTGGATGCAGCAGCTGCGGCGTAAGTGTCTTCTCGACGCCTTCTGGAAGAGCGACGCTGACCTGACGCAGCACTAAGCCCAGTGCCGAGACGTCGAGGTGGACGATGCGGGGATTGACAGAGAGGATGGGACATGGGGGATAGGATGCGGGCTTGGGTTGGCGTCTGCAAGGTTGGGAGCGGTGCGCAGCTGTTGGGGACACGTGTGGCTGGGGACTGTTCGTGGAGTCGTACTGTCGCTACTTTCTAGTCTGTGGAATGCCGTGTCACACGGTTGATATATGTGATGCCTTCGCGCCCTTCGAAGGCTAGTGATCCTTGTAGCGATGCTTCCCGTCCTTTCAAGCTCTCGGATTATCACCCCATAAGCCCATAAGCCCAACCAGGAGTTCGAGCTCACTTGCCTAGCGTGCCCATTGGTGTGTCCGCTTCCATGACAGTTCCCCAGCCATTACACGCATCAAGATCCTCATGCCTTCTTTCAGGCTTTGATGACCCCACAAGCTAGCTTTGGCATTGTTTGTTTGCTCACCCAAAGAACCTATCACGCCTGCTGCGGCTTCTCCCGTCTATATTCAGGAGGCGCGTCGGTGTGGCATGCCCAGCACGAGGTGAGGGGACAAAAAAGGCATTGCCAGATGTACGTGTGGCCAACGTATCTGCAAAGCTTGCAGTGCCCTGGCTCATCTTTTATCATCCGAACGAGCTGCCAATAGCCATTGTCGCATCCGTTCTCCACCTCATCGCGCACTTCTTGATTTCGCTCTTCCCGTGAACGTGGATCTGGCCTCCCCCAGGTCTGCCTCAGGTTTTTGGCATACCGCTCGACTGCCCGTTCAGCTCTGAAAACATTGCGACGGCGATATCCTGGTAAGTAGCCAATCACCACCCTATCAGCCAACCCATCAGCGTCGTCGCGGAGCTCCTCGTGGTAGTCATCGTGAAATTGTGGACAAGTGCAATTCTTCCAGATCTTGTCGCACACGTAGCAAAACTCAGCTTTGCATGCGCACCTGAGACGTTCAATTTCGTATGGCAAATACAAAACGAAAGCTGTACTCACGTCATATGATTGCAACCAAAGTTTAGATCGATCATGTTATTGCGTCGATAATAGGCCTGCCATCCCTGCTCTTTCGCTAACTCCATCAAATCCTCCTGCTCTGCATCTGTAGGGCAGGGGTTTCCTTTGAGCTCTTGCAGTCGACACCTGGTGCGTGTGTAGTTGTTGCAGGCTAAGCAGTGTCCCAAACCCTCGACGATTTTCTTCGGCGCCATCACCCCGCAGCAATCAGACTGAGCACATAGCAGTGAACAATCTGCAACGATTTCCGCGTGTTTTTCTTCATAGCGTTTGACCAAATCATGATGGAGATGGGTCCGCGACGACTGAAGTGTGATAGAAAGGCTGCAGCACAGTGATGGAAAATTTCTATCGGGCTCGAGAGCGCTCTTCACGTACGAAGCTAGACAGTCGTCGCAATAGCTGTGTTTGCATGGCGCAGTGAAGGACACAGCGTTATGTTCATCGCACGAGGTGCACGTAAGTCTCTGCTGGAGTGTGAACCCAGTCTGCAGGAGGGTTTCACGGCTGATGTCGGCGTCGATTGGCTCGATCTGAGCATTGATTAGAAATGCAAGGTTATTGTGAGCTGTGATTGCGTCGTCCACGATGATATGACTCAAGAATTGAAGATAGCCGGATAGACAACTAAGCAGCGGCTGGACGACAGAAGAGAGAAACTATCGTTGAGCTGGGGCAAGGATGAAGTCGTGAGTTGTAGAAGATTAAGGAAGCTATTAAGCAAACCAGGAATTTGTCTGTACATATGATATGTGGCCCCTGAAGTTGACAGTAGAGTAGGCCCAAAGCCTCGCAGTGGATCTTGTTGTGTGGCCTGGATTCGCAGCCGAGTGAATACATCTTGTGATGTAGAAACATAAGTCTTGGTCAATAATTAGAGTTAAGGAGGAGGTTTGGTGATGCATTTCGTAGCACCTACCTGTATCGTGACAGAGATGTCAGATTGAGTGGGAAAAAGATGTTTCAGTTTGAGGAAGAGGCTCTCGTGAGGAAAACCTCACTTCGTTGCACAAGCTCGTCGTTTTGGGCTATATGAAGCTGGATATCGCAGTACACGATGGAAATGGGGTATATCAGCGATAACTGGGCGTATGTTCTCGATAGAGGCCGGTGTATGTACATGTGCGAGAAAGATGGCGACGAGAATTACGTGGTAGTTTCGTAAGTACAGCCATATTCACTCCAAGCCCATCTTTGCATCGTCTACGATGCCCCAATATCCATCCCGTTCTTGATGTAACGGTAGCTGCTGAGTCTCACGCTCATCACCTCGTAAAGTGGTCGATCCTGAGGAGTCGCCGCTGCTATGTGCGCTTGTTCGGCTATTCTTCCTGAAGAAACCACGTCTTCTAGCTTGGCTGCTACTTGCATCGCTGTCTTTCGTAATTTGCGAATAGTCAGGCGAGGCGTCCAGGGCAGCAGAGCCAGAAGCAGGTGGAACCAAGGTATCCGTGGATCCATCGAGTCCAGTACCTCCGCTTGTCTCTACCAGCTCAGCATCTCGATACCACTTCCGACGTCGGGTATATCTTCCCCAGCCGTCTTGGCCACGACGGCCATCATTCCACTATCTTCATTAGCATTTTATCTGCCATGTGCCTTTACTTTGACTGACCTTGTTGTCATAGTAAATCCACCCGTCGACACCAGTAGTTGCTCTGTTCTTCCCACCGCCTTCGACTTGCCACTCACTGCCTGGAACCCAATGCCATTTCGCAGTGCCATTGTCGATGTGTGGAAGCAGAAAGCTATCTTTGGGATCTGACGGATTGAGATGCTCATCCGTCCAAGCAGTCCTCTCATAAGCCAACAGTGAATATGTCCATCCAAGACCCAACCAACGCCGTTGGTTCTCGAAGACCACAAAAGTGAAACGGACACCATGAGCAGCGAGAGAATTAGCAACGTCATGTTGACTCTTATGCCTCGGTGGTAGTGGAGGAGGGGCCCCTTTGCGGGGTGTGACTGGTACTTGTGGCTGATTACCAAAAGTCAAGCCTGTAGTTACAGAGACGACACGACGCATGAAATGTGAGCGCCAGAGAAGTGTGCGAGTAACCCGAGCAGGCCTCGAGTGCCAGCTGAGCATGACTGTACCGACGACAAGGATCACTCGGCGGGTAGTGAGAATGTAAAGCGGTGGTAGGGTTAGACCAATCCACAGAGGTGAGATAAAAAGAATGCGTATGAAAAGGGTAGTAAGAGCAGGTCTTGTGGTGGCTGATGTTGCCGTGCGTTGTGTCGAGAGGAAGTCTGTAAGCTGCATGAACGGTTCAAGCAATATATTACACCTTGAAGTAAATACTGTCAGAGTCTCTACGATCTCATCAAGACTCTTTTGATGTTTCATGTTGCCCTCCGACTTCTCTTTGGGATCTTTGCGCTTCTCCCCAGTCCACCCACTCGAAGACAGAGGAGAATATCTCCTCGAGTACATTCCCAAGATGACAAATACCACGACCATCAGGGGCCCTGCGTATCTTATGATTATATCCCCATAGGTTGTAATGGCCCAGAAGCCTGCAATAACGAGAAAGCTTTCCCACGGGTCTCCACTCGTCCATGTAATTAGGCCCACGATCTGATTCAGAGGCAGCAGGAATGGGTGAGAGAAGGCAAGGGCTCGAGTGATGGTCGGCGGTGTTGCTATGAGCAAGGGCGACTTTCGGTGTACCACAATAGTAGACCGCTGTCTGGTGGCTGGGGAGGAAATTCCCGATGTTGGAGAGAAGGCAGCTGTGGTAGGAGGATTGAGGTCGTCCTTGGATTTTCCTGATCCAGTCTCCGACCCTCGTGCTGGTGATGAATTCATCTCCGCTATCCAAGGAGTTTCTGATTCATTTCAGTCAAGGCGTAACGAAAAAGAAGGTGAGAGTTCACGCAGATGCCCGAACCAACATACCAAACGCAGCCATGCAAACCCATACAGCTTAGGGATATTGGATCTGGAAGATGTGTTATCATATTGCAGGATCCTCTAGCGCTCCTTCCCTCGAGAGTATATACGTAAATCCAACCACGTAAAGTGTGATGAGAAACAATGGTTCATGAGGGACCAAAGCATGCCAATCGTCATGTGCTAGTGTGCCAAGCAATTATGGTAATTTGCAGGGGTCAGATGGGGTCCTCCAAAAACTGTTACTGCCTCTATTCGCCGCTTTTTGCCCGTCTCCTCAACATGAATGTCATAATATCTAACGACTTTACTGTGTGCTAATTGCAAAGGGGTTGAGTTGCGACTCATGGTTTGTTATGCCGGCGAGGGTACTCTCTCCAGCACGAAGCGATGCTGATGATCACAAGGCGCACCGCATCATCACCCAAATTATCTTCACAGGCACCAGAGTCCTAGGTCGCGCTTTCGCCGAAGCCTACAGACAAGCCGCAGCATCCTCCCAACATTCTCGGGCAGCAGGTGCCAACACCAGTGGTCCCGGTACTGCCAACAGTTTCGCCTCCTCCGGTCTCACCCTCGATGAAGCATGCAAGATTCTCAACGTCAAGCCACTACAAGGCGGGAAAACGGATATGAACAATGTGATGGAGAGATTTAGGACTATGTTTGATAGGAATGAGCCGACTAAGGGGGGAAGTTTCTATCTCCAAAGCAAGATATTGCGAGCGCGGGAAAGGATAGAGCTGGAGGTTAGGGAAGCGACAGAGGCTGTGGAGAGGGAGGCGGAGCTGAGAGAGGGATGGAAGCCCAAGGTATGGAAGGACCGATGACATCGACTCTCTCTGGGCAAGACGCAAATGTTAAAGATGGGATACTAGTGAAGCGAGTATCTGCTCATCAATCCCTATGTACGGGTCGCTGAGGGCAGTCCTCGGGATCAAGCCGGCCTCGATCCGGCGGCAATGCGTGTGGTCATGCATAGCCAGGTGTTTGTGGCATTTCTACTCTACTGGGACACTCGACGGCTGCTTTTGGCGTTGTGAATTGCGATTTCAGGGCCTCGCTCCGGGTCATCTTCTTTCTCATCATGGCTTGTGACAGCTTTGTCGCCACCATGTCGAATTTCAGATCCATACTCAAAACCAACCACTCCTCACCGGAGGGTCTCTTGACATCTAAAAGGCAGGCAGGTGGTCTGGTTCAGATCGTGTCACCAATGCAGGCAAATGATCAAGAATGAAACAATGAATCCTCATCGAGACTGGTCTTTCTAATTTCTTCTTTTTTTTTCCTTCTGTTTTTTCCTTTTCATTTTCAAAAATACAAGCTCAAGCTGACGCTCTTGTCCTCGACGCTGAGATCTCCATGCTCCAGGTCACGCTATCATTTACTTTACCTGACTCACGAACCCGACTAAGCCTCGCCTGGAAACGCCCCTTGATTGAAGGACCCCTCCGACATGTTGCTCTCAGCCTCGTGGTGATGGAATGGCGCAATAGATATCATGCCGTCTCTCACACTGTGAGCAGCAAGCATAGCCAGTCAAGCCGGCACGACTTTTCTCGTTTCTTGACCGCTACCCGGGCTGGGCAACGAGTAAGCGATGGTAAGACGCATGAAACGCGACGGTCAAGATAGAGATGAGACGATCATTCCCTTTCAGAATCAAATCAATCCTTCGATCCGCTGCAGGGACCGTAGCGTGCGTATGTAGGTAAGATAGTAGCAGTGATAGGGTTTTGATGGCGCTAGCGAGTCTTTTATCGCCATCGCGGTTAGCCCAGCTAAAAGCTTGACTCCCGCAAACATCCTGAACCTCTCACCAGTGAATCGTCCCCCTTTGTCTATTCAACGCCTCAGCCCGTACAGTCTGTCCGACACGCTGAGCTTTGCCTTTGCGAAAGTCAGATAAGCAGACTGAGCATTACTAATAGCAAGTCTAAGCGTCATAGACCAAGTATGGCGCGATCCGCCCGAAGACCCCTCGGACCCTGGCCATTAGGCCTCGGATTTCATTTCAGGTCGATTCATTTCCTCGTGCTGCCACCCATGAGAAGTGAATTGCAATCAGTGTCGAGTCAGAGCTTCTCTGAACCCCGCTGGAATACAAAAAGCACCCACTCATCTCCTTGCTTCCATCCTTCTTCTACTCATTAACTCGTGCCAGTTCTACCTCTTCCCTACTCTCGCAGCGTTAAGCATTCCTTCTCTATAAATCCAGGCACTAGCCCAATCATGCCTCAAACTTCGCCTCCCCTGTCGACCCTTCTTCCACCACTCATCTGTGGAACAGCTACCTTCAATGATCAATACAATCCAGACCCTTATGCACTGCCAACCACAGGCATAGTCCACCGCGCCCTCTCCTTGGGAGTCCGCGCCTTCGACACCTCTCCCTATTACGGCCCGGCTGAAGAATTGCTTGGAAAAGCGCTCAACACCCCATTTGTCCACGAGAACTTCCCCCGCCGCGACTACTTCCTCCTCACCAAAGTCGGGCGCATCGCTGGCGCTGAATTCGACTATTCAGCCCCTTGGGTACGACGTAGCGTACAGAGAAGTCTTGATAACCTACATACCAAGTACCTTGATGTGGTCTACTGCCACGACGTCGAGTTCGTCACTCCAGAGGAGGTCCTCACAGCGATTACAGAACTCCGGAGGATACGAGATGAGACTGGCCGGATAAAGTACGTGGGAATATCTGGCTACCCAGTGGCCACACTTTGTGACCTTGCCGAGATAATCCTTGAACGGACTGGCGAGCCTTTGGACGCAGTCATGTCGTACGCCAATTTTACCCTACAAAACACAAGGCTCAGCTCAGTCGCTCTTCCTAGGCTGAAGGCCGCAGGGGTCAGTGTAGTTCCAAATGCCTCCGTTCTCGGTATGGGGCTGCTGCGCCGTACAGGTGTACCCATCGGCGCTCAGGGCGACTTCCATCCGTCTCCTAGTGAGTTGCGGACAGTGATACAGAAAGCTAGCGATTGGTGTGACCAGCAAGATAATCGGATCGAGAAAGTCGCTATACGCTTCGCATTAGAAGTCTGGATGCGGGAAGGCGAGCCTGTCGGTTCGAAGGGCGATCCAGCCTCTGGAATAGCATGGCGACGAGAGCAGGTTAAGCCGAATGCTCCCAAGCTCGGAGTAAGTGTCATGGGTGTCAGCAACGTGGACGAGCTGAACGAAACGATGCGCGTCTGGAGAAGTATACTTGACGGCCTCGAAGGAGGTGAACACACTGCCGTCGAGTCTGGCCGAGGCTCCAGAGATCGGGTTTGGAGTCTGTCGAGGCAGAAGCAGGTTCAAGAATTGGCTACTGGGATACGAAAGGTCCTTGGAGAGTATCTGGACTTTGCTTGGGCAAGTCCTCCACCAGACTTCAAAAGGCCAGGCCTGTCTTCGACAGTACTTGCACCTTTGCCAACTCCGGCGGCTTCGCCCGATCATTCTGCTTTAAAGCTTCCGCCGGGGGAGTCCATGGATGTAAGCTGCACCGACTTGATCTAATGTTTGATCATAAGAGATACCACAGGAGGACTCGATTGTCGTTTTTCAGGAGGTATGGGCGTTCATTGACGCTCTCAAGCAATTCTGTCGGATGTCAATCAATGACTCCGACTAGCGGGAAGTTTCATGCATGCTTTGAACGCCTCTTGCAAAGCCTCCAGGAGTCAAGCGTTCTAAACGGACTGGGCATGTCACCTAGTCTTTTCCTTTACCAGTCTTGAGATAGAGGAGCCGGACACTTGATGGACGCTCGCTGCCTGCACGGATTTCCTGCTGTTTGGCTCGATGAGCATCTGGCATCGAAGAACTTATCTATGCCGATCGCTAGATCGGAGGCTGCGGCCAACGATGGTACTGTACTTCACGGCTCAAGGCTGCAATTCTATCGGTTGCAGTTTATATTTGTAACCAAAGCTCCGCCATGATTTTCTACTATACGATTCTTCTCTCATATAATTGGAACCGGCCTTCTTTATCCCAACTTGCAGACAACTCCTTCGATCCACGTCCAAAACTTCACTCAATCAAAGACAGAATCCATCCATCTTCTTTCCGTACTGACACCATCTCCTTCACCACAGTAACTTCATCACCTGCATCAGGAACCCGTGCCATTGCCTTATCCCACGGTGAAGCCGTACAAGACTGCTTCGATCCACGTCTTCAATACTCTATTTCATTCGAAGAAATTAATTCTTCATGCTTCTTTCGGTACTGACTCCCTTGTGCTCACCACAGTAGTTGTCTCTTTGTGCATTGGGTTCTGGACTCACACGTTGATGCTCTTACTCGTATGGTTTCGGTGCCTGAAGGCTCGATCATTGGCATTCATGGATTCTTCGGAGGGTCTTGCTGCAAGTAAAGTTTTGAACGGATTTTTTCAATTGAAATGCTTTGATTGGCTTTCCCAGCGTACCGAAAGCAAAGAGAGCGTTTTTGACGCCAAGATTCTGTAAATCATACATGGTGTCTGCTCAGTCAGGGATCCGCCCCCTCCCCATCCTTTCAATATTCCCCAATAGCCCACTCCTCCCTCCCGCCCCGTTGTCGCCCCTGTCCCTGCCATACCCACTCGGTGCCGGCATCCTGCCAATCCTGCTCTCGCCACTATAACCACCGAATCCGGGCGCTTTCAAGCCGGACCCAGAAGTCGATCTCGAAAGCGTGGATCTCGTATCCGACGGTGCGGGTTGTGCGTTGTGAGAGCCCGACGAGGAATTCGCCATGGGGTTTTGAGAGAGAATCATCAGCTCTTCTGTTGCGGCGATCAACTCTGCGGTTTCGGCTCGGGAGGCGGAGAGTTGGGAGAGGAGGGAGACGTTCTGTTCCGTGGAGCTGGCGAGGTTTCGTCGCACGGTTTCAAGCTCTTTCTCCACATTCGCGAGCTGTTGCTTCTGCTCATCAAGACGTTTTGCTTGCTTCTCGAACTCTTGCCTCTGTTCTCCCTGGTGGGCCTTGCTCTCGGGACTTGAACCCGCAGCGAAGGCCCCGGGCTCAACCCCTGTCATAGTTGCATCTCTCCCAATCCTAAGATCATCATTCTCTTTACTCAACTCATCGATCTTGTTCTGCAGATCTTTCATCCTTTTCTCCCATCTGTCCGAATAGCTTTTCTTCAGCGCAGTGACCTTGGCCTCATGCTTAGTTTTGTACAAACCATGTAGCTCTTTTGCAACTTTGGTCACCGCAGCTTCGACTTCACTGTTTGTATTTACGCTGCCGCTGTCCGAGGGCGCAGTAGAGGATGAAGAGGCTCTCATACCGGCAATCTTACTCTCGGCTTCCACTGCTTTTGATTCTGCCTCTTGGCGCTTATCTTCTGCTTCGCTGACTCGTTGTAACAACTGGTCCTTCTCATGCTCACCCCGGATGATCTCCTCTTTCACGTCTTTCAACACGGTTTGCATCTCTTGTTGCCTTTTCTCCCAATCAGCCTTCTCCGCCTGCAACCCCTCCTTCGCATCCCGCTCCTCGCGAACTTGCTCTAGAGATTCGCCAACCCGCCTTTCGGCATCGCCCATCGCATTTTTAAGGCTGCTGACCTCTGCTTCCTTACCACTCAATTCAGCTTTCAGCGAGGATATCTGCGACTGGAAGGCTGATTTCATGGACTCGAGTTCTCGGGCGGAGATGCTGGGTATTGAGCGTGGTGTGGGTGCGGGTGGAAGATCGAAGTCGAGAAGGTTGGCTAGATGACGCGATTCTGAGGGCGTGCCGGGAGGTAACGCTTGTTTTGCCGGTGATGGCGTGCGGCGACTTGACAGATGCGAGGCAAGGTCTGACTGCGTATGGTATTTCTTGGGCGACAGGCGGCCATTCCTGCTGGGCGATCTTTCAGCTGCAGGATTGAATTGGCCTGTGAAGTCGATGAGGAGGTTTGTGGTATCATTGTCCCGAGATGGCTCTTGCCGACGGGGTGTAGGCGATGAGTAGCTATCGTCGTACTGGTGCCGATGTCTTGATGGTGTATTCCTTCCTGTAGGCCTTGGGGTTGGAACTTCTTCGAACGGAGACTTCGCTGGGCTACCAAGTGCGCTTTTCGTAGGAGATTGACCCAGTCGCGCAAACCGAGTCATGTCTGGGTTGGGGACGGCGGAGAAAGCCGAGAACGCCGTGTCGTCCATGCCAGCATAGCCAGCAGGTCCGTCTACCGCAGAGACTGTATCATCATGTATAGTAAAGTCATGTGTCCTCATAGTATCATCTCGCACTGGCTGAGATGCCCGTGTAAGGTCCTCATTCTCTCTCAGCGCGTCCTTGGTAAGCTGCCTGGGTTCGTATTCTTCTGACCGCTCCTTGATCGGCGAGCTATTCTTGCTTCTACTTTCAGGCCTCGCTGGCGACGATTCGACGTCTGCAACGAAGGGGGAGCTAGGAGGGTCGCCTGGACTGTCGGTCATGTTCTCATTGTCTTGCGGTTCATAGGCGTATTTTGTTGGAGAGTGGTAGTTCGACTTCCTTTCCACGGTCAGTGGCGCGATACGATTGGTATTTGAGGGAGGCAACGGCGAGAGCGGTGTAGCCATTCCAGCTGTAGTTCAAGTTGTACTATGTGTGATGGGTAACATTGGTTATGGAGCTGCGCGCAAGAATCCGCGAGTAAACATTGCCAAGCCTCTAAGCCACTAGTGCGTCTTGGGCTCGATTGTTCTAACTAGTGGAACAACGAACCGTCTGCAGTCACCACGGAATTCTTGCTGTCCGATTGTCTGCCTATGACCCCTCATCTGATGGGACTTCTACCACGTCCGTCTCAGCTTCATATATCCTTCTGTAGTTACGAAACGCTCTCATCCACATCGGCACGCTTCTGCTCTGCCACACACCAGTCCTTTTCCTTGCTTGACTAAAAGATGCTCAGTCGTTCATACGAATCCGAGAAGCTACCGAAAGATGGTCACAGTAAGTGACTCGCCACAGCGCTGGCGCAAGAGTTCCTCCAATTGTTCGGATGCCGAGTTATGCAAGCACATGGCAAGGTCGAAGATGGTCGCAGCCTCTTCGTAGTCCTTCTGCAATTGACGTATTTGCATGTGCACCTAACAGCCCGGTGCTGATACATAATTGAGTTCGGCGCTCCTGCATGGTGATGTACCAAATGCGCTGAGCTCTCGCAGGTCCACCTCTCGATAAAATCTGTGTCACTTGAGTGTAGGTATAGTTTCCTCGATGTATTCGTCGATCGATCTTGCGATAGTCAGGGAAACTCTCTGGGACACGCGGTTAATTATCCGAGTTCAGGCTGTCCAGACGTTGAGGAACCGGGGCTCTGCTCTGCGTGATGGGGAGTTTCAATCGAGCTATCGGGAACCGCAGAGCTATGGAGATTTCTTTTTTGCCTTTACTGCCTGTTGCCAATTTGATGTCGCTATTTGCCATGACTCAGGAGAACCTGTGGGAGATATAATGTCTACGCACTGATAAACCCACAGCGCACGCCATCAGGCTGTCAGCGACATGCCTTTGTTTCGCAGACTACAAGACTTCGATTCCGGAATCTCGTCCATCGATAACGATGTCCAAACTTGGAGACTCTGGATACTCGGCAACGGCTCCTTGAACTTTCCTTGCCGTGTCCGTCCTCACCTTCACCCCTTCCTTCTCCCAAGCCAATTACTTCCCACCCGTCTACCCACCGACTCCAGCTCCCCAGATCTTCGGCCATCCGACCTACAACGTTTGTGACTACTTACATCGGGGATGGTGTATGATGCACGGAATTTGAAAGTTGGGCGCTTTGCAGCCGTGAAACAGCTCGATGGTCTGTAATCCGACGAGTGGCCAATCTCAGCAAGTAGTGTAGCGAAGACTTCCAAATACTCGGGTCTTCCATACAGAGGTATCGCCTGATTCAAACTATTTTTCATTGGCGTCAATCTCGTCTGTCGAAGAAACTCCTCCACTGCGAAGCACTTGCTGCTACCTCTACATGAACTGGGTTTGGGTTTGATTGAATATTGTCCCGCTTTCTGCCGAGATTTGAGACTGGGCTTCAAGTTCTTGGGCTTGCTCAACATATACTTCCCAATCTCCATTGTCCCTGATGCTACTACTCGAGCGCTCGAGATACAGCAGGGTCACTGATGGAATTGGTACTATATTGGAAGGGCGACATTGGTTATGGAGCTCTGCGAAAGAATGCGAATGTAAACATTGCCAAGCCTCTGAACCTCATAAATTTGTTGTGGGCTCAATTTGGTATCTTGGGCGTGGGTTTGAGGCATCAGGAACACTGAGATTTTCCCTCTTGGCCACCAATAATGTTATGGCATAATGGGAAATCTCTGACACATCGGCGTATATATCCGAGGTCCATGTCCTTGTGCATGTATTCAGTATGCAGTCCAGTCACGAACCTCCCGCAGTCACCATGACGTTCTTGCTGCGCCGCTGTCTAATTGTCTGTCTATGACTCCTCATCTGATAGCACTTCACCTATGTATCCCAGCAAGCACACGAGACGCAAATCGTCACGCGAGAAGCAAGACAAGAAGGGCAAAGGAAAAGCAGATAAAGAAAGAAGAAGCTAGACACAGCAACCACACGTCGTATAGACTTCATCGCGCACGCTCATTCCAACATCGAAGATGAAGATGATATTGCCGAACAGGCTGCATCCTTAACAGCGTAAGCCTTGAAACATGTAACGGAGCACACAATTGAAGGGGAGAGAGGAAATCACATAGAAACGAAAACGAGGTCGTTTTACATCCACAGAGCCAGCTGCTGCATCAACACGCAACCCAAATCGCTCAACTTAGCCAGAGCCCGATTCAACATCCAACCCAAATCCCACATCAGACCCGACGGATCAAAGACTTGCAAAGACAGGTCCGACAACTCAGCAATGCCCCGCCTCACTTGGCTATCCCAACATCCGCCCCATACCATTAAACCTATACACCGAAGCGAGAACCGAACACAGCTATCATCCCTCCAAATCCCACTTCCCACGCACGGGATCATCCTAGCTGCAGGACAGACCCGTACGGACAGGCGCAGTCACCAACCCTGAGCCACACCCAATGCCCGGGATGACTGTCGTCGAAGTACCCGCCACGAAGCCTGCGTCGCCCAGTGACGGCGCCGTGCCGGAGGTCGTCAGGGGCTGGACGACCACCGGACCGCTATCGTCGCGCCCTTTTGCAACGACCGTGGCGTGGTTTGAACGGTTTCCTGATCCGGCGGCTCTGTCACCACCCATGCCCGTCACGGCGGTTGCCGGGTTGGGTGGTTTGGGAGTGGGCTGGGCGCTTGGAATGGTTGGCCTGGGCTGCTTGTTGGTGGGCTGTGGGGTTGGAGTTTGGGGAGGGATCGGATGGTGGTTGGGGAATGTAGATGGTGGTTTTGAGTACTGGGTGCAAGGACGAATAGGCAAGTAGGTAGTGGTGGTAGGATGCTGCTGCTGCTTTTCTGCCGGAGGATACTTTACTTTTATCTAGTTTCACGGTTTCTGGTCATGGCTACGTGTAGACAGGGACGAACAAAGGGAAGGGGACTGAAGAGAGCAATTAGCCGATGGACATCTGCGAAGGCCGGGATTTTGAGAGAGTGACTTTCTAGTTCTAGGAAGATAGAAGCTTCTACAAGCTTTGAGTTCTCTAACGCCTCATAATCTAAGCACCATCAGCCAGGCTAGCCAGCCTATATGCAAGTAGCCCCCCTGATAAAGCGAATGCCCTGTAATATCTAATCGTGAAACCATGAACGCCCTTGTCGTGCGAAAAAAATCGCTCGTTAGATCGCATGGTAGAAGTATATGTGGAAAAGGATGACGATAGAAAGTGACTACTTCCACCTATTACACTTACACCTACACCTCGTCCCTGTCGGTGACAGTAATGTGTACCACATCCTCCTCCGTCTCTGCAGGCATTGCACTCCGCATGAAGCTAGCCATTGGCCTGATCGTAGCCGTCTTGTTCTTGGTCCTTTGGATTGAGAGAATTTGGAAGGCTCCTGCAATCGCCACAATGCCACTTCCCCACCAAGCGAGTCCTGTAAAGCCGATCTGAGTGCCGACCCCGTAAAGATAGCCTGCGATAGGAGGTGCAATAGTACGGCAAGCTGCACCTGCCGAAGCGGCGAGGCCGTTGACCTTTCCAAGTACTGAGTGGGATGGTGCAGCTTCTTTGAGGAGGATGAGGAGGACCGGGTATCCAAGTATGCTGAAAAAGTTGCGAATAGCCAAGCAGACATAGATGCCTGGGTACAGCGAAGTCTCCGGGAGAAAGGCCAGGTATGGAACGATGAAGTAAGCAACAGGATGGAAAACCGTGACTATAACGAAGGTCTTCCAAACCCCAAGCCAGGACGCGAAGAGAGGAAAAATTATAGCCTGAATGAAAAGGGCGATGATACCATTGATGCACATGATGATCCCGACAGACCGAATGGCAAGGCCAAGGCCGCCGGGGATGTTGAAAGGCGATTGAGAGATACTGCTGGTGGAGACACGTTCGTCTTGCAGGAAAATAGGGAGAAGGTGGTCGTAAGACATGCTGTGGTAGGTGAAGATGCCGAGCGCGACGACTATCATGGCTATTTTTCTAGTGAAGATTTTGGGCTTGTCTTTCAAGGAGGTGGATGCTGGACGCGGAGTACCATCGGCATTCAGCATCCATTCCTTTGATTCGTTAATGTTAACGGTATTGAATGTGCCATAGGTGTCAGCGCGAAGGTCGACTCCATAATCAGCTGTAGCTCCAGCAGTCATCAGAGGCGTTTCCGCGGTGGTATGGTCCAACTCTTCTTGTGTACTCCATGGCTGCATGTCTGGGTGAGTCTCAATTAAAAAGAAGTAGCCGAACAAGATGCTAATAAGAAGTATAGCGGCGCATAGAAGATTGGGGAGGAGGTAAGGAAAGTGGGCAAAGATGCTAGCCGGAGAAAAGACGGAAGGCATGGAGATGGCAGGTCTGGCAAAAGTGCCACCGATTGCAGGGCCAATGATCGTACCGATAGACCAAACGAATGGCATCACTGCAAACGCTCGTGCTGTAGTGTGTGAGCGAATATCAAGTGCGGTCAAGGCAGGAGAGGCTTACGTTCATGCTCAGGCTTCTTGACCAACTCGCCGACCATGGTCTGGATGACTCCGATGTTTCCATCTGCCCCCAACGTTAATCAATGACCATACGTCTTGCAGTACCATCCATACTCACTCAAGAGTCCACCCAAAGCTCTACCAGCGAGGGCCATCCAGAAGTTGGTTGAGAAGCCAACAATGAGCAAGGATATGAGTGTTCCCGCACATCCTATCAGCAAGACCGGCTTCCGCCCAATTCGATCCGATACGCTACCCCACGCGAAGCCGGTCAAAGATTCGGCGAGGGCGAAGGAGGAGATGAAGATGCCGGCCCAGAAAGATGCACTGGATCTATCGCCGACGTGGAAGTCTTTCACCATGACCCATGCATACGGAAAGCATGAGGCCAGGGCTATTGGTTCGGCAACTCGACATATTGCTGTCGAAAGGATCAGCAACGGCTCGTCGACGGGTAGGCGGCGTTGGAAGAAGACGTACCTAGGATGAGGAGCTGTATCGTCGGGAAGCTGTCCGAATTGGGCTTGTTTCTTGAAGCATTGGTCAATACCATTTCCTTAGGTAGATCTATGATTCTCACTGTACACAACCGTGAGCTTGTTCTTTCAAGATACCAAGTTCAGCAATTGTGTTTGATTCGGCTCAAGCTGAGCCTCAACGATGTGATGAAAGCGGGTGGATGAAGGGCGAAGTGGGTCAAAGGGAAGTGACGGCGTGGTAGTGTGGTGGTGTGAAGTTGGAAAAAAAGGTGAGGGTGGAAGTTGCACGCCTCGGCCGTTGAATGAATTGTGGACTGCGGGGCACATTTCATGGATCCGACGATAATCATTCTTTCCGAAATTACTAATAACTATACCCAAAAGAGTCACCATCATGAGGCTTTGCGAATCTGGCCAATCAGTCTTCATCTTCCCTCCATCTTCTTATCATCAGCCTCCACCTCCAAGAAACCGTTGACTCTGGTGACTCCCGATGACGCTGCCCTCAGAGAATAAGCAATGCGACAGCCTACTCATAGACAATGCACAATCTACCTGTCACACTCTCTGTCCGGAGAGGGGTCACAGAGATCCAATGCAGCAAGCTCCTAAATATCTGTACAGTAGAACATACAAGTACGGAGGGCTCGCATTTCGTACCGGTATATACAGGGCATATGTTGCCCCTCGGCCCGAGTCGGGACCTAGACCTGGACCCTGAATGCTTGATTTACCTTACCTTACGCCTTACTCCATCACAGAGCACCGCAAAGGGACGGCATGCAACCATGTATTCATGAACTAGCACCTCTGAATCATCTCGTGCATCTGCTTCTGCAACCATCTACTTACCCAGATCAACCCTTTTCATTAAGGTATGGAGTCGTTACTTCGTATAGCATTGATGATACAGGCCTCCACGGGCAGTTCTAGCACAGCTCCTTCCCTAATCACTCATATATTTATCATGATGGGTACATGTGTACGAACGATGTGTTCGGAGCTCTTATTACGGTAGATGCTCGACCTCACTGCATGGACTGTTTCGTGCTTTCCAGGAAGCACGAACAGTGGGGCGGCTCAAGGAGCGCTTATGCCGACCCCCCACTTCATCTCAAACATCGCATCCCGCTGAGACGGAGCATGCATTGTCCCACCTCCTGAAGAATGCATTATTCCGGATCCTTTCTGCCAGTGATTTCTCTTCATGTGAAGTACGGCGTGCTTGAGGGTCAGTGATTGGGGCTTTGTTTGTCTCACTGTCAAACATCTCAATCTCAAAGGTATGCATGTGATATTCCTTGTCAGCGGACACGGAGATGAAGAAATCTCAATGTCATACAAATATTTCGCAACAGCATGAAACTTCCTTCTCGATGCGGCCCGTCATCTTCTCACGCTCATTGTTTCAGTCACACTCGTAGCTTTGCTTTCGAAGTCTTGCTGGCTTCTTACACTCTTTCTGCCACTGCAAGACGGTCCTTTCTTCTACATTCATTCTTTTGAACACAGCACATACATAATCGCACGTTGTTTTATTGCTTCTTGTAATGATGTTGCTCGATTTGGCCCTGCTCCTATCGGCAGCCTCCCTGGCCACCGGCGCCAGTATTCCCCGTCAAGATCCAGATATCCTTAGTGCCCGTCAAGACTCAGGCGACCCAGGTCTCCAAGACATTCCTACAACAGCCAAGCCCGACAACACATTCAGTAACGGTGCTGCAATGATCGCTGGCTCGGGCACAACAAATGAGACTCCGCCAGAGGTTTACGGCAACCGGACTATTGACCTTCCCTTCGGTCGTCTTTACGTATGTAACTTTGGGGTTCTTCTTCTTTTGTTTAACCATATCTGGAGCCTTGAGACAGGTCGACCGAGTGTCTACTCCGCAGACATTTCTCGAAGCTCGGTATCCCATCACGATCAGACTATACTGACTTCGAAATCTTTGTCCAGCATGGCAACATGAAGTTCTTCTCTGCGGGTCAATTGAACACGCCGACAGGTGACACAGACGAGTGGTTACCTCAAGGGACCGACTCGGCGACTCAGAGTGCTTGCGGAATACCTGATAATGCGTACTCGATTAGCAAAGTCGCTATACATCCTTACTTCCTCAAATACGTGGACCTCAGCCGTAAGTTTCCAGATAGGATGCGTAGACTAATAAGATGGATAATGACTTTTGATGGCCAGGCTACTGCATGCAAGATGTTTGCATCTCGTTCTGGAAAGAAGATGGCTCTTCAGACATGATGCTCAAAGTCACCGACATCTGCTCCACCGACCCCAACGACCCAACCAGCTGCGCGACACCAGCAGACATCAAGATAGATCGGACCAAGGCAAAAATCATGGAAAAGCTCGACAGCGCTCCAACGGGTGACGTCTACCCTGAGCAGATATGGTGGTTCTTCATGAAATGTTGGGACGATGTAAGTTTGGCACTTCTAAATCTCGAAAGTTAAACTACACAAGGAGTAACTCTGTCATCCATGTCAACCCTTGACTGACGTTCTCGCCACCTCCCAGGGCCTCGTTCAACCCGCCTACGCGGACAATTGGTTCGCCACACCCGCCCTTCCCAACAACCTCGAATGGGCTCAAGCAACTCAGCATCAACAGTGGGTAAACAACCAGATTTCCTATCCGCAACAGAATCCGCCGTTGCCACTTTACTTCAATGGTGCGTATGACACCGTCCGCGACAACACCACCTCGCCACCGATTGAAGATTTCGACCCGAACGAGACGTACAGCTGGACACCTATCGCTGGTGGCAAAGGTTGGGGCAACCCGTCCGGCACAGCTAGCGGGACGAGTAACAGTAGCGAGGAAGTTGCTTCAGGCTCCTCTGCTGCAGCTAGCACTAGCACTCAAGGAAGCGGACAGGGCAGCGGCCAAGATGGTGGAGTTACCTCTACGACCTCCGCCGCTGTTCCCGCACAGTCCAGCTCTTCCGGTACAGAAAACGGATCCGAACAAGATGACTGCGACGAATTGTGATTTTCGGCAGTCACCCATACCCGAGTGTTCGAATGACCTTGGTAAGGGCATCTGAGAGGGACTGTATCAGCTTGACGTTAATAATGGGATGGGAATGTTCGGAGGACTTACGAAGCGGAAGATATGCTGGTCGTATCGTGCTGGCTCTGGGTGGCTATGCGTCGCAGGATTGTAGCCTTAATATCACAAATTCGAATCCTTGCGCAAATATTTGTCCCAACCGTTGCCCCAGCGTTTCCTCTGCCGGACTCTCTCTTTCACACCATATTGCACGAAAATATCCTCAGCGGAGGATAAGAATTCAGCCTCACTTTCGTCTTGTCACCCAGGACCGCCGACTTCCGTTTCCTGAGCGTCTTGCAAGCCGAATAGATCAGTATCGTCAGTCCCAGAGCTATCATAGCCAGTGCGATCAACCACGGCGGTGAGATGACCACTTCGTAATCTCCGCTCCAGTAGGGCAGGTGCCACGGTGACGCCGGTGGTGAATGCGGGGCCGTGGCAGCGGGGCGGGCGATTGTGAGTTCGACGTTCTCGCCGACCTTGGCCACCAAGGGTACTTTCCCCATCTTGCGTGCGCTGGGGGTTTTGAAGTGGAGTGCGTCAGACGGAATTGGATATGTAGTCTCCGGGTCGTAGGAGCGCAGCTAGGGGCTGGTGGGTGGTCGTGCAACCGCGCCAAGGGCTGCAGATGTTTCAAACGCACATATGGGATTTCGCGCTGAAGAGGAAAACGTCCCGATGACTGATGGACTTCTCTGAATTCGTGATGATTGATAACAAGCGATTTGTGGTAACTCGAGAACTCCGAAATATCTTCCGAAACGCAGGTGAAATAATGAGAGGCATCATCCCGCTACTTATCTTTCTTTCCCCACCGAATTTCCCATCGCGCGAGACACGCGGCGGTGCACAGGACTAGATTTCGTATTCATGGTGACACAAAGTCGACCAATTGGCCCGCAACCAACACGAGACGAAAGGCTACGACGCTTCAAGTGAGGGGTCCGCCTAACTCCAACAGTTCAATGGTATCGCAAGGCAGAAAGTTCGGACTTGGGAACTTTGAAGCATATTTGTCGTGTTTACAATTTCACTGTGGAGTACGCCGCAGGAACATAGATAGAATTGTAATAGGTGCGGTCGGTCTGTGGTATAAAAGATCCCTGAAGAGCGGGAGCGCCCAAACCAACTCGAAACATGTGCGCTCGGAGTAGGTATTTGGGGAGTTCTGGGACAGAGGGTCTAGACATTGGATTTCTTGCGGTTGCGGCGCGGTACAACATAGAACAGACGGGGAGAGTGGGGCAATAATAAGCCTCAGTACTAGTACGAGGTCTTGGCAGAGGAAATTTGAGTGCGAGTAGGCGAGATCTCGGAATCCGAAACACTAAGGTACTTTATTATAAACGACCGCTCTTAGTTTTTCGTTATTTGTTTTTTATTTCGATTTTCCTTTTTTGTTTTCATTTTTTCAAAACGGAACCGATAAAAAAAATAACATAAAGGGATTTTATAAACCTTTTAATCATGTGATGAGCGTCGTAAGCGGAGCCGTCAATATTATGTAAGATGCGGTATCATCTTCCGGGACACGTGATATAGTTTCGTTTCATTTGGAGGCTGTTAAGGACCAGGTGACGCGCACACTTTTAAAAAAAAAAAACCTCGCAATTTCTTGTCGAAATGACCTCGAAGCGGTGGCAGGAAATCATAGAAAGTGTTCTTGGAGATTGGATCAGGGCTCATCACGGCTGACAGAGCCTCTACCTACTCTCGAACTCAGCCCCACGCCGTTGACACTGACGTTGTTGATCGGTTGAAGATCTGCAGATTCGTGCAAGGTATCCGCCCTGAAAAGCTTGGATAGCCGTTGAAGCAGACTTGCCAGTACCACACGTGCCCACGGCTATTCCTTCCCCCGAAAGCCTCAATGACATCGATTACATCCTTTTCCCATACGACACTGCTACTGCACGCTGGCATCGTGAGGCTATTCAAAGACTTTGATAGCTGCCAATTTCTCTCGCCTGGTTCCCCTACTAATTCTCCAAGCGAGCCCTTTTCACTTCCCTGACCTCCCACATACCTAGTATATACCCTTCAGCTGAGCAAGGGTTTTAGTCGTTAGTCGTTCATCGCTCATCTGATTGTCTAAGCTACTGCAGGCCTTAACCGTTTATCCATGCGCGCGACTCGAACGAGTTATATGTTTGTCATAATTGATGTCACAGCATTAGTTTTCCTAGGGACGCAGGCAGAAATGCTAGTCAGCTGTCAGTTCGTCGGCGCGACTATATCCATATAGTTCGTTCTCTCCCAGCTCTATATACGCTACGCAGGCCCTGGCCTTATGTCAAGAGCCTATTTCGACAAGGTGCTTCTGGCAACGTCCGTGCAACGGTGGAAGCTTCTTTGAGTGCCGGGCGCCTCTTCCAGGGGTCTTGAGACCATCGACTACCTGACCGAAAACTAGCAGGGTATGAACAGATTGAATCTCTGAGCAGACCTGTATTTGGGAACCCCAAGGGCAGGTGAGGCCGTCCACGGTGAGGTGAAGAACCAATTTATGTGAGGAAGAGGCCTGAAGAACTTGAGAAAGAATGTCCTGAGGACTATACCAGCCACGAAGTCGTAGTGGCATCATGAAGCACATTTCACAGGGTTTTCCTCTACTTCGAAATAGCCGTTGAACTGGTCGACAGCCGTGGTGCAGAATGGCCGGACACGGTCAACTCAATACCCCACGACATAGGCTTGGACGTGGCCGGCGGCGCGAGCAGGGTTCTCCTATACGCGCTGGAGATCACCTCATCTCCTTTGCCATCATCGAGCACCGGCACTCTTGTTTGAGCGTAGTATGGAGGTCACAGAGCAGAACCATGGCTTGCTAAAGGTGCGGCAGCAAGCCTCAACCACCAATGCCTGCAACCTCCGTCGATCCTTCGTCATGGACAGAAGCTTGGTGACGGTGGTAGCTGGAGACAAATGTGTATATAAAGTCCTCCATCTGCCTTCATTTCTTATCAGCATCTCTCCGTCACCCACAAGCATCAACACCTACATCATTACCAACCCTTCACCAGACCACTAAACATCAACTTTCCTCCCAAAATGAAGACGTCATTCTTTTCATGCTTGGCTTTGGCCAGCTCATTCGCTTTCGCTGCCCCAGCTGTTGACAGCGCCCTGGTCGACCGTGCCACAGTGTCTCCCTACTATGCTCCGTCTTTGGCGATTCTTACCAGCCTCTACTCGGAGGTCAGACAATACACTGCGGTAATGAGTAAGTCATTATGCCTAACAGCCTTCCCCCAGTACCTTATATATCGACATGCTTTTGCACTGAGTTGCCCTGATCAACTCCAACCCATGTACGCAAAAGATTGACATGTTCTTACTCAGACGCTACTTCCGCGACCTTGAAGCCCCACACTGCAGGCCAAGATACAGCCGCCGTCAATGCCACGTACAAATCGAACATTGCCTCTATCAACACCGCCATCACCGGCGCTACTGCCGACATCAAAAAACTTCTTGCCAGCCCGGCTCCTGCTAAACGTGAACTCACTCTTGCTTCGCGACAAGCCACTGTTAGCCTTCCGGGTGAGCTGGCTATGATTATTGAAGAGGTTGGTGGTACATTGACTGAGATTGTTGCCACCCTCGGATTGAGTAAGCACATTTTTCCCCTTTCTGATGGTAATTCCACAACTAACCGTCAACCTTTCAGCTACCACTCTCTCCTTCCTTGGCCCATTGGTCACGTCTTTGGGCGCATTGGTTGCATCTCTCATCCCTGTTGTGAACAATCTCTTGGCTGTTGTGGAGGAATTGCTCGATGGAGTTCTTGGAGGGTTGAGCGCCGCTTTGCTCGGGCTTACTTTGTGAACAAGTGCGATTCAATGAGAACACCAGGGGCGGGCGAGACCTCCTGCAGTTGTTAAACGAAAAGGTGTGTTCGGCAATGGTCAAGGGTAGAATTGGATAGGATCTAGATGTGTATCGGTACATACTGCGAATCTTGTCATTTTCAATCCAAACCTGATTGTACATATTACATATCCTTAAAAGATTCTTCGATAATTGCGATTTTTGTCTAAGGTTGAGCTACCAGCTAATGGACGTCTTGAGACCTGCAACCCCTAGAACTCTTTCCCGAATAGGAGACTTTGATAGCCGAGGCTTGCCGCGTCTCACCTATCGTCAGCCTCTTGTATGGAACAATTCTTCCCATTGCATATTCACAGAACTCGAGATGGTTCAAGGATTAACATTCTTGTGACTATCAATAATGGCACCCTCAGATCCCTATCCCTCTCCGCCACCATCCCCCGCCCAAATCGAAGCCGACCCCATCCTCCGCAACGCGCTCCGCTACACACTCAGCGCAAAAGAGTACAAGACTCTCCACCAATATCTCATATCTCGCTCACCGCCAGCCGTAAGGAAACGAGCACTTCCACCACCTAAGTATGCCGCATTGGTGCAGAGCAAGGACGATTATAATGGAGCTGCGATAAGAGCTTCGTTGCGGGTGTTCATCGCTACGCAGACGAGCTTGAAGCTCTGGGAGTTGATCAAGGGGAGTTTCTTCGCTGGAGGGAAACCCCAGAGGTAGGTGAACCTGTCACCGGTACTCCAACCGCTGATTCATGGCCACAGGATAAAACCGAAAAACCCCATCCTCAAATCCCCCAACCTCCGGCTCTCCTTCTCCCTCTCCCTCCTCCTACTTCTCCACCGCCTCCTCTTCCGCTTCTTCTCCCGTCTCCGCTCAAATCTGCTCACGAAGGACGCCGCCCCCTTCCGACGGCGGAATCCTCGCATCTCCAGATCCCTGACATCCCGTCTCGCTCCGGCAATCGGCGCAAGTCTGGCGGGCTTCGCGCTCGGCGTTTATCCGGGGGATCAATTAAGGATCACGATTGCTATATATGTGGCGACGAGATCATTGGAGTTTGCGTATATAGCGTTGGAGGAGGATGGGTGGTTTCGTGGGAAACCGTGGTGGTGGGGAAGTTGGTTGTTGATGCCGGTGGCTACGGGTCAATTGCTGCACGCATTTGTTTTCGATAGAGATTGTTTCCCAAAGGTATGCATTCGTCGACTTGAGACAAAAAGAATGTTGCAGAAGTTGACGGTTTCAGGCCTACGGTGACTTCATCCTCGACCACACGCCCAATTACGTCCAACGCAGACCGGCCTCCTATCCCCCAAATCTCTCGTGGCCAAGCACAAACACAATCGTCGATTCGCTGGCCGAGATGTCGCGACTCAATTGGCCGTATGCTCCCTCCGCGGTCTGCTTCAAGAAAGTCATTCCGCTAACAGCCCCTTCCAGACCCTTCATATCCCCGATTCTTTTCCCCTCAACCCAAACCCTCCCACCCTCTCTCACCCAACTAGCGCCCATAACCTCCCCGGCCCACCCGTCTCACACCTTCCTTTCATGCGCAACCCTCCATCCATCCACACCCTCCTGCCTGACAACTTTTGTCCGCTACATCCTAACCGCTTTCCCCACCCTCGCCAAATTCTTCGCCGCCTACTACACTCTGTTCGCTTTGCCGAAGTGGAGAAAGTTCGTGGAGGAGCCGTCGCACGAGCTCAACGCTCTCGCGAAGCGAGTGCTGAGGACGTCGGCCTTCCTGACCGGCGCAATCGGCACGTCCTGGGGCTCCATCTGTCTGTTCCAGAACCTTTTCCCCCGGACGCTCACGCCTTCATCGCGCTGGGTCCTCGGCGGCGCACTCGGCGGCATGTGGGGCTTCGTCGATCGGAGAGGAGGACATGGGCATTTCCTGTCTAGCATAAGACTTGGCATCGACAGTCTGTGGAAAGTGGGCAAGAAGAGGGGTTGGTGGAAGGGTGTTCCAGGTGGAGATGTACTGGTGTTCGTCGCGGGATTGGGCATTGTCAACGTTGTTTATGAGAAGAACAGGGGCGCGGTCGGAGGTGTGGGGAAGGGCGTTGGTTGGCTGAGGGGAGAGGAATTGTTTCCCGAGACGGTGGAGAATGACCTCGAGGGGAAAGCGGAGGGTAAGCGGGATTGAACCTCTCCGTGATGTTGAACGAACGATTTGAACTTATTACAAGACTGAAATCACAAAATGTTCGACAACCATAAATTTAAAGTTGACCAATCAGATCTTCAGATTCCGTGATTTGAACAAAACCACCTACTCATTTCTAACTAAAAGCGGGTCACACGGGTACGTCCAAAAGAGGAAGCGAAAAGAACTCAAATCCTCAAATCACCTTTTATTCCTTTCTTTATCAAAAATATGATAATAAACTAAGTACGTAGAGTTAAGAATTACTTACACGATTTCAGATAACGTAGCGTAGACGAAATATAGAGTATTGAAAGATATACTAAAAACAGAAATTATCGAGCTTGCGAGAAGAGCCTCCCGGCAGGAGCCCGAGAGCCCGGAGAGCCCCGAGGGTCAGGGGGTTTTAGGGGTCCCCCAAGTATACAAATCAATCACAACGTCTGATTCCAGGGTTAGATCCCTAAAACCCTTAAACCCTCGGAGCCTTAAGGGCCCCGAGAGCTGTATCGGAGGGGCTGCAAAGCAAGCTCAAACAATCAAATATCACAAAACAATCAAACTTCGAGCTGCTGACAGCCCCTACAAGCTCAGAGCCCCCAAGGTCAGGGTTTTAGGGGTCTCCCTGAAATAAACAGTCAAAACCAGTACTCGCAAGCTTTCACACGGAAGCCCGCGCCCCAGCACATATTTTCTTGGAACGGCTCGCATGAAACGTTGACGAATCATTCAATGACTCTTTGGAGTCGATAATTCTGCATCGCTCTTTCCATGCATGCTCCTTGTCCTCTTCCGCTCGAAAAGTTCGACGTCGCTCACGGGGTATCATCCAGACCACAACGCCATCGCTATGCATTCGTCCAACCACCTCACTCCTCCTCGCCGCACAGATCCTCCAACAACACCATCATCCTGCCCCTCAACTCCGCCAGCTCCGCCTCGGATACCGTCCCCTTCCTCTTTCCCTGCGCCTTGCCATCCCCCTTCGGACTCACCAGTCCCTCCACAGTACAGAAGAACGGCACCTCCAATTTCTTCAATTCCTTCACGGTAGCCGCCACCATCTCTCCGCAAGCTTGATACACCTTCCTGTCATACATTCTCAGCTCTTCCTCCTCGGAGAACTCGTCCGTCTTCGAGGCGTTGACATGACCGCCGAGCGAACCCAGGACGCTGTCCAATTTCTTCCTCCCCTCCTCCCGGCCCGCTAGCCGTTTCTTCAACTCCTCGCGCCCGTCCCACCATTGCCGCTCGTGCTTGCGTTGGGTCGTGATGAGATGCCGCACCCTGTGCCCGAACCCGGGATCCGCCGTCGTTTGGCCCGTGACGTGCCGGAGAGCGGGCGCCCAGGTGGTGATCGTGGCGGGACGGTGGCCGGGCGGCGCGTGTGCCTTCTTGGGGCCGGGGGTCGAGGCCGGTGGTTTGGCGGCCGGCGTGGGTTCGGGAGGTGGGCGGGGATAGGACGGAGTGGTCTTTTCTAGGCGGGGGCGTGTTTCGGGGGTCGGAGGCGGTCGCTGGGGCTGTGCGTCTGGTGCGTGGGCGGGAGCTGCTTGCGGGTGAGGTGCGGTGATGAGAGGGAGCGATGGGTCGTAGGTTGAAGGGTCGTATTCGTCTTCTTCGAGATCGGGGGTTTGAGGTGGCGCTTGAGGTTGGTGATGGGCCTGAAGAGCTTGGGTTTGGTAAGTCGCTTCAGGGGCTTGCTGCTGAGACGGAGCATAGGCTCGTAGAGTCTGCAGGATGGATGCTAGATCTGTCTGTGGCTGGTAGTTGGATTCCATCGCTGCTCATTGAGATTCGTAGACACGGGCAACACAGACCAGTACATGGGATGAGGCTGATTTATTTGAAGAGGGGAGATAGGATGGGCAAGAAATTTGGCAGCACAATGCTGATCAGCGAGGCAAGACTGTGAGCTGGGTTCAGTATCGAATGAGGTTGCCATTGACCCATTGGCTTATGGACTCGTTCTGCTGCTCACAAGCAATGAACAAATGGATCAAATGCCATCTATGGGATTGGTCCTGAGTAAGACGGAGGTTTTAGGCGAATACATGAGCGCTGCTTGAAGACATTCATGCTCGTCATCCCGCCGCGGATCTCGCCGCGCCAGACTTTTCCTCCACCCTTTGTCCTCAACCCCATTGACCGTACTTAGAGCTCATAGCTCATTCATAATAGCAATCAACCCCAATTCCACAGCTCCCTCACCCACCATGTCCCGCTCCGCCGCCGACGCAACCCGCTTCACCGCCACCTCTCCCCACGCCTACGCCAGACCTACCCCCATAAATCGCCCCGACCCCTCTACACACTCCGCCTCCGGCACGCCCCGACCCAATCCCAACGCCCCGCTCAATCCAAATCCTCGCGTGCCCCCACCCCCAATAGATCCAAAAAAAGGTGCCCAGGGGAGCGCGCCACCGGGGGAAACAGCAGTGGAAAAAGTAGCAAGACTACGCCAGGCGAGGTTACGAGAGAGAGAAGCGCAGATAACGACCTGGGATAGAGTCGTGATCAGGGGGAGGGTGTGGGCGGATCGAGCACACAAGACCACGGTGGTCAGTCTTCTCGGGTTCTCAAGTATGTATTACCCCCTTCGCCGACAGACCTTCCTACGTTCCTCCCGCGGGGCATCTGCTGACCGTAGTGTGTGTACGACAGTCGTCGCAGCGGCGATAACAGGCTTCGCCCTCACCGACATGATCCTGCACAACCGCCGCAAACGTTCAGCCTTCTACGCCGAACAACGCGCCATCTACTCCCAGCGCCTGATCGAGGCCATCGAGACGGAAAAATCCGGCATGCCCCTCGACGAGGACCAAACGCTCGTCATCAACCGCGAAAGGGCACGGGTGCAAGCTGAAGAGGCGGCGAAGGAAAGATCTTGGGGGAAGAGCATCAGGGGGATGTTGATGGGGGGTTTGAAGGGTGATGAGGAGGAAGGGGAGAGAGGGGAGAAGGTCGCGGTACCAAGTGAGGAGGAGATTCTGAAAAAGCTCGGCGTGACCCAAACGTCGATACTCGAGCGAGCGGCGCAGGCGGATAGGGATTCAGGGCCTAAGACTACGGACGTGGGCCACGGCAGTGAAGAGGGCAGGAGAGATGGCACCGGTATACTGCAGGCTGTGGCGGAGAAGAGGAGGGAGGGGGAGAGAGCGATGGAAGCTGCTGGAGTGAGAGGGGGACCGTTAGATCGGATGGCTGAGGGGCCGGTCCAGGCCGTTGGGGGTACGATAGATGCCGCTGAAGAGAAAGCGGGGAGTAGAGGCGGTTGGAGCAATTGGTGGGCGGGAAAGTGAGGGGTGAGGAGTTGAATGTACCATATATGATTGGGGTTGTACACGGTCGATGGCATAGCTTTTGATGAGCCTGGTGTACCAAAAGGGACACTGGCCCTCGCAGACTGCCACCCGCATAATGATCCGTCAGCCCCAAAGGCTTGAGATAAGGGGTATCATGATAAAATTGCCTTCGAATGAATGGCATGCGTGATTTGGCCTCTGTGAGGACAGGGACGGATGCCGAAAGACGGTCACTCCTGTAGGTGTACAGCCGTTTCATAGTCACAATTGGCGAATTGGATCATGAATGCTATGTTCAATAAGTAATGCTGCATGATCGTAACTAAAGTATTTGCTCATTCCACCAAACCATCCGAACTCAAGCCTCGTGGAGGTAAATCAGCATTGTCTTAGAATCGAAAAAAAGTTCTCCGCCAAAGAATAGAACAGATGAGTAACACAAGTACGCCTCCGGTAAAGAGGACCGCGTGAGGGGTATCATACCATTATACCATCATGCACCGTTACGCCGTTGAACGTGGACCATGTCGTGACCTCATCTCATCTACCCCTACCAGAAGCTGCACCAACCGATATAATGCTGGCACAGATTCTCCACATTCGTCGCCTGAGCCACCAATTTTGCGACCTGCCTCTCCACATTCAACTCCTCCTCAGGTCTGAAGTCGCGACCCATCAATTTGTCCTTCACGCGTGCTAACACCTGCACTGCTCTTGCATTCTGCACTTCTTTATCTGCATCGTTGAGATTGTTGTCAAGTACACCAGCTTGCACTGTCGACATACGGCGGGCACGGTAGGAGGCGGTGCGTGGACGCTCCAATTGAGCAGTTCCCAGGTCACCGACAATGGATTGGCGGCGCTCGGAAGGGAAGGAGGGTTCGTCGGGGGCTTCGCGGTTGCCCAGGCGCCAATTGAGAAGAGGATCATGGATGAAGGCTTCCAGTACCGCCATCAAGGACTCTTTATTGTCGCGAATAACACGCATGACCGCCTCGCAAGCAATCTTGTAGCTGCCGTCGATGTTGCTGACTTCCATCGCAAAGGTGAGCATACGAGTAAGACGGAACGGAACACGCTCAGGGTATTTCTCGCGGTGCATGGCTACCTCGAAGCAATCACCGAAATCGATGTGGATGACCTTGCCCGTAATGCGGTCGAGCATCAAGTTGGAAGGGTGGCGGTCGCCAAGCCCCAGAATGTAGCCGACCATGGACATTGTTGCGAGGGAGCGTGTGAAGTTGGTTCGACGGTCGAGCCAAGATTCGGAGCTCTTGCTCTTAAGCCAGAGGACACGGTAGAGATCTTTACCAGTGGTGTTGTCCATTGCGTAGCTAAATACTTCGACCTTCTGCATAAGAGTGAGATTATCGTAGTCTGGTGCCATCTGCAGCATAATTCTGTGCTCGATGTTGAGCAAGATACGACGGTGCTCACGGTACTCCTTGATCAGGTTGTGCAAGGTATCGCTATTCTCGACCCAGCCCAAAAGGCCTGATTGCTGTGACAACGGTATTGCCGGGTATCTCTGGATATTCAAATGGCGTTTGAAGCTCTCGGTATCAGCGTTCAACAGTGTGTTGATGAGGCCAAAGAGCTGCATTACACGCTCATCTTGACGGATGTCCTCATGCCCTTTCAAGCAGAACTCGTAGATTGTACCGTCACTGCCATACATCCTCATTCTCCGAGGACGCTGCTTCGATTGGATGACGCTCATATGGCGATCAAAGCCAGTGATACTGACGACGGGTTTCCCGCTCCGGTACGTCCCTGGCACAGCCAGATCCAGGTTCTTTGCGTCCTTGAGCTTTGGTGAAATGTAGGCTAGGTCGAGGCTCATGATGTTCAGCAGTTGTCGCGAGATTCGACGAAATACTGAGTAATATAGATCCCATGCCTGGTTTAAATCACCATCCTCACCGGTCTGGCGATAAATGTTGCACCAATGCTGAGCTTCCTGCAAATCTCGCCCAAATGATTGAGCAAAAGATATCTCTCGGAGTGTTTCGGCTCCCTGTTCATGATGAGCGATGGCTGGCCAAGTGGAATCGAAGAGCAAATTACCTTGGCTAGTAGGTCATGTAAAGGTCCGAGCGTTGCAAACATGCCTTCGATATCTTTATCTCCAAAGTACCTAGAAACTTAGCACGCTTTTCAAGCTTTAAAGAGGTACCTGTAGACGTACAATCGCGATGCTTCCTCCAAGCCTTCGTGCCAAAGCTCGTGCCATAATACGGCAACTCGAATAAGCTCCTGGCTCACGAGGTGCGCTTGCTCTACTAAGCCCGGGCTGTGCTCCCGCATCTTCTCCATGATCTGCGTAGCAGACTGAGAGCGTCGAGCGACGTGAGATTTGATAGTGACAGTCAATGGATACACTAATGCTTGCGGATGAGCTTTGCCAACCTCGGCGAGGAGACGATGAATTGATCCTCGAACACGATTGTTAGGCTGGTTGATTCGTGCAATCAGTTGCGGAATAACCTCGAGCCAGGTATCGATGCTGACATCGTTGAGACCTTCGAGCACAGCCGTGTTCACTTCCACGTCTCCACCATGAGCGAACCATAGCGTCAGCAATCGGAGCGTATCTTGTAACGAGCTGGAAGACGCCAGAGCGATAGATTTGAAGAAGCCTACGATCGCAGGCACCACATGGCCGGTTACCATGGAGAGAGGAAGGGCACTGCTCTCGCGCTTGGCTTGTGCTGTCAAGGCTGTGACGACTTCAAAATTGGCCAGCGCCCACGAGTGCCAGGCTTTGTACCAGTTCTTGTTGTGTGAAGTTGCATGGGAGTAAGCGTCGATGATTTCGCGGACATGGTTGGATTCCCAATTGCCATGTATCAGGGCCGTCATCCAGTCGCCTTGCCTGATGTAGCATTTGGCTAACAGCTTGCTGAGACTGCTTATGTCGCTACGAGGGAGTCTAGGACCTACACCGTTTTGGCTATTTAAATCCAGCATAAGATTTGTTGCACCAAAGTTGCTGTTTCCGCTCGCTGTGTTTGCCGCGTCTGAAGCGTTGAGTACTTCGAGTTGATGAGACAAATCGGCTGTGAAGGCTCGAAGCCTACGGAGAGATTGTTGTTGTTGACCTGTGGACCAGCTGTATTTAAGTTGTGCATACAAAACCTCCGGCACGGCAGTAGGCCCTTGAAGGGTAGCTTGTGCGGACAGGCCGCTCTCAAGCTGGGCTTGGCCGTCGATAGTGTGACCACTAACATCATGCAGCAGGTGAAGGGATTTCTCAGCTAAGCCTTGGCGGCCGTTCTTCCGACAGAGATTGGCAAATTTGATCCACATGTCGATGTTCTCTCTGGGAGTGAGGACAAGTGCTCGCACTTTTAGCATTTTCTGCCAGACGTCAATATTGGGTTGACAGCCTCTGAGACGCTTGGTCCAAGTGTCCCTCATCGTTTGTCGCTTCTCCTCGTTGCCCGCGATCTTTTTATAGACGATGATCTCCTCGAGTTCAGCGAGCATCTGTACACGAACGACGGTACCGTAGGCTCGGTTATAGGACTCTCCAAGCAATGCGCATAACTCTGCATCGAGACCATCACGAGCTTTCTCGATATGTACTGCAGCCTGTTCGAATTGGTTGCGATGGATCGAAAGGATGGCAGTAAACCAGGCCCGATCAATAGAGTGGGGCTTCATGCCCTCGAGATAGGTATCCATGCGTTCCCACTGGCCTTGACCCCAGGCGGCGGCAGATGCCAAAGGGGCAATGACACGCCGCTGGTCACTAGTAGCGAAGTTCCATTTCAGGTCAGCGAGATCGGCTAAGATATCCCATTCACCAAGAGCGTGGAGACATTTCATCTTGCCCATAGAAATCTCAAAAGCAATTGTATCGTCTGTAATGGGCTGCTGCTCGCGTTTCTCGTATGCCGCCAGAGCTTCGTCCCAGCGCTCAAGCTTTACGTACCAACCTTCCTTGAAGTCGAAGTCGCGGTACTTTTGAGCATTGCGCAGGATCCCAACAGCAGCATCCGTTTGTTGCAGCTGGTTGTTGATGGAAATGAGCGCTTCGACAGTACTGGGTGTCTTCTCTTCTTCAAACTCCAACTCCTTGTAATGCAATGCTTTCGCAAAGGCGTGGTTCTTGGCGGCATAGGCGCCTAGATTGCGAATGTCGATAGGAAGCGCTTTGTCGTCGTGCTCCATGAACTCGCAGAGATTCAACAGCACCTGCATAATCTCAGGAGGAATATAAGTTGATGACAAGGCTGTCTCAATAGATCGTAGAAGCTCTTCCTGATATTGTTCGTAGAGCTCAGTCCAGCATGATGCAAACGCAGAATTGAATAACTCTCTCGCAAGGGGCTGGTATAGGCTGGCCAAGCCAGCGCAAGCTCTCAGCGCGTGAGATGGTGACTCTTTGAGCAGTTCGACACTGAAGCGCCGTATCCACTCGTGCCAGTCCTCGACTGTGGATTTCTGTGAAGCTTCCCAAGCATTCTTTAGATGTTCCTGATTAACCGGTAACTTCTTTTGGCCGACCTCTGCAACTCCAGAGTCATCGCCGAGACCTCCGTAGTGCTCATCTGGGCTGAGATCTTGGGGAAGAGGCTCTCCCTTCCGTAGCTTCGTGATAAGGATGTCATAGTTGTGGTGAGGGACATGATTCGCAACTAAGACTTTGTTGACAGTCCAGACATAGAGTAGGTACTCCTGTCCAAGCTGGAAGACGTAAGCGCAGATGCAGTCGAGCGCTGCTTGTCTCAGGAGCTGCTCCTTCCCAGCAAATAACGCCGTCAAACTGTGTATGATCAATGATGCATAATCTGATATATTGACCAGCCTCGATATCTTTCCAATGGTGTCGATAGCTGCCTTTCGTATAGCGACGGGGTTTGACTGATTCTCGAACATACGGACGAGAGATGGAATGATCATATGCATATGTTCTTCGGCGCTCTGACCAAATACCAAAATGGTATGTAATACCCTCTCGGATGCGGTCCTACGGACTGACACATCGTTGTCAAGCACGCCGAGCATAAGTGGGAGAATCCTTGTAATGCGACCCTTGAACTCACCCTCCAAGGCTCTTGACAATGATTCAACTAGCGAGAGAATCGTTGCTTGCACGGAGCTACTCACAGACCAAAAGTGCTCGACAAGCTCGATGAGGGGATTCGCGAAGTTTCGTATATGGACGCGGACTATAGATACTAGAATTGCTAGCTGATTGAAATAAATCTCGAGCCGCGTGTTTGGTGCGGCGCGTATAATTGTTAAGAAGCTCGGGATGATTTCGGGCAAGAATGGTATACACCGTATTCCAAGGGTTTTGAAGATGGTCACAATGGCCTCAATGACCGCAGTGTGGTATTGGGATAAAGAAGAATCAGCTAGAATAGTCTGCGTTAGTATGTTGAAGACGACCTTGGGATAATAATCCTCATTGGAGGGCGTCATCCCCTCTATCACAAGCCCAACGTCCGAGACTAAATCGGCGGCATTCCTCAGACGAGCTTCAGAAGATACTTCGAGGATCTCTTCATGCTTGTAAGGATCCTGAGCGCCCAGGGTTCCTAGGAGCTTGATAGTCTCTTTTCGCGACCCTCCTGGCTGTTCTGTCTTAATGATGTTTATCAAGATGTCAAGCAGTTGGGGAAAATCTTTGTATGGTTCGATAACATATCCTGCATGTCTCCCAAATTGGCCAAGAGTGTGTAGTGCGGCATCTCTCTTACGCTGAGAGCTCAGATCTTGAAGGGCCTCCACAATCGTAGGCATGATAGTTGGAAGGTATGGCACTAAGACGGTCCCACCGGTAGTGGCAAGCTGTCCAATCGCTGTGATAGTCGTTGCTGCAATTGTGGCATTTGAATCTTCAGCGTTTGGAAGAAGGGTCTTGACCAGGACGTCACAGTACGGCTTGGCAAGCCGAGATGCATTTGCGATTACCAGTCCAACAAGCTTAGCTCCGTCCTCTTTACTCTTGGGGCTTTGAGAATTCTTGATGCTCATGATGAGATTCACAAGGACCTTTCGTAATGATGGAAAGACGTGTGCTGGGTTGATAGCAGTGAGACGACCCACGATGACAATGGCGGCTTGTCGAACTTCGAAATCGGAGTCGTTAACTGCAAGGAAGACATGACGAATATTCTCTGGCTTGGCAAGGTGCTTGTCAAATTGGTCGTTGAGAGCTTGGAGAACGGTTCGTCGGATGTCAGGATCCATGTCTGCCACTCCTAATGCCAACAGTCTCTCAATGACGTCTCCGACGACTCGGATGGCATGGAAACTGGTCTGGTAGATGATAGGATCATGTACAAAAAGCTGGCAGCAGGTCAGTGCCGCTGCTTTTCGAACCTTTGGATTGTTGCTTTCGGTATATCGCATGGCGACATCTCGCACAAATTCATTAAGCCCATGACCAGTGAAGTCGAAACCGCCCAAAGTGACCAAAGCCAGTACTATCTCGGAATCTTTGTGTTCTGCCACTGATAGGTTGAAGTCCTTGGCAAAGGCAGGTAAAGGCGGAATCTTATTCTCGGGGCATCCTAAGGGTCTGAAAGGACGGCCTGACAGTACAAGACTGAGTAGGTCGAGAAGCTTTTCTTGGATCTGATGCTTGACTGGATGAATGTAGTGCGCCATATCGACCAGAGCTTGCGTAAGGGCTTCACTGAGCCCACAAGCAAACACTGGATCGAGCAAAGCTTCCATATATTTGGTAAGAGCCATGCCAACTGCGATCGAGAGCATGCTGATACACTGGAAGACCGGTCCTTCATCAGTACCAATGCGGTTTCGTCTGTTACGTGGTCAGTATAGGGGAAAAGCCGGAGAGGCTGAAAGGACCTTACGCTTTGAGACTGAGACCCTCCCTTATGTAGAGGACAATGCCATCGAGGTATGGTGCAATAGCGCTTGAGACCGCATGTGCGACTTTTCCGATTGCCACGAAAGCTGCATTTCGCTCTTTATCCTTCTTGAGCTGACCTTGTAAGAAGATCATGAATTTGTGTAGGTACTGCGAGGAAAACGTCTCTGGTGCGTATCCGGCAAGTATTGGAATCATTATCACAACCTGAGTGCGTATTCGAGGCTCGCGATGGTCTTTGAGACGAAGAGTGATATCTGCCACATCTCGATAGTGTTCGCGCATAAACATGTTACCTTTGAGGAGGAGTTCCTTCATGATGAGCAGTGATCCATGGATAGTGTCTTGACTGGGTGACTTGAAGCCTTGAAAAGCATCATCGTAGACTCTTTGAAACCATTGTTGACGGAGGTGGGCGTCTCTAGCAGCAATTATTTCGAAGCAGGCACCTACAGCTTCGGCAGCTGTTTCACGGATGAGCACTTTCGGATCTCGGAGGGCGACTAGAATGCAGTCGAAGATTTGTGGTACAAATGCGTAGAGCAGGGTAGGGGAATTCTTAGCGAGCTGTAGTATGATCAGCACAGCTGCAAACCGTCGCGACTCTTGTCTATCGGACTGTAGCCACTCAAGGGCTGAGGAGATTTCGGCCTCGACAAGTTCAGCTGTGAGTGCCCCGCCAGGCACTGCAAGGCGACCCAAAGCTCGAGCTGCGTATACGAGGACGGTATTATCATTGCTTCTTAGAGCTGCCTTGAGGAAGTTGGAGAAGCGTGTCGTCTTCTGAGCAGCATCGTCACCATCGAAGCTGATGAGCTGCTCGATTGCCAGAATCCCGCTTATTTTTTCGGAGGTGTCGTTGCTTTGTACAACGAGTGCAGATATCTTGCTGTTGACAGTATTGTAGTACTCTTGGAACTTGTCCGAAGGTAGTGCTGTGATTATGAACAATCAGCCCGCGCAAAATGAGCAGGGTGAGCAGAAGGACTTACCTCTGGCGGCCGAAACAACTAGGTCTCGCAAATCGTAGGAAGCTCGTAGCCGGGATTCCTCGTTCTTTGATTTGAGCTCGATAAAGGCCCGGTTGAGAGCCTCCATAGCCTGCGCAGCCATGACCTTGGGATTGGATTGTATTTTGTCGAAGTGGTCCCAGACGAAATGTAGTGAGTCGGGGCTGCAAGGCTTACATTCATGAGAGCTGCCTGGGGGCTCGCCTAGTGCATGGCCTTCTGCAGGCCGCGATGACTCAAGGTCGTTATGTGTGTTTGATGTATATGTATCGGAGGTAATGACAGTTGAAGCTGGAGTAGAGGGGCGACTTTCACCGAGCTCGAGATGGAACTGGAGCGCATCCTCTTCACCGTCTGCATCATACGCGTGGGGCTCTTGAATCCCTGTCATCTTAGCCTGACGGGTAGGGCGTAGTGTCTTTTCGCTTGAACTTCGGTAGAACTTGTGATGGTGTGGGTTGCAGGAAGGTTAGCGAGATCACTAGGATCTATCCAACTTTACGGCAATGGATGGATTTCTATGGCGATTCATATGGTCTTAGCACCGAATATTGTGTGGCAGCAATAATGCTTTTGAGAATGTGACATAGCCTATTTCAAGCACAACGACAGACAGAGCAGATTATCCGGCAAGACTGCCGCCGGCTCCCCTGATACTTGAAAATCAAGTAAGATCATATGTATCTTCCTTGAATGCATCTCCTCAAAATCAACTCGGGTTACGTTTTGTCTGGCTCTTTTTCTTTGTGGTATCTTAGTTGGCATTTTATAGGCTTCGTTCCCGGTGCCCATATTCAATACCTCTTGGACTTCGCTACCAGAGGCTGCCTATTGTCGGTTTCTACGTTGAATCCGGTCTATAAACAATTCGAGTTAACCCTTGATGCGCCACAATATATCCTCAAAATCTACCGATCAGCGAGCGAACAGCGACTTCTGAGCATGTTTAGCTATCGGTTTGTTGCAATGAGAGCGACGGACATATTGCTGCATTGGGAGGGGAGCATGCCACGACTTCGTGGTCAAACATGGAGTGAACGATTTTGAAACTGCCTGTAATGTGGAATGAGGGGCTCGGTTGGTTACGAAACCATAATCTCACAATGACCGTCAATTTCAAACGCTTCAATCCAGGCAGTGTGTGTGGGCCTGTATTCTTACACTCTCTGCTTGGGTTAGGTACTCAGTGCCTCACGTCAGAGTTTCTGTTCCGGTGACCCATCATCGTGTGCAATTTTCATGGACTCCAAATCCTTGCGAATCGACCTTGCATATGTCGAGAGTCTACGGACTAGTCTCTTTTGTGGCTCAGGTCCCCTAAGATTGGTAGAAAGAAAGGTTCATGCTGATTTCAAAGCATGGCTACGGAATGGTAGATTTCCATTGTGCTTGAAGCTGCTGCTGGATGGTCTAAGTACCAAGCCGAACTGATGCCGGTCCATTCCCTGTTGATCGGGTCTTTTTGTTTATGTAAGAGTCATGCGCTTCTGTCTTTGTAAACTTAATACTAAGCGTCATCTTTGCGGTAAGTGCTCTTGGATCTATAATGTGAAATGTTCTGATCGCTTACGTCGTCCTACTGTCATAATCACATATTCTCGTCCTCAACATGCCTCTTCGTTTTTGAAAAGAGATCAGAGGAGGAAAGCACAGTTCAAGCTAAAGGGTATCATCTCGACGAGGTAAGGCCGGAGCACTTTTGCTGTCTAGATTTGTTTCCCGGTCATGAAGCAAGAATCGAATGCCGCTCGCCTCCTAGTGAAGATATATCAAGCGAGAGTGAAGATCACGGACAGTGCAGGTACAGTTCGATTTCCCATGTAGTCCATTCTACTAATCCCGCATTCTTGCAGTCCGTAGAAGTGTTTCTTGTATCTAGCGTTTGCGGTCTCCTAAGTTAACTAATATTTTGAGATCCCATGATGTAAATTTCGAATATCATCTTCATTGCTATCCAAAAACCGGTCTGTCCAGCCTAAGCGCCGACTGCCTGCAGACTCTTCACCGCATCAACAATACTCTCCTTAAGGCTTATGAATTTAATGCCTAGAACTTCTTTGACCCTCGAGTTATCATACTGGTACAGACCACCCTCTGGGTATCCTCCACCTTTGGTGCCTTTTGCGGGCAATTCGTTCTTGAGCTCTGGGAAATTGTCCCTCATGATATCCGCAATCTCTTCATTGCTGAAATAACCTGTTGTGACGAAGAATCTCTTGTTCGCCGCTTCAGGCAACTCGGCAGCTTTGACGTGCGCAAGCGCCAAGTCACGGACATCGGTCCAAACAAATGTGCCTGTAGGCGGCAACTCCTCCTTGGCCTTTCCGGTCATCAGCGCAGCAATCCTTTGATTCGACGTGTTCAGGTTGTCCAAGCTTTGCAGATAGTGTACAATTGGTCCCAAGACTAGTGGAGGGCACATCGTCGAGATTGTGAAGTTTGGCTTCTCCTTTTCCAAAAATTCCCATGACGCTCTTTCGGCAAAAGTCTTGGAGGCGCGGTAGCCATTCGATGGATTTTGGACGGCTTCTTCTTCGGTGATCGGGTTCCAGTCTTTCTCGGAGTATGTGTAGCCGGGCCGGGTGCCCTTTGATGGGTCGATGATTGAGGCGAAAGAGGAGGTGATAATCTGGGACTGTGTTAGCTCTGGTTCATTACGGGGAGAGATGGTGAAGGCGTACCACGCGTTTGACAGTTGGAGCGTGGTTCTTTGTTGACTCCAGAATACCTGTCGTTCCGATGACTGCAGGATCCAGCAGCTCTTTCTTAGTATCCGTGGCGTTGAAATGGAACGGAGATGCTGTATGAATTATGACTTCGAAAGGAGGGTTTGACTGGACTGCCTTGTCGAATGCTCCTGGTTTGGCAATGTCCTCCACGATAACGAAATCGAGTTTGTCTTTGGAGACTTTAGGGTGATTGTCGAGGATCTTTTGTCCTTTCTCTGTAGATCGGACGGTTGTAACCACTGAGTGGCCGCGCTCGAGGAGGATGTCTAGGACATGGGCAGCTATGAAGCCTGAGCCACCTAGTTGTCTACTGTCAGTGACGGGATCTTGATATTTAAGGAGCGGTCGTGGGCCTTGTACCTGTGAGAAGGACGCGAGACATGTTCTTGTGCTGTCGGGTGGTTCAACTGATCTTTTAACTGAATTGCTGTAGTTTTATGGTCTAGAGGTATTTTCAGGGGGTGTGTATGAGTGCATGGAATCAGAGAAGGAAACTCGAGTGTATATAAAGACTTGACTTCAAGGGTACGTCATAGTGTCGTTTACCGGGATTTTGCCCGACCCCACAAGCCCTAACATTAAGCCCTAAGTCCCCAATGTCCGCTTCTAAATTCAATGTTTCTGAAGACCATGCTAAAATTGGCACCTGCAGATACAGTTGAGCTAGTCGGAGTTTTGGGAGAGTCTATGCGTGAGCGGAGTCCAGAGATGATGGAGCTGAGCATGGAATAAGGCCCCAACCGGGGCCGAAGCAGCTGCGGTTAATCATCGAACGTCGCGCAATTGGATACCGTGACTGCCCTTGTATGAGGATGCGGCAGGGGGTTCCCACCCTTTCAGGACCACTGGATCAGTGATTCTGTAAACTTCAACTCCAAGTGGACGACAGCATTCTAGCATAGGGTCCTCTCCGTCGTTCTTTGCCCAGCCCCATTTGGAGAGGTCCCCTCCTGGACAGGTCGACAAAGCACACAAAACATCGATCTCTGCAAAGAATTCGAAGAAGTCTCCTGATTTTGCTGGGCATGGTTGCATGAAGTATTCACCATTTCTGTTCAAGCCAGTCACCTGAAAGACATTTAACACATCGTGAACATCAAATTCTGTTAAGCCATATGGCAGTATGGCACGAGTCAGATTGGAATGACAGTGGTAGTCAAAACCCTGTCCGGAAAGCATCTGGTTGACATATGGATCGCACCGTGTACCAAGTAGATCATGGACCCTACCGCCTGCCTCGTCAACTCCAAAGTGTTCCAAAGAATCGCCAGTGATAGTCACTAGTGGTCGGAGGTATGGGAGGCAGGACCATAAGCGATTGTATTTGGTAACGTGAGACGCGTGCAGCTGTCTCGTCCGAGAAGCCCAGAACCTTTCTCTGGGGTTGTGAAGGTTCCAGATGTTGAGGTCCAAAACCACAATTAAAAAAGTTTTAGGACCTTCAGGTTTCGCGATTCCTACTAAGCATATTTCTTAACTTTTATACGAAGTATATATATTATTCCTTTAACTATTATAGAATTATTATAGAGAGTTATTATTAAGACTTTAGAAATATATTACGTAGTCTCTAAGCTTAATTAAGCTAGTTTAGATATTAGTCTATAAAAATTATATAAAGTTCTTCTCTAAATAAATTCTTCTTCTTTAATAATAATATTAATATTATATACGTATACTACTATAATATCTTCTTTCTATACTACTTTATAAAGTAGCTTCTAGCTAACTTCTACGTTAATATTATTATACTATTATTACTATATTATTATTACTATTAATAATATAAATATAATATTATAATCTCTCTTAATATCTTAATATCTTTACTTTCTATAGCCTTTTCTAATCTCTCTATTTTATATAAAGTTACTTATATATAATAGCTAGCTAACTTTATACGTTAAGGCTTTTATCTTATAAAACGCCGTCGCTATCGCTATTATTCTTACCGCCGTCTCGACTAACTAGTATTCTTATCTTCTTATAGAATAATAATAGCTTATATTCTTCGTTTATAGCTCGATTAATTATATTATTCTAGTCTTATTAGAATAGAATATTAATTTCATTTAAAAGGCGATTTAGCCTTATTAAATTAAATAGTATCGATTAAGATATATTAATACTATTCTAATTTAGTCGCGCGAACTTACTATCTCTATAGCTTATTCGTAATACTTATAAACTCCGCGTTCTAATCTTCGCCTCTTTTTTATATATTATCGCTTAGCGAGATATTTTAAGAGAGCGTATATTAATTATAAATAGCGGGATTACGAAGCTTAATACTTCTTTATATTAAGAAGATAATTTAGAGATAATAAAGATAAAGACGAAGGGAAGTATAAGCGTTATTCTTATTTACTTAAAAGAGATAATAGCCCTTCGAATTAGAAGTAGATTATCGATTCTTAACTAAGAAAGAGAAGATTATTAAGAGAAGTTAATAACTCTATTACTATTTAAATATATATTAAGTTTCTTTTATATAATATTTACGAGTCTTTTTTTTATATAGTCTATTTTAAAGTATAGTTATATACTTAAATAATTAGTCTATACCTCTACGTAATATTTAAGATTAATATCTTATTAAAGAAAAGCTAAAATAGACTATTCTTCTATATTATATAAAGTATCTCTCTTTATATAATATAAATAGAATAAAATTTAAATATATTATCTTTAAAAGAATATTTATATAAAGTTATTTAGACTCTTATAGTTATTAGTTATTAAGTTTAATATAATTACTAAGATTACTATAGTTACTTAGTTATTATTATTATAATTATCTATAATTACTTTATATAAAGAAAGTTATTATAATTTTTTAGCTATAATAATAATTAGCTATTTTAAATAAACTATTTATAAAAGATATTAAGATCTAAATATACTAAAGTCTCTTATTAAAAGATACTCTAAATTAATCTATCTCTTTTATATAAAGATTTATTTATTAATAATTAATATCGTATAAGATATAAATAAATCGTATTTAACTTACTTCTATTATCGCCGCTACTACTTCTACTTTTCTTCTATCTTCTTTATTTCTTTATTCTTATTATCTAGAAGTCTCTCTAGCTCTTTAATCTAATTTCTTATATAATTAGATAGAGATTCTTTATTAAAATAATTTAATAAGTTATAAGTTATAAATATAAGCGTAGTTAATATTATTACTACTATTAAAGCTATTATAGTAATAAAAAAAGCCAACTTTATATAAGCTACTATATCTACTATAGTAATAAAAAAAGCCGACTTTATATAAATCGCTAAGAATATTATAGTAGTAAAAGAAAGTAACTTTATATAAGCTACTATAAATACTATAATAGCGAAAGATTTAGACTTTATATGAATATAATTAATTAAAAATCGATTAAAAGTTATTATTATATTCTTTCTTTAGTAATTAATTATATTCTCTAATAATTCGTTAAATAATATACTTATAGAAAAATTCTAATAAGATCTTTTATAAGTCGATATTTAAGATTCTAATTTAATCGTATAAGACTCTTATATAAATTTAAAGATAAAAAAATCTTCTTACTTATATCGATTTCGAGAGAAGAGAGATTATAAGATACTTTAAAATCGTATAAATTATTTCTTCTTCTTAATCTAAGGCTCTTATTTAATCTAAGACTCTTATTTAATAAGAGAGTTTTCTTCAAATAACTCCTCTTCTTTAATAAGAGATTTATATAATTTCATATAAGCTTATCGCTCTTAAGCGACTATAAAGATAATTTATTTCTTTTCTTTATAGTACTTAATAAAGAAATCTCTTTTTAGAAGCTCTTTTATAGTTCGTATAAGCGATACGCTTTTAGAGAGCTTTATAAGACTATTAGCCTTAGATTACGATTATATTAAATATTATTTAAAATCTAAATAACTTTTATATAATTATAAAAGATTAGCACGCTCTTAAATAATATCGTTATAGATAAAATTCTAATAACTCTAAATTAAATAATAAGAAATTTAAATTATAATAGAGTCTACTTAGTAGTTAGTAAATCGTATAATATTAATTAAGAGTAAATACTTATTTTCTTACTATTAATAACTTTTATAAGATTTAAAATCTTTATATCCTCGATAATTATAGATTATATAGTATATAGAATAGTTATAATATTTATATAAGAGCGGTTATTTATTAGCGAGACTATTAGTTTTTTATTAATCGAAGAATATCGCGTAATATTACTCTATTATATACTCTTAACTACTATATTCTAATTATATAAAGTAAATTAAGACTCTAATATCGAAGATCTTTTATATAATTATTAAATTAATAGAGATAATTTATTATATACTAATTAAGCTAGTTAAATAAATTTATTATATACTAATTAAACTAGCTAAGTAGATTTAATATTTTATTAAATAATCTACTATTACGGAGATTATTTTATTAACTACGTATAAATAGATCTAGCGAGATAATTTAAAGAGTTATTAAGTTCGATTAGCTAAGAGAGATTAGCTAAATAATATTTAAATATATTAGAAATAGATTATATAAAGTAAGAGTTTATAGCCTTATAGTCTCTATACTATAAGTATTTACTTAAATATTATATATTAATAAATCTATATCTCGATATCTAGATATATATAATCTCTTTTAAATTAGAGAATATCGTATATAGAAGTTAAAAAGAAGAGAAATAAGATTATATAATAAGTAATTAATAGATTATAAGAATATTTATAGAATATTATCGACTTCTTATAGTTAGTTTCTAAAACCTTTATCTATATTATCTTCTTAGAAGTTTAATTCTTATATATTTTTTAATAATCGTAAATCTAATCTAATCTACTATAATATACTCTTTAATCTTAAAACTAATTTAAATCGAGATTTATATTCTTTAATCTTATAATTATTTACTATTATATAAAGAGCTAGATAATAATCTAATTATGGCGATTAACGCTTATATAAGAGAATAGCGAGCGGTAAATACGAATTAAATTCTCGATAATAAAGAAAAGTATTATATTATTCGAGTATAAAGAGTAAAAGATATTTATCTAAATCTAATAGGCTTAATTAGTATTAAACTAATATATAGCGTTCTTTATATAAAGAATAAATTTAAATTAGAGTTATATATAGCGTTCTTAATATAATAAATCTCATTTTTATATAAAATAAAGATTCGTTATATTAAGAACGCTATATTCGTAGAAAGAAAAGATACGCTAACTTATCTTAGTCTTCTACGTTATAACGTAATTATATAAGAGTTAATTTATATAAATTAAGTTTATAATTTTTAATATTATCTTTAGAATACTAGAAGAGAGTATATAACTTTCTCTATATAGACTTCGAACGATAAGACTACTTACGTATTAAATATATATTTTAATTATCTATAAAGTATATAACTTTTATATAAATTTTAGAAAAGTAGATTATAAGAATTATAACTCGATCGACTAGAACGTCTTTAAAATACTTTTTAATTTCTTAAAGCGTATTAAAGAACTTTATTTACTTTCTAAGAAGAGATTTAATTAATTAAGCTTATTAAGACTTAATTTGTTAATTAAAAATACTTATCTCATATATATAATACTCTTTAAAAGCTATTTTCGAATTATATATCTATTATAGAGTAAGATACGCTTATACTATTAGAATAGTCTCGCTCTTATAATCGAATTATATAAATCGAGGCTATTATCTAAATATAGAAATATAATCTAGAAATTCTTATAGAATATTAATAGTCGTACGATTAATAATATCTATAATAAGCTATAGAATATACTAGATATAGTCGTCTATTCCGCTATAGATCTCGATATTATAATCTAAAAGCTTATTATAATTATTTATAAATTATATTAGATTTAAATTAAAAACGACGTATTTACCTCGCTTTCGCTATATATCTCGAAATTATCGATTAATAGTATTAAGAAGAATCGTACGATACTAGATAAAGAGATAATCTCTAAGATACTTTAATATATATAGAGATAATTAAATTTATATAAAGAATATCTTATAACTAAATATTCTAGTTTTCGAAAATACTTTATTAATTACCCTCGTTTATAACTCTAAATTATATTCTTATTAAGCTTCTACTTAATTAACCCTTATAAGACTTTATTTATATACTCTCTCTTTTCTTAACTCAATTCTAATCGCTTAAAGTCGAGCTCTTTTCTAATTTATATAAGATCTCGAGATATAATTTAAAAGCCTTTAGACTTTAGCTATATAAGTATTTCTTTATTTAAAACTCTAATTTTATAGAATAAATATTAAATTCGACTTCGTAATTACTCGAAGTCTTTTATACAATCTTACTAATAAGAGTTCTATTCTTTTAATCAATATTAGAGCGTATAAGTATTAATCTTTAGATCTTTATTATCTACTAGCTAGATAATAATCTTCTACTATTTTTATTACTTTATATAAATTTAATTAAGAATCTTATCTTTATACTCTTCTAATTCTTTAAATAAACGATTATTAATACTATAAAGAGGTATTATATATAAGATCCTCTTAGTAGAAAGTAGAATATCATATAAAAGAGATAGATAGATAAGGTTATCGTAAAAAGAAAAATGAAAAGAGGAAAAAAAAAATTAAAGATTTTTTTTTTTTTTTTTCTAGTGAGCCTGCGCCGTCTAAAGTATATATTGTATAAGATCCCGCTTGGCGCACGATCCGAGGATCCGACCCCGGAGGCGCCCCCCAAAAGCTTGGCTTGCTCTCCAAAGTGACATAAAGTAGGTACTACTTGTACCTTACGTAGAAACCTTCTCAACTAATCCCATCTTGGACTTGTTCCAAGATTCAGTTACTCCCTTATCATAGGCTAACAAGAAGCCAAGATGTCAATACATATCATTTATCATGGCCAGGCTGTCTCCAGTTCGCCCAGCTCCCCTTCATTATACTCACCTGATTCCCGCACGTCGGGCTTAAAATTCAGTATCTTGTTGACACCCACCGTCTATCGACAAGATGTTTTGGTCCAAGAACAGCGATGCCGTCGAAGAGATGGAGCTAGACGCGGAGCTCCAGGATACCCACCACGACGGCAATATTGGAACTCAGGTGCCTGTTGAAGGCAGTGGAGTCAGGCCTAGGGGTCGCATTCTGTACACATTTCAGACGCACAGAGGCCTAAAGAGTAGGCATATCCAGCTGATTGCTCTGGGAGGAAGCATCGGTACCGGACTCTTTGTCGGAACAGGCACAACGCTTTCCTTGGCTGGACCAGCACCCCTGTTCATGTGTACGTATCACTAATCTGGCTTGAAGTTCTGGTCACTAATGAGTATAGCTTTCATTGTCATATCAGTTATCGTTTGGATTGTGGTTCAAAGCCTGGCAGAGATGACAACTTATCTTCCGGTCGAAGGAGCTTCAGTGCCATTTTATGTCCACCGCTTCTTCGAACCTTCCTTGGCGTTTGCAGCAGGTTGGAATTACTTCTATTCGTATGCTATGCTGGTGGCTGCTGAGATATCCGCTGCAAGTGTTGTTATAGACTATTGGGACAATCCCGTGTACGTATTCGAGGCAACTGAGACAAAGATACTATACTGACAAGAGCATTCTTACAGACCGGTTGCAGCATGGATCACCATTATACTCATCACTGTTGTTCTTCTCAACGTCTTTGCAGTCCGCATCTACGGCGAGTCTGAGTTCTGGTTTGCCTCGATCAAGATCATCGCTATTTTAGGCCTCATCATCCTCGGCATCGTGCTCTTCTTCGGTGGTGGACCCAATCACGATCGACTCGGCTTTCGCTACTGGAATGATCCTGGAGCATTCAATAGCTACCCAAAGCCCGGACTCGGGAATACGGGCAAGTTCCTCGCATTCTGGACTTCACTCATCCGCTCAGGCTTCGCGTTCATACTTTCGCCAGAAACCATCACCATTGCTGCCGGTGAGAGTGAGGCTCCAAGACGCAACATCCCCAAGGCGAGCAAGCGCTTCATTTACCGCTTGATAGTCTTCTACATCTTGGGCACACTAGTTGTATCTGTCATCATTGCCTCGAACGATGCGGATCTCCTGCAAGCAGTGAGCAGTGGCACAACGAATGCAGGTGCTAGCCCATTCGTCATTGGTATCAAAAGAGCCGGGATTCAGGGTTTGGATCATGTCGTCAACGCAGTGATCATAACCTCAGCCTGGAGTGCCGCAAACAGCTTCCTCTACGCAGGTAGCCGCTCGCTTTTTAGCCTTGCGATGACTGGTCAAGCCCCAAAGATATTCACCAAGTGCTGTAATGGTGTCCCATACGTTGCTGTTTTTGCCACAGCCGCGCTGGGGAGTCTTGCGTACTTGAGTGTTTCAAGCGGATCGGCGACTGTGTTTGCTTGGTTTCTGAACCTGACGACCATTGGCGGCTACGTCGCATGGGTTGTGATGTTCATGACATACTTGGTACTCTCTTCTTTACCCCCCCACTCTCTCAGGCTGAGCTGACAGAGACTTTTCAGCGCTTCCGGAAAGCCCTCGCCTACAACGGCATTCTCTCCTCAATTCCGTTCAAAAGTCCCTGGCAACCATACACAAGCTATTTTGCCATGATCATGCTCATTCTGCTGTGCCTAACCAACGGCTTCCAAGTTTTCTTCCCCAGCAACTTCTCAGCAGCATCTTTCCTAGCAGCGTATATCACTCTGCCTCTGTTTTTTACTTTATATTTGGGACATAAACTGTGGGCTCGAACCCCTTGGATACGGTCAATCGAGACGGTGGATGTTTGGAGTGGTAAAGAAGAAGCGGATCGACAGGAAGAGGAGGACATGGGACCCTCCATACCTAGGAATCTGTTAGAGAGGATATGGTTTTGGATTGTTTGACATTGTCTCTTCACGCTTCGTCTCGATATATGCGTACACTGCTAAGTAGTGTAACATTTGGCACATTATTCCTTCCACCGTTTCATTGGCACCATCAGAGTCGGACGTCTATCCTTGGCCGTTCATTCCAATTGTTCCTCTCATCTGCCTTGAAATTGAGAACGCAGAATGTCATGGTCAGGGAACGAGTCAAAAATCAACAGATCTCAAGCTGAGAAAGACCACAGTCTTTAGTGTAAAGTTGTTTCATTGCTAATGAGTGACAGGGCTTGCGAGTATCTTTCAGATCAGTAAGCGCGGGGCACTTCTAAAGGCAAACCAAAATTATCGTCAAACTCCGGCAGACACCAGATCTATCAGAGCCCTCAACATCTCATAGAACTTCCATCAGTTTTCCCGGATGTTGCTTCCAATACTTCAGCTATCCTGGCCTCGCCTCGCTGTCTTCAGAGCCCACCGACTTTTCGAGATCTTCCATAACCTTTCCAGTCGCCTTCCTAGGCCTCACTTCGCCATTCGTCCCCGGTACAAATTGCACCTTCACAACATCGTAGATGCTCCTATTGGTCATGAGCTCTAAAGTGCTCTGCAGATTCTCATCTGTAAGCTCCCTTTCCCTGCAAAATCCGGGCGTATCGACCGTCTTCTCGGTCAAGACGGCTATTAGACGAGAGATCTGCGCGTCAGCGTAAATGGGGTGCGGATTCTTAAACTCTCCGTGCTGACGAAGAGCGTCCAAGATTACTCGTTCGAGAGACCGGTAGGTAATGGTAGAAAGGACATGGATGCATATGCTGGCTTTGCAACGTTTGGAGCGTTCGACGAGATATTGGATCCTGAGATGAACGGTCTCCGCGTCCTTGTCGCGTACGTCTGTAATTGGTTGGTCTTGGTTGGTGGGGTTTGGATCTTGGGACGCTCCTTGGTCGGCTTCATCGTTGCCGACATCCTCAGTGATTTCACCAATGTGGCGTTCTGTGTTGTCACCAGCATTGAGGCCCCTTCCTTCTGGTCTCCGATATCCGGTGAGCATGGAAACTCGAGCCACAGGGTTAGGTGCTGCCTCTCCCTCGTCAAGATATTCACCGAGCGGCGATGATGGCCGCAAAGGAGATTCGGGGATCTCAGAGGCATGCAGGATGACCTCCTCTTGGCTATGATCGAATTCCAGATCAGCTTGGCTTGCGGTTTCGTCTTCACGCTCTTGGGTCGGCGCGGTTGCGGGTTCTTGGACCTCTCCCTCTCCAATGTCAAAGAGATTGGAACCTCCACCGAGCGGCAGTGTTGGGGGTAAAGGAGATTCAGGGATCTCCGGGGCAAGCAAGTCGACCTCATGGCCATGATCGGTCTCCGTATCAGCTTGGCTTGCGATTTCTCCAACGTCATCGGCTGGTGTGGCTGCGGTTTCTTGGTTCTCTCCTCCCTCGGTGGTGTTACTTGGAGTTGCTTTCATTGGCGAGCTTGATTCGTCTGGGATATCATTCTCCTGGCTGGGAGCTGGGGTACCTTCGGAAGCAGCACTAGCATATACTGAACCGTCATTCATTTCACCAGCTTGCTCGGAGCCCACTAGCATGGCCATTTCCGGTTCTCTGCTCTCCACATCACCATGGTCAGGGCTAGCTGAAGCGGGTATCACTGAGCTGCTACTCTCTCCGTTACCATTGTCAGCACCAGCTGAAGTAACCGTCACTGAGCCCCTAGTCTCTTCGTCGCCATGGTCAGAGCCAGCTGGCGTGCCTACCTCTGAGGTGCCATGTTCTCCATCGTCATGGCAAAATCCAGTTGCAGTGGGTGTTATGGGCCTATGATCGTCACACACACTGCGCTCAGAAGAAATCAAAGCTGGTGTCCTTCGGTCGTCTTCTGAATCCTCGATTAACACACCCTCGATAATTGTTGGGCCATCGATGACGTATTCTTCCATATTGTCAACAATGCTGGTGCTTCCCTCTCGGATCAAGGAACTGGGAGCCTCTCCATGGCCAGCGATACAGTTCCCGCCTTGCTCACCCGTGGGAGCCGTTGGTTCTAGATCAATCGAATCCCAGATTCCATCCTGATCAGTATCAGAGCCTTCTTCGTCATTAAAGTCTGATTGGTCTGCGTCATCGGCACCTAGGTCATCTGAATTGCTCGAAATCCGATGAGGAGGGACCGCTTCGGTAGCCTCCGTAAGAGCCCGTTGTTGTGGATTTATGGCTTCAGCTGATATGACCATCACTGCGGTGTCAGAGACCAATCGATTGGTGTCGCCTCGAACCTGCTCAGAATGGCGGTTCTCCGTGTCGGAAGCATCTGCCATCGGAGTCAGGACTGCTGCCTCATCTTCCTCTTGAGCTTGGTCCCCAGCGATCTCTGCGCTTGGAAACTCCACCACCACGGGAGAGGTTGGCGTTGTAGGGTTGCTGTTGCTAGACTGCTGCTCTGAGAGCTTCACCTCATTTGGAGACGCCATTGTTGTGGTGATTGTGTGAGGAGGCTATGGTATTGGTTTATCGCTGGGGAATGGGAGCATATTTATGCGGCGTATTTGGTTAGATACAGGACAACTCTGAAAAACTACCGCTTTGTCCTCAGAATGCAGTTGGATGTCTCTGGAAGTATCTGCTTGTCATTGATGGATGTTGCCTGTGCCGCCTCCTTCATTCCTGGGTCATGTTTGACGATGCCACGCCAGATTTGGCTTTTGCATGAAAGAGCCTCATGCAGCTTGAAGATGTTGGTAGGTCCTAGCGCTCTCACGTCGTGGGGACATTCTGGCCTCACAAAATCTCTGGGGCGGCCTAGCTGTCGCTACCCGCTGCTTCAATTTGTGCTCTTTATGTCGTGCTGGATACCGGGCGATCGTGCTCGATCTATCTCTGGCGTGGAGACTTCATGCAGCTGCCCGATCCCGATGGTGCCGAATCTGTAAGACGGAACCGCGGCTCCATGGAGGGTATCGTGTCAGACCCTAGGTGCCGCCGAACCTTTATCGTGACTGTCTTGGCCCAGACTAGCGATCTCATCGGCTGAGCTGTAAACTGCAAGCCTCACTACTTCCAGGTTGATGCCCAGATCGGGCAATCTGCTATTCATCTCCTGCCGTTGAGTCGCAAGCTTTGCTTTAACTGCACCCACTCTTTCGTATAGCCCTTCAAGCTTGCGCTGCTTCTGACCCAGAAGCATATCACATTGGTGCAGGTCTCGCGCATGCTTGGTCCGAGCAATGTGATCTGTTTTGTCCGCGGCGTGCTTTTTTTATTCGAGGTAAATATTGACTACCTCTATACACCAAAATACTAAATCATAACTTGTCGTCTTACAACTTTGCAGTCCTTTTGCATAAGATTCGTACTCGTTCGCAGGATGGATGTCCGGCGGCAGCTTCTGTTTTCCCAAAATTCTCCTGTGCGTGTCACGGGAGCAACAGAACTAGACTACCAGTGCAGAGACCAGCATGATAGCCAAACAGAGGCGCCAGACGGGCAGCCCTCGCCGTTCTCTCTGAGCGCATGGTTTCTGGTCTTCGGGGCTGGTTGATTTCTTGCTCACGGTCGCCGTTCTAGACCTTTGATGCCCTATCCTCTGCTCGTTGCTGATCTGCTTGTAAGACTGTGGAGGCCACGATGGACCCGTGGGCTCCGACGCCTCCACGGGGAGCGAAGACGACGGACGGTGGATGGTCATGTCGAAGAGGGGATGTCGCAACGGTCCAGAGCGGCGATCAAATCTTGCAGAGAATGGCGGGCCACGAAGGCGAGATTGGCGAGCGTCCAGAAGAGAAGGATCCCTTAGAAAATAACGACAGCGGTAACAAAGATAAAGACGTAGACAGACTGTCTCTGTTTTTTGGGGGGGGGGGGTTTCGTCGGCAATAAGCAGAGGTCCACCGGCGATTGCAAATTAGAGTGCAGAAAAAAGGGGTGGCGGCGCAAAGCAGGTGAGAGCTCTTAAGTACATGCAAGGATGCATGACCAGTAGGAAACTTTGTAGCCATATGCTGCCAATGCAATACTTACCACCGTAATGACGACTGTCTTATCCTTACCCTTTGGCATCTTGAAGAAGGATAACACGGGGCGGTATTGCGTAGACGTTGTACCCAGGTGTCTAAGAGATTGGCCTGATGTTGCCATGCGCGTGATGGAAAAAACCTGCAAGATCTTGCGGTTGGCCTCGATATCTTAGCTATTGTTGCGCGGAGATATGCCGAGCATATCCTCCTGCGACAGGCTGTAAGCCCTCGAAAGAATCCGGAACAGCCGTCTTCCAGCTTCGTTCTACCGTCACCCTTGTACCTGTTGATCGTAATGTTATAGTTCACGGTCTCGCCCAAGTGGTAAGGAGGTATATACATGCTGAATTTGACAGAAGTGGTTCTGGAAGAACGTAACCAACTTAAAGACTTCCAGGAGGGTTGAAGGCATGGCTTCACCACTTCTTCTTTATCAATCTCGTAAATCTTTTCACTCAGGTCAAACGTAGCCTCAGCGTCTTTGAGCATGGTTTCATTCTCGCGTGGACCTCTCAAATTGCTGAGGAAGAAACGAATTTTCTTTACAAGCTTGAAAGAGTTGCTCCGATTCGGTGTCATTATTAGCCAAAAGGTTACCGAGCGAGACCCGTGGAAGATCGCCTACGGGGACATCGTTGGGGAAAGGAGGGTATCTGGTGAAGTACTTGGCCGTCGGCATGTTTCCAAAAGACGCTAGGCAAGAGTGGTACTAATGCCACGAGGCAAGGGAATCTCAATATGCCTCACTACTCCGCCCTACCACCTTGCAGGAGGAAGGTAAACAACAATGTGAATTAGAGTAGCAAGGAAGGAGGCTGAGCGAAATCACGGGTTTTCTGAGCCCCATACGATTTGTATAGCGGACACAGAGACAGAGAAATTTGAAGGCAAGGGATCAAGAAAAATATTGTATCTCACTGCCGCGCATCAAGGGCGAGGGCAGATCATTCAGGACTGGGCAAGAGCATAAATAATGCCTTGAGGCCAGTAGCCAAGCTTGATCGAAGACTCTGACCAGGTTCAAGACTTACGCCTCAATAAAAGTCTCTTACGTGAGCTCGCCCCAATACCCGATCCTACACTACCAACTGATCCAAGCCGAGCATTAGCACGTGGACTGGAGCTCCATCTCCTGCCACCAGCAATGTCATGCAACTGTGAAGGCCGTCTTTCCTTGCCCCCTACGAAACTTTTTTGAGTGCTCTTCTGGATCTGGAACTGAGTCACTCGGCCGGCGAGTGGGTCATTCAGATCTGCAAGAGGTGCTCTTTGCCATTCAGCAGTGGAACTGCGTGGGCGCAGGGGGGGGAAGGATTGGACGCTCGGTAGCTGAGAGAATGAGGGCTTATGGGATCTTGAAAGTTGTTGGTCAGAGGACTGTGGCAGACTGGCAAAGCCAGGATCAGAGGTGCTAATTACCAGTACTTGTTCCACAGGATCGTCTTGTGTATAGGCGGCTCGGGGACTAGGTTCAGCTACGTGACCCAGAGGATCGCTCTTGGGATCAACTGCACGGGGTGTACCCTCGGTCGAAGCTGAGGACGGCCCCCAAGTCCATCGGAAAAGATTATCTGGTATTTTCATGAACATTGACACCGAGTCCGAACCCATGGGAAGAGCAGCTTTTGTTTCTTCTTGTTCAATGGCCGGTTCTTGCGCTGGACTACCCTCGCTCTCTGGACTAGGAGTGGACCGAATTGAGTGCCCCACGTGCTGGGAAGCTCTAGAACTGGCTGTGAGGCTACTTTCGCTCCTTGTCTCGTCCTCTCTCCATATCACCTCGTGAACGCTGTTACGAGACCAAAATCTGACAGTACTGATTCGGCGACTGAACTCTGTAGGTACGAGGGACTGTTTCCTGGACTTTGGCCTGGCAATGAACGATCCTGGCACAACGTGAACATCTGCAAAGGTGAGGGCAGCTTCGGCTGGCATGCTACACCGCCGAACGTTGGAGATGTCACTGAACTGAGAGACAGATTTAGACCCTCTCCGGACAGACCGGGACTTCGTTTCGAGTGTAAACGTTGGCTGTTCCTTCAGGCGCCTCGACGCCTCGGCGCTTTCTGGGGAGGGTAGATCCGTGAGTGTTGGTCTCTTCTCCAATGTTGGTGACGAATAAAATGCTAGCAGCTCAGACGCTGGAGCATCTGCTGCGCGCTTGTGTTCGCGATTTAACGATGCGCTTATTGAGGTTGTGATAGGACTGATTGAGTAAACGTTGCTTGCTTTTCTTAAAGTGATCGTGGCTGGAGTCCCAAGTGTTCGGAAAACATCCTTACCATCTTTGAGCGTTGGACAGCGACGGTTGATGTTTCGAGATGCAAGACTTCTGCTATGCGCGCTACTTCTCCGTGAAGCTTCCTCAGCTTTCTTGCTTGCCTTGTGAGAAGGAACAGCGTCAAACGAAATCGCGGTGTTAGACCTAAAAACGTTGAGAGTATTTGCGAGCGCAGTCGACACACGCTGCAAACCATGAGAACCTGAGCGTATTGGTACCTGCAGGCTAAGTGACCGCAGTGCATTGACCGCTGGGGAATCAGGTTCATCAACGGCGACGATTGAAGAGCTCAGTGTTGGCCATGTCTGAATGTGGAATCCGTCAACCTCTGTAGTATCCTGGGACCCGTGGAGGCGGCTTCGAAGATTAGGTCGACCTAATCTCTTGATCAGAGGAGCGTTGGAACCGCTGTCTTCGCCGTCATCGGAAATGCCAGCCGCACAAAGTTCACAATCACTCCCATTTGAGGTTGCAGTCTGCGGTCCCGACCTTAGTGAGCGCTGCGAACGTCTTGACCCTTCGCTCCCTTCTCTGATATTATGAAGTTTCCTGGTTTTGTTTCTAGAGTGCTTCCTCGTATGATGGTGATGGTCAGGAACGTGAACGTTCATATAGTCATCTGCTTCGTGCCGCGGCGGAGGACTCAGATTGGGTGTGCCAGACACCGGAGGCGTGAGAAGGCTGGGAGTTGGGGTGCTAGCATTGCTGTGTGGCAGACTCCGAGCTAATGCAAGGTGTTGAGGTGACAGGACTGGGGCTTGGGCGCGACGTTGTTTCAATATCTGTCATATGAGTAAATTGTCAGTCGTATCCCATCAATGTTGACAGCCACGCAATGAGCAAGCCTTACTGAGGAAGGCCCCTCCGGCCCTGTAGCCGACGGACCTCTTCTCGCCATCGCATAAGCTGGAGTCACTGTAAGGCGAGGCGTGAGCTCAGTAACAACGGATCACTGAAGAGCAGACCAACAGAAATGCTTTCTGTAAGGGTAACAATAGAGATAAAATACTAGGACAGTTCAGGTGAAGCGATGTTGGGATGAAGACGGCAGAGGCGAACCGTGTAGGTTCATCGAGTTGATGCCGCGGATTGATTCGTGCCTTCCTGTTCGACCGATTGCCCTTCTGTGTCTTAATCACCCAAAGGAACGAGCGCTCTTCCATTGTCATACCCCAAAGGGCTTCTCGAAGAAAGAAAACACAACACACGCAGGAAGTATTCTGATCGGGTTTCAAGGGATTACAGCATCTTAGAAGATTTCTAAATAGACTTCATCGCCAGGATCACGAATATTTGCCAAAGGGAAGGAGACTTAGTACTTAGCCATGGGCGAATCATCCATTCGATCACATTGCCCCTCTATTGGATCTGGCTGGTGGGTGTCACGCAATATCAAGATTCAACAGTCAAAATCCAGCCATCTCCCGCTCTCGAATTGTCACTCAGCACGCCACCCCACAACATAACACTGCCGGGGTCAAGATCCTGGGCCGGCGCGCTCGCGAACCATCCTCTCTGGCCGGGATGTTCCTTTTTGCCTGACATCGAAGACTCTGGAACATCGACTCTGGCCCATGTTCCTTCAGCAGTCTTGGCTCCAAAGAGCTGTCTTGTGGCATCTTTGAAGCTTGCAGCAGTCATCCCTTCTGGCCGCAGTTGGAATGACCAGACATCGTCCCAGAACTTTCCAGCAGCCTCATGACCCGAAGAGCTAGGATCGCGCTCCCCGAGCAACAGCAGCAAGTAGTGACGTCCCTGGCCCGTGGTGACCGGTTGTAGACCCGCGACACTGCGATCCCCAGGCATGGGCGTGCCATTTGGAGGGTCCACACTTTCCCATTGTCCAGTCAGAGGAGCAACAGCCAGGTCTCCTTTGCCACCCTTGACATCGAACGTAGACTTTGTGAGACGCAGGAACTGTATTGTGCCCCCGAGCTCTTTCTCTCCATCGAAACCCCCAAAGCGATACAATCGTTCCCAACTCAAGGTCAGACTGGGACCGCCCCGCGCAGGACCTGGGGCGTCGGGGAATTGTGACCACAGTCTCGAAGCTATGTCGAAAGCCCACACATCAGACACACGGCCTGAGGCTGGACATCCTCCGTGAATAAGTATGGTGCCATGGTCGTCAAACCCCGAAGCTCTGGTACCGAAAGGGCTCACGGTCTGATTAATCTTGGTATGCTCTTGTGCAGCGTTGAATGGGGGCGGATCTTGCACTGTATTCGCTTGGAAAGGGCTTACCGGATGTCCAGTGGATGTGGATGCGTGATAGGATCTCGCAGCAGGATAAGGAGAGCCCTTAGCTGGATCGAGATAGCTCCACTGGTTCATCTTGGTATCGAAAACCCAGACCCGTCCGTTCTCTTCGAGTGGCTTCATCGCCTTGCCGCCCCTACCTCCGAACACATATATCCGATCATCCACCACACTGGCAGTGTGCCCAACCCGTGGACACGGTACGGCTCCCTCATCTGTAGTGGCTTTTGCTCGGATAACTTGGTAGTCCACGTCGTCGTTGTTGGCGGACTGGAGAGTGAAGACATGGACATGGTTGTCAACGGGCTCTCGAGGCTGCTGTTCGCCGCCAAAGATGTATGCTTTACTCTTGATGATCGATAGTGAATGAGAGGAGCGAGGCAGGATTGTGTCGGTAGGGATCCGTTTCCAGGTAGCTTTCAATGGCATTGTGGACTTGGCAATGGCCACCGCGGCGCCAGCAGCACCCTCGACGGCTGTCTCTACGCCATAAGCTGCTGCTGCTACTCCAGGTTCCATGTTGGAGTAAGCAGTCGAAGTGATACGGAGTAGTGAAAGGCGGATTTGTCCCACCCAAGCCAGGCAAATAATGGATAGCAAGCCGATAATATGTATTCAGTGGGTAGAAGTAGTTGTAGCAAAGGATTTTTGAACACAACAGCTTGCCTTGGTAATGATATTTGGATTTGTGCTGCTACAATTGCGCCTCTACGTATCCCAAGACCAGAAATGTCTGAGGGTATCATACCGCGTTAGTGGTAAAATTGTTACTAGTCGTAAAATTTGCAATGCAAATCAGCCGATCATACTTTAAGACAGCCATTAAGATAGCTACACAACCTAAGTCGTTCCTAAATGCCTCATGCTCTATGTGCCCGTACTCCAGGTACATAATCCTGGATGATTGTGCCTCGTTGGGTTTACCATGATAGATGTGCATCCTCAATGCTTGCTAAAGCTTGCTGCTTTCATGAGGCGAGAGTCGAAGGCGTACTTGGGGAACATAGCTCCAGAGAAAGGGAGTTGTGAGGACGACGACTGACAAAAAGGCGCTGGAGAGAAGACCCGCAGGGGATAGAGGTCACGAAAACAGATGGGCGCAGAAGTAGTAGATGCTTTGTGGCCAGCGTATTAGCATATCGTTAAAACTCTCATCTAAATGGATGGTAAACTTATGAGATGTAGCTCCAGCATCGCCGACAAATTGAGATATTTGGGCGCCCCCTGGAACAAGAAGAGAGGATTTCATTCACATACTATGAAGTTCGGTGTAATGTCCTTCATCACTGTTGGGGTTAATCTGGAATTAGGTTCTGATAAGTAACAGTATCAATGATCCTCATTTCTTTCGCTCACCGGAACAACAGGATCGCGATTAATATTGAACTTGTCTATATGTAGTGGGCCTGACTGCATGACGTTTTCTAGCTGAAGCCCACCTCCTGTGAGACGACACCAGGTCATCGCGCTAGTAGGACTTTACAGCCATCTGCATTCGAAAGCGTAAGGGTAAGATGCTGCCGCTCCGCGCCCGGCTCTTCCCAAGTTTCTCCCGGAGCAAGCTCGATTTTTGGATAGGCTTGAATCATCCTCGCAATTCCGTATGAAGCAAGCATGAGCCCAAAGTCCTCTAGCACCCGAACATTAGCTTTTGCCTTGATCTAGGAAGCAATCCTGAGTGACTCACTGCCTAGGCAGAGTCGCGGACCACCGTTAAAAGGCAGATAACCCCATTTGATATCCGAGAGTTCTGAGCCTTCCCATCTTTCGGGTCGAAAGGATCCAGCATCGGAGCCATATATATCCTTGCGCCGATGCATATGGTACACTGAATATGCAACAGGCATTCCTTCTCGAACTAAGACTGGAGAACGGCCGTCTGGACCGCCACCTAGAGGTAGGGTACTTGCTTGCTTACAAAAACGAGTGTTAATTGGCACCGGCGGATATAGCCGCAGTGCTAGATTTTCACCTTAGCCTGTCGTGGAGACAATCTGCTTGAGCTACTTACTTTCTTTGATGACGTGCTGAAGGTAAGGCATGCGCTGAATATAAGCTCTGGTAATATTGTTGTCTTGTCCAAGGACGGACTCAATTTCGCCCCGAAGTTTCTTGAGCACATGCGGGTGTCTCACAAGAAGGCGGCTTAATGTTCATTATTAGCTGCGACACTGGCAGCACAGTATACAGACTCACAAGACATAGGACATTGTTGCCGCTGTGGTATCCCGACCTGCAATGAGCACGTTGATAACTTGGTCCCGAACGAGACGTACATCTTGATGCTCGTTTTGGAGATCATTGATAAATGTATATTTATCGGATATCTCTGCATTGCCACGGTCTTGCCGCAGGGCGTCTCTTACAAATTGGTCCGTGTAATCTTTGACTGTCTTGCAAGCTGCAAAAAACCCCTTTGGGGCGTACAAGAAGTAGAGGTCACCAAGTCGAACGCGCGTAGCGGTGACCAATGAGGCCTTGTTGAAGGCTTTTGAGAACAGGTCGCCTATTTCGTGATTGAAGCTCTCGACAGATTGACCAAGTATCATAGCAATAGTGGTGTTGAGAGTCAAGCGATAGAAGTATGGCTGAAGGTCTACAATGCCAGGAGAATTATTAACGGTATCGACTAAGTTTTCCACGTGCTCTCGAAAGCCTTCAAGATTCTGATATTGCATCCGCACAAATTGACGTCGCAGGAGCTCCCGAGAATGTTTCCACGCAGGGCCGTCTTGTGTGAAGATACCTTCACCTATCATAGCCATCATGGCTTTGTTTCGAGGTCCAAGATGAAAGTCTAGAATCGCTTTTGGATTAGACATTCCGTATAGTTCACATGAGCTACCTGAACAGGGTCGGATGGAATGACGTACCCTCGAAGTGAGTGGACAGGACCGCCTCTATATTCTCAGGATCCATCGTTGCGAATCCAATGCCGCCGAGTATCGTTAGCTCGACAGTCGGTCCCAATTGATCGAAGTACTCTGTAAAGAGGGAAAGCAGCTTCTTCTGGCGTCCGGCTTTGAATCCTCGTTTGACAATATCCAACGCTAGAGGCCATTTGTACGAAAGAATGAAAGCTGGCGGCTGGCAGTCATTCAGTCTTCCGAATTCAATATCGGCCTGGAATTAACGCGTCAGTGCTCTCTCGAAGTGTAGGCATGCTTGATTTCTTCGATGACTGTACCCGATACTTGGCAGCTCTGAGGACATATCTATATATCCAGAACGAGCAGAAAGCGACAAGGACGAAAAGCCGTACGGACGAAAAATTAGTGAGTCCGTACGTATATGTACCTTGCTCAACAGAAGCACTGAAAGACATAGCACTCTATTTAGCTACTAGTCGTCGAGGCTCGGTTTGAAATCGGTTGACGTGTGATAATGGGATTGAATAAATAGATAGAGTCTCGATCATGGAACCAGGGAAGCGCCGGTGATGTTTTAATGCACGGCCAATCAGATATTCGCCATCTCACACTATTTCCCATTTTAGCACAGGATTTGTTTCAAATTTGGATAGATCAACGTGATTAGTGATTACCCATGCCTGTGCCTGCGGCATATAAAATTGTAAGTTCAGAGGTTGGATAAGTTGACTTCGGGAACCAATCCGCACCCGCCATTAGCGCCTCAAGGCAGGGGCCCTTTGGTGGGGGAGTGCGGTACAACAACAGTACTGGTACTTGTACTGCGCACCACATCACACACACACAACAACAATATCATTTTTTTTTTTTTTTTTTTTTTTTACTCTCCTCCTCCCCCCCCTCTTTAAATTTTTTAAATTTTATGGAAATTGAAGGGGAAGGGGGGGGGGGGGAGGAAGGGGGGGGGTTGGTGTTTGTTTTTTTTCCTACTCTTTTCTCCCCCCCCCCCCCCCACCCCCCCCCCCCCCCCCCCCCGGGTTGGGGGTTTTTTTTGGTTTCCCCCCCCCCCCCCCCCCCCCCCTTCTTTCCCCTTGTTTTTTTTTTTTTTTTTTTTTTTTTTTTTTTTTTTTTTTTTTTTTTTTTTTTTTTTTTTTTTTTTTTTTTTTTTTTTTTTTTTTTTTTTTTTCCCCCCCGCCTTTTTTTTTTTTTTTTTTTCCTCCCCCCCCGGGGGGGGGGGGGGTACCACCACCCAACAGGCGCCCCTCTTTTTTTGGGGGGGGGGTTTTTTTTTTTCTTTTAAAGAGGCCGGTTTTAGGGGGGGGGGGTTTTCCTTTTTTTTTTTTTTTTTTTTTTTTTTTTTTCCCCCCCCCGTGGGGGGGCCTTTTTTTTTTTTTTTAATTTTTTTTTTTTTTTTGGGGGGGGGTTTTGGGTTTTTTTTTAAAACCCCTTTTTCCTTTTTTTTAGGGGGGGGGGGATTGGCTGATGTTTGCATTCGCCTTACAAAGTTCTTAAAACAAGCCAAAGATGGATTCCAGAAGATAGACAAAGATCTAGAGGATCTGTCGAAGGAAATCACAGCGCTCCGAACTGTGAGCGACCTGATCAAGCGTAGCTTCGAGACCGATCTTGCTGGAAACACGAGTTCCGGTGATAATCAGATTGTTGTCAATCTGTGGCAAGCAACTCGAATCACTCTGGCAGGCTGTCAAGACATAGTGGAAAGGTTGAATGCATTGATAACCACGGTTTTGGGCACTGGAGGCCCGAAACACGTTAAATTCAACAACATACGGAAGTACCTGAAGCAGCAATCAAAGGACGATGAGTTCGTTACATTGCGCCAGAAACTCGGGGCCCACTCTATAGCCCTGCAGACGAGTCTAGCAGCCGTGAATGTGTAGGTAGTCACGGATATGAATCCCAAACTTCGATCGAATAACGATGGCTAGTATCTATACTCGAAATTCACAATCGACGTCAAACGAGTCCTTTTCAGAGCTATCACAGAAGATTCAAAACCTAGGCGCCGACTTGCAGACGAAAATCAACTCTTTGCAATCAGGTATCGAAGCATCCGCGGAGATAAGTGTATGTCGTCTACATTGAATTTTTTTTCTGGACAGTAGACTAATTTTGAAGCTCGATAAAGCTGTTAGATCCGCCCAAAATGTGGTGCCACTCGCATCTCTCAACAAGCACTTTTATACTCCCCAGACTGTGAGCAGCATCTTTACCGGTCGGGCCACCGACCTAGATAATATGAGAAGTTGTCTCCTGGCTCCAGCGTCTACCAATCAACTCCATGCACAGAAGCGGTTTGTGTTATTCGGCCTACCAGGATCAGGCAAGACGCAGTTCTGTTGTAAATTTGCCTCCGATAACAAGCAAAGGTAGATACAAGATCGTGACACTAAGACACTTGTAGCTGATGATAGATGCTAGCTTTTGGGGAGTCTTCTGGATCGATGCGAGCTCTAATGAGCATGCCAAACAATCTTTCTCGACTATTGCAAGGATCGGAAGAGTTGAGCCGAACGAACGCGCTGCAAAAAATTGGCTTTCAAGTCTTGGTAAAGAGCAGCCGTGGCTATTGATCATTGACAACGCCGATGAAATAAGTTTTCCGGTCGAGGAATGTTATCCGGATGGTAGTTGTGGTATCATACTCATAACGACGAGAAACCCTATCCTCAAGGTCCATGGCACGATTGGTCCTCGTTACTACCATTTCGGTGAGCTAAAGGAGACTGACTCGATTCAACTCCTCTTGAGAGCGGCCGATGAACCGTTACCATGGTCTCCATCCACCCTAGAGTCTGCAAAGGACATATGCAGGACTCTAGGCTATCTGCCCCTGGCTCTTATGCACGCAGGGAAGACAATTCTTGCCCGTCAGTGTACACTAGAGAACTATCAGAGTTTCTTCGAAAAGAACTGGACTCGCATCAGGAAAATGAAAAGTTCGAATGACGCACGTCCTGTATCGGATGCAAATGCCGCTATCTATTCAAGCTACGAACTCATACATGATGGAATCGTGGCTAAGGGGACGCAAGCTTCAGAGGACGCACTAGACCTGCTGAAAATATTTTCCTTCCTTCATCGTCAACGCATTCGAATAGATATATTCTTGCGTGCGGCATCGAACCCAAAACTAGAAATGCTGGAACAAGAACGACGAGAACAAGACGAAAAGAGAATCAGCATTGACAAAACACCGAATGTTCCCTGGACCCAGACCTTCAGAACTTTTGGCCTCGAGATCCTCGCCTTCTTGTTGAGACTGGGCCACCGTCCCGCTCTACCTCGGATGCTCAGCGGTGCCCTTGGGTCAAAGCAATTTGATGAGTTGCGCCTCCGTGAAGCACTGAAAGAGCTCTTTCAGATGTCTCTGGTTTTTGCGAATCCGGACCCAAAAGACGACAGTTACTCCATGCACCCGGCGGTCCATCTATGGGTGAGAGAGAGACCGGAGATGACAATTGCAGATCAAGCCGTATGGTGCCAAGTAACAGCGACTATACTTACGCAAGCCATTCTGCTCCCCCCATTGGGTGACAAGGAGGAAGATGAGATACTTCGAAGGGACCTACTTCCGCATGTCCGTCATGTGCAGAAGAATGAGCACGTAATTCGGGCAAGATTCTTGGAGAACCTCGAGTCTAGGAGAAGAATGTGGCCGGTCTTACAGCCGCGGCTTGATCGGGAGCGAGCATTACAGCTTGTCAAGTTCAGTCTGGTATACTCGCAATGCGGCCTTTTCGAAGCAGCCGAGAAGCTGCAATTACAAGTAGCAGAATTTGCCATCAAGATGTTAGGTATGGAGCATACCACTACGATGGACATCCTGCTATTGTTATCAAGTACCTATTGGCAGCTGACGCGGATCCAAGAAGCTGCCGACCTGCAACAACAGGTCTTGGAAGCATGCATCAACGTCCGTGGTCAAAACGACTTGAAAACACTCAAGATCATGGATGCATACGGCTCCAGTCGATGGCAGCAAGGGCGTATCCCGGAAGCGCGGAAAATACATGACACTGCTGTCGGGGGCTTCAAGAAGGTGCTTGGCAACAATCATGTCGACACGTTGAGGGCTATGGGTAACCTCGGCCGAGCGCTTGGAAAGGACTTCAGATTCACAGAAGCTATCAAGGTACATACGAAGGTCGTCTCTGGTCTTCGCGACCAGCTTGGCCATTCCCACTTGGATACTCTCATCGCCATGGACAACCTAGCCATGGCTTACTTCGATAGAGCAGCGTATGGATTCGGCCATCGTGGGGATCTCGATCATGCAGTCCAGATTGAACAAGATGTCTTCGAGCAACGCAGGGGAAAGCTCGGGAGAGAGCATATCTATACTCTCTGGGCTGGCCTGAACCTTGCCCGTATCAAGGCCCTTCGCGGCGAGATCGACGAAGCATTAGCAATATTCCTCCCCGGGCACGCGATCGCAAGGCGGAATCTTGGCGAAACTCATTTTGGCGTTCTTTTTGCGAAGGTGCACCATGGCCGTATTCTCATCTACGCAAAGAAGTATAAAGAAGCGGAGGTCTTACTATCGGAAGTCATCGAATCGCACCGAGGGCCACGCAAAGGGCATCCTGATCGATTGCTTGCCATCTTTTCTCTGATAAAGTGCCGCAACCTGTTGGGTAAACAAACGGAGACTACGGTCCTTCTTGAAGAGCTTACGGAATCCACTAAAGCGCTCTTTGGTGATGATCATGCCTGGGTCAAATATCTGCTCGACCGGCATAATCTGTCGAAAGAGCCGGATGAGGATAATTCCTCCCCAATAGACCCAATCAACACGGCCCCCGGAAGCATCGGTCCAATTGCAAATTTAATCCCGGTAGCCATGATCGCTAAATATGGGCACATATAGCGTGGTTCGTAACAAATCGCTAAATCGCGATTGTGGTTGCCTACTCGCTGCATGAGCGTGTAACTCCACCACAACATTAAATGTTCCAGGTACGTTACAACAAAGGAGAATGTAAAGCCTAGTCTGATGGCTCAAGTTACTACGGGGTCAGCATCCATGATCTCTCCACGCTCATGACTGCCGAGAAAGATGATAAAGGTGATGATTGATCAAGCGAAGACCTCGCAGAAGAGCTGAAAGAGAACGATAGCTTGATGACGAAGGCTTCAAGTTAGCTCGAGGACAGAGGAGCACGCTCGGAAATGCCTGGGTACTCACGCGTTACTCGGGATAATCGCGCGCACATGGGTGTAGCCTGGAATGATTAGGTACGCCGAAGCTTTGGAAAGATAGAATTTAGTTGATTGTCTTTTTCAGCACTATATAACCAATCAGTGCATTTCTAGCCGACGCTGCCTAAACACCAACATCGATACTTTGACCTCTACCAGCACCGTCTCTCGACCAACTACTGTGAAAAGCGTAGTCGCTCGTGAACACAGACCCTTGTCTCCGTGCTGATGTTGTCAACCTCGGGGTTTTTAACAGCAGACTCTACGTACGCGAAGACCAGGGATTTGTTGGGATTGGGAGACCGCCGGCTTGCCGCGGGCGAGAGACATCGCACCGGGTTACAGTACCTCAGTGATAACCCTGTGACAAGTCCTAATCTTGCATCCTGCAAACCCGCCGGCCATAACCCATTGTCTCTTATGCTCGACGTGGCCGTACTGCAGCGGCATGATCCTGGGTGATTGCGCCCCGTTGAGTTCGCGATGATAGATGTACAGCCTAAATCGTTGTTTGAGCTTGCTCTAGGAGTTCCATTCGAAAGCTTCTGGTTCTGTCCATCTTATGTTGTATCCTTGTCAGAACTGGCCTCGGATATCATGATAGCGGAGTGAGGGCAAGTGCTGGCTCCCGCTGGCGTTGGTGAATGGACCAATGCTGGATGGTTTCCCGAACAAGCATCCTGGCGCTGGCTTCATTCCGGGTGCTTGTTGTCCACTATCAAATATTTGGATCACGCTGATGACCAGTGTCAACGTTTCTCAAAGTTGAAAGTTGTTCGGGTCGAGATCAGTTAGAGCAGGAGACAAAGTGTAGGTAGATAAATATAAGAATATGCGCTTAGGGATGCTTCGGAGATGTAAAGTATCTGGCCCGAGCCTAGCTTGGGTTCAAGCCCCTGCCGAACCCCAAAAGAGGTCCCTAAGTTGACTCCAACGAAGTTCTTCTGGGGTCTCTCACTACTACGGCGGACGACGGCTGACACTACGACAAAACCAAAAAAGAATTCTCTTTTCGTTTTTTTCTTCGCGATTTCTAGTAACTCTCTTCAAAATATTCTTTTTAGAATATTCTCAACTCTTCGAGAGGTACTTTTTGAGGCACTCTTTAGGGGCTACTCTCCGGGGTACTCTCCGGGGTATTCTTCGAGGTACTCTCCGGGGTACTCTCTCGGGTACTCTTCCGGGTACTCTTCCGGGCACTTACGACGGATAATGAAGTTCTTCGCAAAAAAAAAAAAAAAATCACTACGTATACACCCCTTTTTGCTACATGTACACCCCTTTCTACTACATATACACCCCCTCTATATTACTATTATTCCAAAGAAAGTTCACCGCACTAAGCTACTCTCTTAACGTCTCTAGAGAGGAACCCCCGGAATAAGTCGGGTATAAGGCAATTTAGGCGAGGAAATAGCTGAATAAAAGGGCTAAAAAGAGGGAGTAGAGGTAGCGAAGAGGGAGTAGAGATAGCCGTTCTTCTAAGGCAGTATTTAAAGAAATATTTAAAAGTAACTTAAGATTATTGAAGTCTCTTATATATAAAAAAGTATTTATACGCGAATTTTAGGCGTAGCGCAACTCAAGTATCTAGAGAAGCTTTTGTATTAATAAGTCAAATATTTAAAACATCTTAAATAGCACTATATTAAGAGATAAAAAAACGATAGAGTAAGTAGTTGATGAGGTTCTCCTAACTACTCTCTGTGGCAGCTTTTAAAATTTTGACAGTATTTCAGATTATGAGGGTTATCTAAAAAAATTTGGTGTAGAATAAGTCCTCAAGGACTCTATAACTGTACTCCCTACACGTCGCAATCATAGACGGCTGGACTATGCCAGAAACATGTTATTAATCGACTTATTAATAGATCTCAGTGCGCGAGTTCAGAAGAATGTGATGGAGTGAGGTTTTATTTAATGCCCGCCCGATGCCCGCAATTTAGCCTACTTAGTTTACTTAGCCCACTCTTATTAGTATATACTACTAAAGAAATCCGAAGGAAGAGGATAAAGAGGATAAAAGGGAGGAAGAGAAGGAAGAGGAGGTAGACGGTCGATAATGAAGGGTTATTACTTAGTCGAGGGTTAATCGTAAGATAAAAGAAGAAAGAATCGCATGAAACTAAATAACTTAAATAACTTAAAAATACTATGTCCGAGGATTAGCCGAATCGTATACTAGTTCTTAATATTAAATCTACTTACCTATAGAGGTTTAGCTACTAGAGTACCGCCTTATCACCCTATTATTAGACTGACCTTAAGCCTTTACACCTATCTTTTAACCCCGCAAATCCTCCTCTTTTAGATTTAAGTCGTCGCGGTCGCTAAGCAAGCGGTCTTATTAATAGAGGATTCGTAGATATTCGATACTTAGGGTTATACTTCTTTCAGTAGCTAAGTACTCGTTCTAACGAGTATCTTAATAAGTTTAATTTATGCTCTTTATTAGTATTAGATATCGCCTAACCTTAAAAACGCTCGGCGGTAGACCTAAATTAGTCGGGCTTTATAAATAGTTTATCAATCGACATATCGAAATAAGGAGGAGAAGAGATATTATCTATACTCGTAGCGTAACTATACTATTGTCTAATAAGCTTATAGAGTATTCGTAGAGCCTATTGCTTTCGCTACTTGGCTACGTCTTTTTTAACATCTTCAGAATCTCTTTATCGATTCTGTATATGATTGTTAAGAGACTTCTATAGGTAACCGCCGAAGTTATCCACTTCTAAATCCACTCACATCCTTCGTTCTTTAAGCTAAGAGTCTTCTAACACAGCTAATTAAGCTATAAAATCAGATGAGAAGCTCTTATCGTCAGAGTCGCTAATAGCTATATTCTTATTAAATTTAGATACTTTAAGAGATATACGCTTAATATCGAATTTCGAAGCATAATTATTATCGGAGTCTAAGGATACTAAGGACGCTAAGAACGCTAAGAACGCTACGGCGTCTAGAGGTTCGATTATAATACGCTCTAATGAGGCTAATATAGCTATATCGCCTCGCCCTCGCCCTCACCCTTATTCTCCCTCCTTATTCTCACTTTTTAACTTATTTAGATACTCCTTTATACTTAATATTATTACTCCGCTAAGTTAAATACGCCTTCAACTCCACTCGCTTAAATTACGAGGGCACTCATCTTATAGAATTCTCGAATTCTAACTTCGTACGAGAAGAAAGCTTTTTTAATTACCCGTGGGTCTATCTATTATAACTACGATAGTCGATTTATAAACAGTAAGAAATAAATCAATTAGCTACTACAGATTCTTTATCTTAATAAAGACCTCTCATATAGAAAAGGCGACCGACTTCTTATATCGTTAATGAGGATATATATCGTAAAGCTAAAGTATTTCAGCGCCTTCTATAATTCTCGTCTACACTCTATAAATATATAATAGTTTAGAGACTATAATAAAACCATTGATGTATTCTTTTTAGCTTCTCTTTGTCGATAATCTTCTAATATTAATTCAATACTCGACGTAAGGCGAATGGTGTTACATAAGTAATAACATCGCGAAATACCTCCTTTCGAAGGTTAATTAATGTGATCTGTTTTGCACTCTGAATATCGGCGATATATATAATGCGCTAAACCGAAAGGAGCTTTACGATACCCTTAGTCATAGTCTCAAGATCTCCTACTCGATATTAGTCTATAACCATATAGAAATAAGAGAAAAGACCTCTTATTAGTTAAAAACCTAAGCTCCCTCTTCAGATCTACATTATCACTTTCGCCTTTAAAGACTTATAATATTGAAGAAATAAGGTAATTAATTAATATAGCATTAAACGCATTTAATCTTATATAGATTAATTTACTTCTTAGCTAGATAGGCGTAAATTGCGATGTTATTACGGTTATAAACCTTCTAAATAAACTTTCATTAGCCTTAAAAGTAGTTATAGTAATTACGTATATAACTCGAAACTAGTAAGCGTAGAACTTATCCTAATCTTCCTTAATATAGAAAAATAGCTTACATTTAACAACTATATTTCTATTAATATATTAGATATAAAGCATATATATAGAGTCTAAATAGACCTTATCGTAAGTATTAATTAAGAACTTCTAGCGATCGGTGATATTAATAAGAGAGTCTCGAATATTCAGCTTAATATATATATCTCGATACTACTATAGCGCCTATAGATAGTTCTTATCTTTCTTTATAGCTAGAAAGTAGAAGGTCGTATAGAAAGAACTATTTAGCGCGGTGATACTTATAATAATAAGTAAAGGTAGCTTATATCGATTTATCTTATACGTGACATCTATAATAAGCACCTTCTAATTCTCTTTCAGCATCTTATAATAGAATATTCGCGAAAAGAAGAGGTGTATAACTCGATCCCTCGAGTTCTTTAGAAAACGAATATATCATTTATCTAATATATATAGCTATTTAAATAGAGCTTATATTAATATAAGAGATCTTAATACTCGACGACGGACTTTCGATTTCGCGTTATAGATATCTTTAAGCTTTCAAATCGAGTTCTTCTTATAATCTTTATTAAGATTATATAGAATATTATCTAATATAGTATATTTAATCGACTCTCTAATAATTACCTCTTCTACCTAACTAATTAAGATAGCATTTCGATATACTATATAAGTTACTCATTTACTAGGATCATGATTATAAAACTCCTCTTTAATCCTTAAGCGCTATATATTCTTCTTTTTATCGAGCTTTAGAATACACTCAAACGGGTAATCATTGAGATATAAGATCCTATACTTTCTCTTCTACTTAATTAATTTATAAATCTTGCCTCCACGAGTATAGCGCAGCTAGACTTTATCCGTTTTATTTATTTTATTCTTATTTAAGCGTTTCTTAATAACGGCGTAGTCTTGCTTAAAAGCGTATTCTTAGATAAGTGAGATAAGAAGAGTATTAGTGGGCGTAGTAAGGTCTAATAATAACGAAACTAGATTTATAGTGAAGGGTGGAGAGTAAAGAGTGGAATGCCTTTGATGATAGATTTGGTGTTTATAGAAATTTTAATTACGACAAAGTGCGATGCCCTACGAGGGAGAGTAGATACTAAGATCATTAGAGTTTCTATGAGACTTATACTATATCTCGGATTTACGAGTAACTATATTAGGCCGAATAGTGTTAGAAAGGTATACTCGTGTTACTAGCCTATATCTATTTAGCTGAGAGGGGGTGTACATATAGTAGAAAGGGGTGTATATGTAGTAAAAAGGGGTGTATACGTAGTCAGACAAAAAAAAATTACGGGACTTTCCGCGGAACTTCCCGCGAAGTCTCTCTCTTTTTTTTTTTTTTTTTTTTTTTTTTTTTTTTTTTTCGAGTGATTTCTCGAGTAAATCTTTAAGAAACCCCTTAAGTAACCCTCTAAGTGCTTTCTAAAATACTCTTCTCGATTATCTCCAAAAGTATACCCTCGAATAATCTCTTAAATCCTCCTCGAGTACCCCATAAAGAATCCCCTAAAGTATTTCTCTAAAATATTTCTTAAAGAAATCTCTTCAAATTCTCAAAGTCGCGGGAAGAAAAAAAAAATTAAAGAAAAAAATTTTTTTTTGTTTTGTCGTAGTGGCAGCCGTCGTCCGCCGTAAAAAAAAAATTGGTTTTGGTTTTGTCGTAGTGTCAGCCGTCGTCCGCCGTAACTACGGGGCCGCCTTCCGGAGGTAGGGTTAGGGCTAGAACTCCATGGGCTTTCCGCGTTTCGAAATGAAAACTCCGTCAAAATTTAGCAGGGCCTCGGGATTCTTTCCCCGCCCCTGCCATACCATTGCATCCTTGCCACCTTATCCACGGCCCATCAATTCTGCTCGTTGTCAAGAATCTTCTCTCATTCTGCCTAGTGATTCTACCTTCAAAGATACAGCATCACCCATGCCCACAACCACTCTAAAAGCAGCGACCTCGGCGGAAACACCACGCTAGTGCTAGCGGTCAGGGTTACGTCAAAGTCACTCCACCTGTCTGCCTACAGTAAGATACCTTGGATAAATAGAACGGCCGCCCGTCTCGACCGTGGAGGTAACGGTCCTCTCCTCCCACTTCATAGCAACGCACTTCGATACACGTAAAAAAAAGCCCAGGCTTGATCGACCCCTCACACCCCTCCCATCCCCAATCATGTCCGAAGCCAAAGACATCCGCACCGTACACTTCTCCTGCGCCTGCCGGCAAGTAACCGGCTCCTTCAAAGCCCACGACCGCGCCTTGCCGTTGCCTTTGACCCTCTGCCACTGCACCACCTGCCGGCATCAGTCGGGCCTACTGTGTAACTCCTACGCTACTCTCCCCCAAGGCGCCGAGTTCCAGGTCAACGGCCCTCTCGAGTTCTATAAAGCGTCCAAGACCGTGTTCCGCTTCTTCTGTGGCAACTGCGGCGCCAATGTCTACGTCGAGGATACGGGCACCGAAGACCGGGATCTCTGCACCGGGGTCCTCGGGGAAGCGGAGGGTGTGGTCCGGTTGAAGAATCACATTTTCGTGGCGGATTCCAAGGACGGCGGACTGAGCGATTGGGTCCCCGACGTCGATGCTTGGGAGGGCTTTTCGACAGGTGGCCGGAAGTTGGACGCGGGGTGGAAAGAGGGCTTCCGGGCACGCGGTGAGAGAGCTGGAGAGCTGCAAGCCTATTGCCATTGCAAGGGTGTGAGGTTCAAGATCACGCGCCCAGACGGATCTTCCGCCGATCTGACTGCACCTCGGGGTGACATTGTCGGACCTCCGGCACCGGAACAAGACAGTTCGAGAGACGATGCGGTTTGGTGGCTTCGCGAAAACGGCACGAAATACCTGGGCGGCACGTGTGCCTGTAATGAATGCCGCCTCGCATCCGGCTTCGACATCCAAGCCTGGGCTTTCGTACCCAAGGCCAACATCCGGCAACCCGGCGGCAAAAGTCTCGACTTCGGCGCCGGCACCCTGAAACGGTATGATAGCTCCGAAGGGGTCCATCGCGAATTCTGCGGCAAATGCGGCGCCACGGTGTTCTGGCATTCCGACAGCAGGCCCGATCTCATTGATGTCAGTGCCGGTCTGCTGGACGCAGAGGAGGGAGCGCGAGCGGAGTCGTGGTTGGGTTGGGAGACGGAGAGGGTTAGTTTTGAGGAGGAGGCGCAAAACAAGGATCTCATTGCCAGATTGAGTGCTGGGCTGAAGCATTGGGGAGAGGAGAAGGCATCCTCGTCGGCAGCAGAAAAGCACGACTTTGGAGATGAAGAGACTGAGTCGGACTCGAAGAAAACGCCAAAGACAGGTAGTTTGGATTGAGGGAATGCAAGATCATCATAGTCAATTGAAAATGCTCACCCTATTGCAAAACGTGTTGCGGTAAGGCACGGAAAGCTCAAGATATGTGGGGTTGTAGGTATAGATAGGGGATGGAAAAGTAAGACTGACACTCAAAACCCCTGCAGGCAGCGGAATGCGTGGAAACACTTGCTTGCAGCAGAACCTATAGACCGAGATTGAATTCAACGCCAACTGCAAGTAAGCTTGTTAGCAAATGACATATCGTAGATGATGTTGATTAACGAATGATGCTTACCATCGATATCCCTCGCCATCTTCACCACCTTCGAAAACTGCACGCTCTTCTCCGCCGCCGACTGCAGATCCTCAATCGAGAAAATCTTCAATCCGCTCTCGTTGATCAATTTCGCCGCCAACTCCATATTCGTTCCTTGCAACCTCGCCACTATCGGCGTCCGTAGATTCATACTTTCCACCACGCTAATCAAGCCTTGAGCAATGGCATCACATCTGACGATTCCGCCAAAGATGTTGACGAAGATGGCTGTAACTTTGGGATCGCTGGTGATGAGGTCGAAAGCTTGCTTAATTGCTTGAGGCGTTGCGCCTCCACCAACGTCGAGGAAGTTGGCTGGGGAGCCGCCGTTCAGCTTGATGATGTCCATTGTGGCCATTGCAAGGCCAGCGCCATTGACTAAATCTTATCAGTAGGGGCGCAAAAGTTGAGGTGGGGACATGTACCTAGGCATCCAATATCTCCATCCAGCTTGATGAAGTTGAGTCCAGACTCAGCGGCCTTCACCTCATCCGCATCCTCTTGCGTCTTATCCCTCCACGAAAAGACTTCTTTCTGCCTAAAATCGGCATTGTCATCAAAGGTCAACTTCGCATCCATAGCCAACACCTGATGATCACTCGTCTCGCTCAGCGGATTGATCTCGATCTGCGTCGCATCCTTCTCCATAAACACCTTGTAAAGCTTCTGGATCGTACTCTTAGCATCTTCAATGCACTGTTCCGAGAATCCCAAATCGGAGGCGATATTGCGGGCAATATCATCCGTGACCCCCTCGTGTATATTGATGTTTGTAGTGATGATTGCGTCTGGAGATTCTTTGGCGACGGTCTCGATATCCATGCCACCTTGAGAGGAGGCGATTATGACAGGGGCTTGCGATTGGCGGTCCATGACAATGGCCAGGTAGAACTCCCGGCGGGCGAATTTCCGTTCGCATATGTAGACGGCGTTGCAGAGGCGGCCTGCAGCGCCGGTTTGCTTGGTCATGAGCTTGTGGCCGATCATTTGGTCGGCGAACATTTTGGCTTCGGTTGGTCTACGAATAGTGGGCAAAGTAGGTCAGAAAGAGCGTACATCTGGTAGGGACGGGAGAGAAAGTGTGTCGCACGAGTAGATGACCCTCACACCACCCTTCAGTCCATTATCGAAGGTGCCCTTTCCCCGCCCACCAGCCAGGACTTGTGCCTTTATGACCATGTCATCTCCGCCTGTAATTGTCTCAGCCAGGCTCCTTATACTTCTTTTTGTAGCTCGCTCATACCAATCTTCTTAGCAATCGACTCTGCCTCCGCCGCCGAGCGGGCAACCTCTCCCTTTGGTACCCCAATGCCATACGTCTTCAGGAGGTTTGCGGAGAGGTATTCATGGATGGAAAGGAATCGTTTCTGCTGCATAGCTGAGCTCCTGGCAGGCGTGTTCTGCTGTTGATTGTTTAGTTGAAGCTTTCATCGCGGAGATGGCTTTGAGGACTGCATACCTTGGTAGCAGCTCTCAAAGCAGCAGCCAAAGGCCTACTGCGAGCGAGCTTGAACATCCTGACAAGCGCCTAGGGAGCAGGGGCTTCTATACAGTCGTGAATTGAGATGGATTTAAAAGCCCTTTTCGAAGTTGGAGGTCAAGATAGCTCCGGGCTTGGCACGACGGCTGCCGCTTTTAAGGTTGTCTGGGGTGCTTGAACCCCCCACCCACGCGGGTGACAGAAAAGCCTGCACACACCAAGAAATCTCTTCACCTTGTCAGCTGGAATAACTCAACGAATGCCCTCTTTATGAATTAGATTTTGCGGAACAATATAATAGTGTTATCGAAATTTTCAATTTACTACGCAAAAATTTTCTGTTAGGGTTCTTCGTTGTGAAAGCATCATCAGATTTCTAATTTCAAGGTGTGCAGGTTAGCCTTTTGCTTACATCTTATGACCTTGGGTTCTATTGCTATACACTGTCGAACTGTGGTCGCTTGAGATACGTGCGACTGGTAGAGTAGAGTATGGCTCTACCTTTTTGACTTCGCCATCGGCTTCTTTATCTCCTCACTGAAAGATATCTCGTAGAAATTGTTTATCATATTCCGTGTACTAAGTTTCGGCGCTGCCATCTAAGTGTCCCTGACTTATCCCGGGAATCGATGAAATGGAGTTGCTCTTCGGCAAAGGCGCTAGTCTATGGCACCGTGGAAGACCAAACCCTGTTGAATACGAAAGTTGAGAAAGTCAAGGCTCAGCACAAAGACCTTGGAGAAGCGGTGGGAGAGAAATTTGGCAAAGTCTCTAGAATCTCGGCAAAGGAGGAGACTCACGAGGTTCGAACCGAGGTTGCTTGAATGCTCGATACTTCTTTCCACTCCGATTGTGGGATTGGTTCATGATTTGGCTGCCGATATGCCTTCACTCCCTCATATTTAATCTTTTCCTTCAACTCACTTACTCGTTTATGCGGTCTAGTCGCTAATTTCGGGTGGTCGAGAGCCGTCTTGACCAGCTGGTTGGTCTCCGTGTTCAATGGTGGGTTTGGAGGTTGCAACGCAAGCCTGCTGGGTTTGAGGCGGATCAGTCGTGGTGGCGCATATGGTGATTCCAGTGTCCTCAGATCTTCGGTCGTAAAGGCCGTGGGTCTCACCGCTAGTACTCTAGGAGTAGAACGAATCGATGGATATCATTGTCTTTGTTATTGCAGGCGAGAGATAGAACCTCTTGAGATGACCTTGTAAAGAGCTTGCATTAGCAATGGTGCCCCGCTGGCGGGAAGGCAATGAGTGAAAAAGCCTACATCTTGACCCTATAGCCGCTCCTTATCTATATCGTACCGAGAGGTTGTGCTGGGCAATCGCTGGAGGCTGTATGGAGCATGGCAACCGAAATAAAGCCCAGCTTCTGCCGTGTACTCGGCTCCTTTGGCACAACAATCAACTGGTGGTCTTTGCCGCAAAGCCCCCCAGGTTGGGGAAAACAAATCGGGCCATCGAAGACGCCTTGAAGATTAGCTTGAGCCTTTTCCAGCCGAGGCGCGCTCGCCACTGAGTCGGGGGCCAAATCAGCCACAAGTGCACACCCGCAAGTATTCCAGACGACGCCAGCTCAACGTAGGTTTATCTTAGGGCATGATGCGCATTTTCCGGGCTGTTCTCTGGCATACGGGATAAAGCCTCATGGGCCGAGGGAGAAAATAGTCCGTAAGGATATTCGAGCTTTGGTTCGGTTGCCGGAAGCGATGTTTCAGACGGGACAGGGACGAGGTCTTTACGTATATGGTTGAGGAAAAGGGGGTCTGCACATCGAGAGCAGAGATAACAAGACCGTTGGAGTGGAACGACAATTCTGAAATCTGGTTACGTGTTGGCGGGAAGCCGGACTGGATTTGGCAGTATGCCAGGGCTTTGCAGAGCAGCAGCGCATGCCTACCCCCATTACTGGCCGTTTCATACGGCCCACGGCGCACACCGGACGGATGTCCACGGAGTCTTCCTGAATTAGGCGTCAGGCTACAACTACCTCTCCCTCCTCGACGCTCCTTGCTCATGACTCGGGATCTAGAAGATCGCTCTTCGGTCGGCCATGCCGGTCTGGGATGCATGACCATCTCACATCCGCCGATTGCCGATTTCAAGGGTCTTGCCGCCGTCCTGTCTGATTATTGGTACGAATTGTACATAGAGATCAAATAGTGCGGCCACTCATTTGGACTACTACCATGGTTGTAAGGATATTATATTGAAATGCACTCTAGTTTGGCTTGATAGCTATAAAACTCCCGAATCCTACCGCAGCGCCGCCTTAACCTTGCTCCCAGTGGGCTGGCTGATGAGATACAGCTAAGTCTGTATGAGACAATGAACAGAATTCGAATCATACTTGGAATTGCCAAGAGGGCAGGGGAATGCCTCGCAGGGACTAGGTGCGTAGTAATACAGTATGTAGGGTTGTTTGCAGTAATAGCCACCGTTCTCGTAGTAGGTATTGGCAAGCGTCGGCCAATCTGTCTGGTATTGGTCCCAATTTGCTGCTTGGAAATCGAGATTGCTCGAGCCAGCATTCACGGAGATATTAGGGTTGTTCTTGCTGGGCATCACGTCATAGATGAGGCATCCGACTTGATTCCAACCTCCTACTCCCGCGTTGCTGGCGCCAGGGTAAAGATTTCCGGGGGCGGGAAGGCTTGAGACTTGGTATCCCTGGCCTGCGCTTCCGGGGACCATGTCAATCGCTTTTGCATTGGGGTCGTACGACGCGATCATGTTCAGGCCTGCCAAGTGGTTAGCTTAAGACGGGTAAGGGACCTTTGATAACTCACAGCCGTACCAACTTCCTCTCAGTACATCCAAGCCGTTAATCGAACCATCACCAACTGGATCCAGGATGTTACTTTTGCCGCTAGAGGCCAGTGAGATGCAGCCAGGCGCGTAGGCGACATTGATAACGAGTTCCACTGTGTTTTTATTAGTCGGACATATCATGGTCACGTTCAATGACCCTGGTCCCATCATCAGATCCGTGGGCATAGTCGGATTCGGGAGTTGATTGTAATTAATGGATTGCGGATTGCCTGGGGTTGAAAAGCTTGTCAGACAACTCTCGAAATCCGAGTTTGCTCCAAATGCGGAGCCGGCTGATGTGCTCGGATATTGGCATTGTGAGTACCAGTAGTTATCAGGTCTACACGTCACCCCTTCCATATAAGGGACCGATGTGCGGGATGACCACGATGCGAGTGAGTTCCATATCTGAAGAGCTTGCTGGTTGAAGGTAAGATCCTGGAAATTGGAATTCTGCGTCGTGTCAACGTAGCAGGAGCAGCCCGGCTGTTCTCAAACGTTATCTCAATGCCCCTTTATTGCGAGGTATCGTACTCACATTTACCGTTGCGCACTTGCCGGTAGTAGTGTCAGCACTGTTACAATCATCGCAAGATGGCTAGTATGCAGTCAGCATGAATTTTCTGCGAGCAAAGAGGATGGCAAGACTTCACCATATTCTGTACGGATGGGCATGTGACACACGGACAGGTATTCAACCAGGGACCGGTGCAGATATTGTCGGCGTTGCCCGCGCACAGAACAGATGCGCAGTCGTAAGGCTGTTCGCTGGGGGGGCAGATCGGCTGAGAGTTGGATTTCCCCTTGGTGACTTGGAGAACGATTTGAGTAATACCGCTCTCTGTTCGAAGCTTACCTTGGGTGTTTGAAGCAAATGGTAGCATGGCGAGACTGAAAGCAATGAACCCGGCCACGAGCCATCCTGTTTGAATTAGACCAGGGAACAGTATGGGGAGGAGTGTGTCGCTCGCGGCCAGGAACAATGCGAACGCTCCTGCCACTCTCAGGTCTTGGAAGATGGGGTCGAAGTCTGGCACCAACTGGCCGGCGATTTCTACAATCTGCGTCCGGAAAGTACTTATAAGGCCATTTGGGTTCATGAGACCATCAGCGTTGTACATAAGCTCATCGGCCAGACACAAAGTCTCTTCGTACACATCAGTATCGTCTCTCTCAATCAACGGTGATGTACCGATGGTGCAAGCGGGTGCCGAGCTTGCCGTGGCGGTCTCGGCACTCTGAAGAGCCGGCATATCTGTGCTTTGAATCTGGAACACGAAATGGTTGGAGGAGTCGGAGGTCAGTAACGCAGTCCCGCTAGACACCCAGTCAGCTGTGTTATCATACACACATTGGAGGAGGATCTGTCTCTCTCGACGTTAAGGTTACATACGCAGAAGAAGCCGAGGCTGTAGGGGACGGGTTGAATGACGTTAGCTCGGTCGTGCTGATGGTTATGGCCTGTTTGTCACCCGGGGTGGTTTCTACTAAGATAACGGATGCGCCGGTCGCCGATGATACGGCTGCCACGCTGGCCAGCACACTTGATGGATAGTGTACCTGGGCTACGGGCATGGGATTCGGTCCAGAATCGAGGTACAACTCTGCGAGTACGGCTGACACCAAAGCTTCGGCAGCAAGTACTACTGCAATTACAGGTAATGCAGGCAGGAAGCGTTTTTGAAGATCAGGCGCTTGTTGATCGAGAATTTCTGCGAGACCTTCGATACATGCCGGATCACTGGGATTGCTCGCGTCGCATACTGCCTTGAACTTTGTCAACAGATCTTGTTGCGTTAATTCACCGAAGACGACGCGAATCCCATCTGGTGGTATTGCTGGAAGCTGATTATAATCGGTTGGATAGATGATATAGCCAGTACCAGTAGGGGTCGCTAGGCCAGTCTATTGCCGGTTAGACGGAGGCGATACCAGGCTTTGCTTGCTTACTGTTGTCTGCGTGAAAACTGAGAGCGGTCCCAGATCCATAGTGATAGTTCCCCCTCCAGCTTCCGCTTTGATCCCGAATTTACCCACACTCGTAGTACTATTTCCGAGGCCATGGGCAGTGGCATTGGCGAAGATATTGGCGCGAACGGTTGAGTTCCCAATGCCTCTTTTCTGCGGCAATGGCGTGGCTTGTGGCAATGCCAAGGCGGGGGAGAATGCCAAGGCATAGCAGAAAAGCACGAGGTAACTCGTGCAACGCATTATGGTGAATGGCAGAAGCAACTTCGAGAACTCTGTAAGGAGAAGTGGTAATCGGTGGGAGAAGAGGATATGGGAGGAGGCGACGGGTGTACCGAGACGAGCAGGAATTGCAGTAATAATGTCTGGGTGCTGAACAGATGGACCCAAAAAGCTTCATGGAAACATATTAATACTGGAAAGAGCGTGAAACAAGGCTCGAGGAGATTGCAAATGAAGTTCGCGATGAATACCAGGCTGTGCCTTCGGAATACGAACATCATTTGAGTTTTCCATCGTGTTCTTCCCCGCGGCCACTCATTTTCACTCGCAAAGCTAGGCAGCATTGTTGTTGCTTCATGTTAGAGGGGAACACGGGAGAAAGAGGCTGTGTCATACTAGGCTCAGAGGGACGCTGCGGGCAAAGGACCGCTCAGCCATAAGTACCTGACGCTGTAGTATTAGCATACCGCCACGAACCTCGGAAGTGTAACAACACGATCTCTACCTTACATTAAAGATACTAAGCTTTATCTATCTGTAGATAATTAAACATAATCCTATATTTAAGATTCTTCAAAAGCGTTGCAGATTGAATATTGATAAATACTTCATCAAGCCTTAGCTGATAATCGATAGGAAGTCAAGACCGAGGATGAGAAATTTAGGGGTCAACCGTATGTACATTAGGCTAAGGTAGATAAGATTAAATATATCCGATATAGGAAATTCGTGCGAGTTTCTTAGCGCCAACAATTGTAACGCTTTCTAGTGCTTTGTTGGATGGAATTACCGCCAATTAAAGTACGGATTAGGTACGAATGAACGAATTAAAGCAACATACTGTTGTAAAGTAACTTTACTGCGCGTGTTTCAAAACAAGCGGCAATTTTACCTCATAAACTCACGCCTTCGCGAAATTGAGGGGTATGGGTCGCGCATAGGCCCCCCCCCCATTGATTGGCCCGAACGTACACCAACCGAGCGAAAAACAATCGTATACTCGGGCCAACCTTGGTACTTTTGTATTTTGCCTCGTGTTGGGCCTCGTGTCGGCATCTACCAGCATTACGGGCGACGGCGTAAAACCTCCTGCGTCAATTTCAGACGTTCAATCCGAGAGTGCGCTTTCAATCAAGTTCATAAAGGAAGCAGGCTGATCTTCACCATGACTTCAATCAAAAGCAAATCTATTTCTTCTCCCTCCACATCCTCCAACCCCTTCTCCTTCTACAGCTTTATCCTCGTGAGCGTCGACGATGTTGCTGTATTGTACACTAAGTCTTTTCTTGGTGCTCCGCCTATCGGAATGCGCCTTGATTATTCATAGGGACTGTGTTTATATTATAGGAAAATTTCCTTACGAACATCCCTTCACCATGTCTGACCTTGTTCTGTTCAAGATCGAGAAAACTACGGCCAGACTTCTTGCTCAGTCCCAGGAAATGGGGCTGCTCTTGAAAGCCACAAATCCTCTACCTGGGAACGCGGGGCTGCGAGAGGCGGCTGGACTCCTTTTTGACCCTTTTGTCAATTTTGCTATCGTTCGCGATTCCACTAAGGCCGTCGCAGCAAGCGTTACAACCTCTCTACACTCAGGAGTATATGACCCTAACGGAACATATATACCTGAAAGTGGCTTGAATAATGGTGACACGGTGAGTTTGCTTCAAGGCTTGCTCTACGGCTCGACTTTGCACTAACTTCGGGCTCAATGAGTCAGATCGTGCGCTGCTCCAGTAAGGGCATACTCCAGATGGAAAAGAAAAATACATACATCGACAACGACTCTTTGGACGTCGTAATGGCTCAGGATCCAGACAACGTTAAAGGTTGTTTCGAGCAGGGGACTTTGAAAACATACGTGACTGTACCGCCCGTTACGCTGAACAGGCCTTCCATTGTTCGTTTATGCCCTGGGTAGGATGCTTCTCCTATGTTCGCCTATACTCTTGTTATCGAAATGCCCTAAAGACGTACTAGATTCGTACAACAAGAACATGACAATTTGAGGTACTCACCAAAAACCCCTGGAGGCACCCTTGTCAGAAAGTGTCGATTACTTTGGAATGACGGTGAAGCGTGGCTGAAATCCTCGAATGCGAAGACAGTCGTCGATCTTGCTGTGGCAGAGGACCCGTATTATGAGTATGAGCGCGCGGTAAGTGCTCCTATCTCACTTTTCGAGTGTCGGCTAATCTGTGAAACGCAGTTGCTACAGACCCGCCCGAGCAACTTGAACAATGGCGGATTATCTCAGACCCGCACTCAGAAAATACTGCAAGCCTTCAAGACCCCAGAGACGGATGGTTGGACGGCTTGGCGCAACAATCTAGGCTCGGGAAATTCGGCAAAGGCGCTTGTCGTCCCTGCCGCGTAGGGCAACCCCACCTAGAAGACAAACCCCGTGTTGACATTTCTGCAGGGTTGCAGCCCTTAGCACCCTGATGGAACAGCAGAGATATTGTCTACAGACACCGAATCCAGGTACGTTTTGTCCATCGCTTCATGGAGGTCCACTAATCGTTACTCTTAGACGGCACGTTTCAGCCATCCCCAGGTACTCAGCAAGGGTGGATTACTTGGGTCTCTGAACCAGATGCAGATTGGGTCTCAGTTGGTAGTAGATGAACCTGAGCGTGAGGCTGTATTGCCAAGTGAGGTCTACAAGAAGGTGGAAGGTGCGGGCTGGAGCGAGAGCAGGCCGAGTGTATTCGCAACTTTAGCCAGCATTGACAGGAGGCGACAATCTCTCCTTTCCCAGGTTAATGTCTCGAGCTTGATACCTAATTGGAAGTTTTTTCCTAGTCTCAGGCGTTGAGTGAGGTCTTGTTGTCCATTGTCGATAGCAGAGCTCTGGACGAATCAAGAGATTAGTTTCTTATCAAGGTGTTGCTATAGTAGAAGTTGGTCACTTTCCCAGCAAGACCGCGTCAGGCGTAGGCTTCCACAAGATGCCTGTAGGGACCTCAGGCAAATTGAAAAGAATGTCCTCCAGAATCCGACGCCAGGGTCAGGAGCGAGACAAGATACAGTAGAGTGTGTGACGAAGGTTCCACCTTGTATCGATGCGAAATTCAAGGTATGCCCGCACTTCAACTCGCCCAACTCAGGTTTGATAACCAAGCATTCTTCATGTCATGGGTTACAGGGTAGTTCTTTTTCTTTCACGAGATCACATGCGTAGGAACGAGAATGGATGCTTTATCCTTGTGATGTTCAATCCGTACAGTCTGTCCATTAATCAGCGCAGCTTCATCGAGCTCGCTGTCCAGTTGCTCTACAGGCGTGCTGGGAACTTGGCTTGGCAAACCATTCCACCTTTCGCCACCAACGGGAGACTCCACCACAAGTGGCCGGGACAAGGGGATCTCCGTGTCCTCTGTCATCTCTACAGTCTGGTCGAGACTGAGACTAAGCATCTTTCCCAGCGGGAACATCCGCAAGTAATGGCCGTTGACTTGAGGTAGATCAGCCAGATGGAACTTGCTTGGCGTCTTGAGCACGAGCTTGGTCTCGTCGCGGAGCTCTGGCGTATGTTCAAGCCTGCCAAGCTTCTCGGAGCCCACAAACAGTCCTCGCTCTCCCTTGCCAAGTTCTCCTTTGGACCTTTGTCCCGGCGCTCATCCCCCAGCTCGAGACCGGGGCTGCAACCTTCATTTCCGTCTCATTGGGGTGGTCGGAGGCATACACGCTTGATACTAGTACGATTCCCCGAACGCCTGAGGAGATCTGAGGAACTCTTCTCTCGAAGACCTGCCCATATCATATTGGGGCATACTTGACTTCGGATCGTAAAGACGCAGGAAGGGGAGAATGAGAGAAGAATAATCGGAAAAAGAGAAGGCGATGACGGCGAGATTTCGAGTCTATGTGATTGCGGGGAAGACAGAAGTCAGAGATAAAGGGAAATCGTAATAGTCAAGAATCTTTCGAGGCGCTGAAGCTGAATGCGGTCGTTGAATGTAGATTACAAAACAAATCTGAAGTCTGAAAGGGTGTCGCGCCCTAGTGGTGAGCTAATCTTACCCAGCATCACCTTCGTTAAGGCGGCGTGTAAGATTAGATCTCGTGTCTTCTTCTTGGCAGGATCTGCCGAGACCGCTGCATCTTCCCTCCCCCCCCCACCTCCCCCACGATACCAAACATCTCCAGCGCCTCAATGGCTCCCATCTCCCCCCCCGAAAGCAACATAATCTACAACCGCGTCAACGTCACCGTCGCCCAAAAAATCCGATCCATCGCATCATGGAACCCCCCCCGCGCGGCAAACGGGTCCCTCAACGCGACAAACCCAGGAGAGGAAACGAAGAGCGACGAGCCGGAGAGTGGCACCGCCCTGCCCGAACTCACGGGTTTCGGCGCCACGATGCGGGAGGATGGGGTGGTGGTGGAGAGGGGGGAGATGTCCGGGAACGATAGGCTGCGGAAACAGTTGCTCGGGAAGGATCATGTCAAGAAGCTGGCACGGGGCAAGAGGGCGCGTGGGGCGGGTGCCGTGGGCGTGGCAAACCAGCGACGTCCTGCTGCGCCAGCGAGGCGCGAAGAGCATGATTGGGACAGTGGGGACGAAGGGGGGCGCTCGTCGTTGGGGAAGTCGAAGCTCGGTGCAAGGAAGCATCGTCTCAAGGAGGAGGAGGGGGAGGAGGAGCAGGAATCTGGTCGTGTCGACGATGAGACGGAGGAGCTGGCGGCGCACGGGTCGAATGTGAGGGCTAAAGAGGTGCCGAAGAGAGGGAGTAATTACCTAGATGAGGTGCTGGCGGATCGATCGCTGAGGAGGCGGAAGAAGAGTCGGAAGAAAGATAGGGCTATGGAGAACTAGGATGCTGACGCCAGCTGGAGCTTGGGAATAGAAGGAAAGCTCATGCTTCAGCGTCTTAGCTCGAGCTGTTCTTCTTGAGGACCTTGCTACCGTCAATAAGGGCAACGACGGGCGACTCGACTACAAGTCACAGACAATGGCTCGATCATGTCATATTCTAGATTTCCAACGCTGCGTAAGTACGTCCTCGTCAAGCCTCACCACCAAATCTGCTCTAAACAATGGTAGATATCCTCATCTTCACATATAAGCCTTCATCCCCTAACGTATTATGGATATCCATCATCCAGAATCGAATCCTACCCATGTTCATCCAGAACCTCCAGCCGTCATAAAAAGCTCAACCACATAACATATATACAGAAACCAACAACTACTGCATCCTCTTCCTCTTCCGATCATCCAATCCCATTCCCTCATCCTCGTCCCTCTCCGCGGTTTCTGCTGGGTTTAGTAGACTATGCACGTTGCTCGCCATACTGCTTCTTCTCGTCTGGGGTGCCGAGTCCAATTGATGTCTGGGCTGGAACTTCGACCCACCGAATGGATTTTGGTTCGATGCGAAAGGGTTGGGATTGGAGGCGAATGGGTTAGAGTTCGACCAATGACTTTCCATGCTGACTGTCGAGTTGGTCGTATCACTGCTTGTCAATGGTGGTGTGGTTTGATGCGAGCTGAAGGATTTCCGAGGTGCACCCAGCTCATAGGATGCGAGCGTATCTCGTATATGTTGGTCGCTGGTCATCGGTACTTGCGTGGGCGATGAAGGCCAATGTGTGGATGATTGGCCTGATGCTAAAGGGGAATCGGTGCCATGACCAGGCCACCCAGGTACCCTAATATCTGCGGAGGTGTGCCGACGTCCCATATTAGGACCTGGAGGTTCCGAGACCATGGAGAGAGGATGCTGAGAGGATGGTTGATGTATCTGTGTTTGAGGCTGCAACGGTCGGACGTAAGTGGGCAACGCGCCTGTGGTTCCGATCGAACCGTATCGCCGTTGTGGGACAGGCACAGGCACAGGCAAGGGATGTGGAGGAGGAGCTTGGGGCTGGTAGGGTTTGAACGCATGTGGGCGAGGAGGAACTGCGTGTAGTGAGGGGCGTCGCTCATCTGAGGCGACTTGGCGTGGTGACAAGGGCTCCGCGTTGAGAGCCATGTTTGAGAAGTAGGGCTGTCTGCCCGAGAGTAATGACTCGTGTGGGTCTTCGTAGCTGCGTACCATGTCAAGTTGCCTCAGGATGTCTCTTTCCATGATAGTTGCTGAGACAGATCAGTATGAGGAGTGAGCTTGAAGACCCATTGAGACCTACCGTCACGCCGGACAGGATTGTCTGTATCTGGGATCATAGATGTAATGAGATGACACAGGTCAAGGCTCCACTGCGAAGGTTCAGTATAGTCAATTCCTTCCTGTTATGACCTACTTACCTGATGGCACTTCACCAGGCTTTCATTCAAGACGTGACATTTGGCGCTAAGAGCGGTATTGCTCTCCTCGGTTCGCGAGAGCCTCGCATGCAAATCGAATATGCTATGTTCAAGACCTTGCAATCGAAGCTCCGCCGGGTCCACGACGGGCTCAGCAGGCGTCCCAGGCTGAGAAACGCTTGCCTTGTGGGGCGACGAGAAGGAATCTCGATGGATCAAGGCGTGTCTCGATGCTCGCCTCTTTATCTCCCGTAGACCTGCGAGATCCCCTCTTTTGAAGTTCCCATTGCCATGCTTGAACTCCCACAGCGTAGATTCGGGTGATCCTGTGTGAAATACGTCGCTCACTGCGCGCAACCTATCAGCAATGACACTGCCATTGATTCATTGTCTTTGAAGACCTACCCTTGTGAAAGCCGTACATATTGAGCTGCCGGACAAATGATGAGACGTTGGTATGCTTGAAGTATTGTCTCAAGCTTGTCAGCCTTTGATGTACCGTTTTGTGGCAGTTCGATACTCACGAAAGAACTTTTGAGAAGTCGGCAGAGGGTGACATGACAAAGCTCTCGTTATTAGGCGCCCAAGATATCAAGTTCGCTATGGTTGGGTCCTCCAGCATACTATGTCCGCGTCAGCAGGTAGACCGTCGGTAAAGGCTTAGGTTATGTACCTGTATAATTTATGTATGAAAGCAGTCTGGACCACTTTCGGCTGTTGAGACGATGTTGCTGCGGCAGCACTCATTCCATTGCCAGTCGTTCCATTCTGCATGTGCGTAGCCTCCCCGTGATTGCCGTTGCTCAAGGGTCCCGCAGTATCCATTTCAGGGCTGCTGTGCCCAGGCGGCCCCATTACGGCAGATGCAGTGGGCGTCATGTCCATTGGGTCTTCATGGGCAGGCTCCACCGGCTTTATAGAAGATGGTAGTATAAGTGCGTTTCTGTGGCCACCGTTCTGCTGCGGATCGCTGGGAAAGGGACTCCGGCCCATCACATCCGCTGCCTGCAGCGACGATTGGATGTGATTTCCTGTAAAAGAGAGGTATTAAGATTATATACTATCCTTGCTCCTTCGCAATTCATCCGGCCTGGAGGAGTCCTTTTGGCGTGTGACATGAGACTGACGACGGTATGGAAGAAGTGTAGCTAGATATGTTGGAAACCCTCAAAACTGGTATTTCATCGATCCTTGGTTGTAGTGGGAAAGTATTAGACAGGTTTGCTACCCAGCGGCAGTGGGGCAGCTTGTAAGATTGGAGGAGGGGAGATGTTTCGAGCGATGAGACCTAAAACGCGGTTTTGCTGGGGAGGTTTGCTGAAAAGAAAGCGCGTCGAAGCCTAGGCGCCGAACGTGTCTAAGGATGATGGTTGTCAGTCAAGATGTTGCAGCAGGAGTGCAACTGGCTATCATCGGATGGGAGTAGTTCTCCGTACCTGGGCTCCGGCTTCGGAAGGTCGCAGAAACCAAGGCGCCTGTCTCGAGATGCAGGCTAGATCACCAGAGTCGCAATTGCTGATTCGGTCCAAGATAGATTTTTACCGAGACGGCGAACGAGTGATATGTTCCAAAATCCGACAATTCGGCTTACTCGTCCAAAGTTTAGGGGATGGTTCGCTCGCCGAGAAGGGGGGTTGCCAGTTAGAGACAGCAGGTGCGAAATACAGGTCTCAAGTGGCTGTATATGGTAGATGGAGGAGTCGTTGAAGGGACAGATAAGCAATTGAAAGATAATGAGAGGAGCTGGCCGGCGCGGCAGCCTTCAGGATGCAACAACGGGGGCATCTATCTTCGAAGGGAAGCTGGAAAGCTGGAGAGATGCCGCCAAGGCATGCTAGCGCCCCCCAACCGAAGCTCAAAAACGTGGTTGACAGGGATGCTGGAAGTGCACGGATGTTTTAAGGTTCTTGGGACCTTTATGATCCTCATCCCACTGCGCAGTGTTTCCATTATCTACAAAATTCTGCCCATAGCTTCCATGTCTATCTCATTCATATCCTAGAATCAAAAGGGCTGTCTCGGCAACGAAGGTTGCTGTTTTTACCGTCGGTACTGGTACCAGCAACTCTATAGGTTACATGCAGTCATCATATTCTGACTATTCTGACATGGCCATCATATCTTGCTGTGACCACATGTCTTGCATTGTGAAACAAGTCCCCTGACCCAGACATCCTTGATGAAACCTTTCGAAATCGTCTTGTTCAGCGTCTCCCCTCACGAATCCTTTCAACCTCATCCCTTCTACAAGATGCCTCAGGGAGTCTCGGCAGGGCCCGTCACCCCAAGTTTGCATTCAAATATGAGCTTCAAAGTTCCGATATGGAATTATGAGTGCTTACTATCTACCGGAGAGTGAAAAGGGGTTTTTGAGGCCCCAAGCTTTGATGTTGCAAATAACGACGGCCGTTTGGCCAGAAGGTAAGCCGCAAAGAGTCTTACAGCTCAGTGTTGACTGCCCGCTTGAAGGCTTCACCTTCGGAGAGGTCCATACTGCAAGCGTCGAGCCCTTGGTAAGATGTCTTCTTTGAAAGCGCGTGAACCATGTGCTAGTCCATCAGCCACGCGGCCATTCACATTTCAATCTGTGCTCCTAAGAGGTAGCATGCTTTCCAATCTTGTAGCGATGACAGATTTGCTTGCAATTGGTAAGTCTGATTCTTTATCAATATTAGAACTTTTGGTAAAATTGCACGTGTTGGCCGTGCGATGTTCCAGAACCGCAGCAAACAAGACTGCTTTCGCGTCCCTCAGCACCCCTCTCGTTCACGACTCAGCGCCTTCAAGTACACCATCGAGGCAGCAACGCCTACGCTCTTGGTCCAGGAAGGCCTCGCGAGCGTTTCGGGCGCCAACATCAAAGACTCAAACCCAGTTGCTATCAACTACGACGAGATGGCCACAAGACATTGGCGCAGATGCTTCTTAATGAAGGTACAAAACATTCCTCCAGTGAACTATTTGGCTCTCCTGATATCCACTTAGTACTGTAGTCCGGGATGCTAAAAGGCTCACTGGGCTCTGCACCGCCTGAATTGCGCTTAGGATTGAGAAACCCTGGCCAGCAGCCTCGGTCGGTTCGGGAGAAGCGCCATCCAAACTTCATCATCAGCAATTGACATCAAGGAACAATGTGTTCAGCGGGTTGGATTCTGTTTGGAGGGCCTTTTCAGCATTGAAAAGTCCAGGAATTTCGCTAAAGAAGTGGGCGAAATGTGTCCGGACCTCTGAGGCAACTCGATCAAAGAGACCGTGGTCACTATACTATATCAATAGCCAGAAACAGCTCCTCCAGCTTACTAGATTTATTCGCGAGAGACCGGGACTGCTTGCAATATACTTCCAACATTCATCATGTCGTACAGTTTGCTACTAGCCTCTTGAGATGTGAGGCAGGTTTTACAGGCAACGGCCAACAAATAAGATGCAACACACGAAATTGGACTCTTCAATTCGCGAGCGGCACCGATGTCGTTCATTTTGACTGTGATCATCAGTTTGCTTGATATTCTGTTCTCACCACCTTTGAGAGCGTCGACGCACTCATCCTGGTGAATAAGCAAATTGGCTCCAAGTCCCTTCATCGCAATGATGGTTTCAGGTTGGATGTCATCTTCAGACCCGGCACTGATTGAAGCGATTCTTGCAGCACCAACGAGGAGAATCGACTGACACTTCTGCAGAGACAATTTCACGTACTAGGAAGTCATTCTTTCCTCACAACAGCTGAGCAATTTAAGCAAAGTGTTGGCACTACCTGCCATCTCGAAAATTAGCAAAGGCGGATCTGTACGAGGCAGATGCAGGCGACCTTTACTCGACGCCCCAAGTACTCGTTGATCTACAGATTGCGGGCGATCTTTTTGTCTTGGCGAATAGGTCAATAAGCGCTGCCGCTAAAAACCGGCTCCGCGTTCCGAGCTTGTGCTCAGCGGGTTTAGCGCCACGTCGCCTTTGTGCCCACCTTCAGACTTTTACTCACAGTCTGCAAGTTTGTAATTGTAATTGAGCGGGACGAGCTTTACTGTGCGACTTGATTGTGGTACCGCAATCTCGAGATGTGCTTGAGCTGTAGAAAAGCTGAAACAAACTTTAGCCAATGTAGAGAATCCTGCAGACGTCTCAACTTCATTTGACCGATGGTGACTTGACCCCCCCGGGCAGTCACTGCCTCAATACCTGCTACCCGGCATGTGCACTGTCTTGAGGGTATACTCTCCGCATTCAACATACTTCGAGGGTACCTCCTGTCGCCATCGGTCAATCACAAAGCGATTGATCTGGTGATCTTGATTACCCCCCTCAAGCTTTCAGAAACGTGGCATTCTCGGATCTTGGCTTCCTTCGGATTTACCACACTCCTTGGTCTCAAGTCACATTACATTGATCGGCCGTGGACAAATGCAACGAGGTCGAGACGAGCACTCGCCAACGAAAAGTCCACTCCTCGAAATCGGAATTCGGCAACCTAAGGATCTGTATCCTTCAACTGTTACCTTTTTTTGCCGAGCTGCCAGCCGCCGGCCGCCGGTATGGTTTACTGCGGACCACCCTCAAAAGGATGTCAGACTTGCCGAGAGAAGAAGGTCCGGTGTGACCAGCGTCCTGGCGGATGTATCAGATGCGCAAAAGCCAGGCGCGAGTGTCCAGGCTATCGAAACCAGTCAGACTTGATGTTCCGGAACGAGAGTACAGAAGTTGTTAGGAAGGCCAAGGCAAAGGCTGCCTCCAAGAGTAGATCGGCTTCCCCGGGCTTCAAATCTTCCACACCACCACCACCACCACAATCACCATTTCCGGAGCACGACAGAGAGAGCTCCCTCATCCTCGGACGGCGGAATGATAGTCCAAATCCAACACCCTCGAACTCATATTACTCGATGGCCCCCACAATCGACGAAAAGGCTACTGGCTTCTTCGTCACTAATTATATCATCAACATGGATAGGCGTCCAGGCAATTCTGCAGGCTACAGAATGGACGATAATCTTTCGAATTGCATGAAAGCTGTGGGACTCGCTGCGCTGGCAAGCGCCGCTCATGCTCCTGAACTCGTACAAGAGGTGCGTTGATTCTGAGTGACTCCTTCAGATTCGGTCCTTTAGTCTAAGGTTCCACATATCTGAGACGGGAAGAAGGCTTCCAACCCCCGTCGTGCTCAGTTGGACGTATCTTAATACTCACCTTGCATTACTCATAGCTTTTATGCTTCTTTCCGATCGTTGTACTTCCTAAATCTGTCTCATTTATTCCATTCCTGCCTCGAAAAGGCTTCTTCCATCTTGTTGCGCCCTTAGGTGTTGTTTTAAAGGAGAGGCTTATGCTGACTCCAATATTGTCAAAAGGCACATAGGCGGTACCTGTCTGCCATTAAACTTACCAATGCCGCTTTGGGATCTCCTGTTGATGTCAAGAAAGATAGTACCCTACTAGCCATCATGTTGCTGAGCGTTTTCGAAACCGTGACCAGTGGTCGCCAACGCTCACTGAGCGCTTGGACAAATCATATCAATGGCGCCGCCGCCGTCATCAAAGTACGAGGACCGGAGCAACTGGCTAGTATAGGAGGAGTTCGTATGTTCATGCAAGTGACGGCCAGTCTCACGGTCAGCTGCCTGGAAGTAGGAATGGCATTGCCAGAACATATCCTGGCGTTGAATGCCCAAATTACCAGGCATGCTGATCTTAGCGACCCAGCATGGCGCTATTACGAGACCATGATGATGCTCACTAATTTCCGAGGGCATGTGAGGTGTGGACTCATCTCTAACCCACAAGAGATACTCGCAAGGGCGCTCGAAATCGACAAGGCTGCTCTTGCGATCTGTGCCAATGCCTCATGTGTCTATGAGTATGAGACAGTTTACACGAGTGCTGATCCTGGTGTCATCTTCGCCGGTTACTACCATATGTATCATGATTACATGTCGGCTTCGGTATGGAATGGAATGCGGGCCATCAGATTGATGTTGCAAGAAATCATACGAGACACACTCTTGAAGCTCCATTCCTCTAGGCCACCATTTTCCACCAACGAGCAGTATAGAGCACAATATCAGGCATCGACCAGTACCTTGTACCAAGTGCAATCCGACATCATCGCCAGTGTGCCTCAGCATTTGGGCTACTCGCCCACGAAGTCAACATCTGGCGGGGTCTCAGGCCACAGTTTCCCCTGGTCACCTTTCAATAGTCGCGTAGTCACTCCCCTCCATTCGTTGAAGTCAAACTCAGCTGACCCTCCGATGATCCGTTCTCTCGGGGGTTACGGCCTGCCATGGGCAATCTATCTCGCGGGCTCCGTCGACATCGCCACCGAGCCTGTCCAAAAGTGGGCTATTGGGACTCTCCAGGGGATTGGTCGATCGATGGGGATACAGCAAGCTATTGTTCTTGCAGATAAATTGAATAAGAAGAATACTGGAGTCTGAACACCGTACTTGCATTCGGCAGCATGGTCGCATTCATAGGGTCCTTCGGCGGGCAGTTTATCATGTGTGTCATGCGCCAAATTTCTGTCTTTTTGCAGATCCAACATATTACCATCTTGGTAATAGCGAGAGTCCCCATAATGGCCGCGGGATACCCCTCTGGCGCTCACTTCTTGTGCCTGGAGGGGCTAGTTGTCAAAACAGTGGGCAATTGATCGTTGAACACTGCCTACAACACCTCAATATTAAGAGCACCTGCAAACAAAAATTTTAATGTCTAAAGTTGTTCGAATCAACGGAATTGGAAGATTGTCCTGCGAATGCTGTGCCTTGAGTCTCATCATTGGTCAGATAGGAAGGCGAAAAGACTTTCGCCAACTGCCATGGATTTTGGCATTCGACGTGAATGGTTTACTCCATGGAGTGTGCCAAGAATGCCAAGCATTGATCGGCACTGCAATAGCCCAGTTGGGAATGCTGTGCGGACCAATCAAGAAGATGTTGATTAGTCAGCAGCTGTAGCCAATCTCAGTGAATGGTTCAGTATCTATCTCCTCAGCTCCTGTCAACAGGCTGTGCAGCGAGGACTGAAACATGCATGAACGCGTAAGCGCCCCCATTTCACATGTCAGACACAATGTCAAGTCCGTGTTGATGGACAGATGGATACCTATAAAGCATGCTGTCCTCATCTCTTTCCTCTATTATGATATTATCCCTTAGCACCTAGAAACTTCTTCAACACATCAGCTCTTGTTATGATGGTTGATCATTGTATTCAAGCGTTGCATTTGCACTGAACGCCCCAACTGACCCCAAAATCTCTTCACACGCCATCTTCCTTCTCCAACGCAACTGCTAGCGATGGGGAAGATTGTTAAACTTATCGGCTCCGGCGTGGGGCTTGCCGCGGAAGCCATCGCTGCTCGAAAACAGCTACAGAGGTCCCCATCCAGTCAAGGAAACGGCCAATTATCCAGTACACCGCGCAACATACCCATCGAAGGGCCACCTGGCTATAATCAGGCAGTCTTTGAGGTATCTGACGAAAAAGCGAATGCCCTCATCGCCAGCGGCCAAGCAGTTCCTGTGGATGATCACAGGGATAGGAGCATCGCCGACGGACAGGCTGAGGATGACGATGATAGTTCAGATGAAGACGACGAACGAGACTGGGCACTTGATGAAGCTGCTGGCGCGGACGAGCCTCCAGTCGCGTCACTAAGTGGCCAAGAACCAAAGAAGAAGTATGCTCTTGACGCAACAGCTACCATCGAATCTCTTGGAGCGATCGTCTTATCCAAATTCCCCCCTCCACCACGAAGCACCCCTCAATTGCGATGTCCAGTTATCATTCCCCAAAGAAGGCCCGGAGCTAGTGGTCGAGGCTTCATTCGAGCCTACGCTCCTGATCTCGCCGAATTCGGCATTCCCCAGGAAGGGTTCCTTTCATTTTTGAAGGTCCAGCAAGAAGCGTCAAAAGCGTCCCCACTTTTGAACGTCGTCTACGTTGGAGCTGGCATAATTGGCTGTGTACCACATGGAGCAGCCATGATCACTTCAGTGGTGGTCTCAATAGCTGTCGGCGCATGTATTAAACATCAGGAGTCACAAAGGACAAACAGTTTCCTGGATGACATGAACGAGAGAATATACAAGCCGCGAGGTCTCTATGCGATGATCATGAAGTACAACCCGAACGCGAACACGACCCTGGATGTGCAACAGATGGATGCCTCTAGCCTAATCGTAAACCGCGGCGCTCACGAGAATGATTTCTTCAGAAAAACGGCCTCAGGTGAGACTCAAGGGGAGCTCGAGATGCCGGAGGCTGCACCACTGGTGTTTCCCGCACTGGATGATGTCGCCCAGTCAGGTGATATTGAGAAGAGGAACGCATTCATGAGAAGCACGAAATTTGTCTCCAACTACTATGACAAGCGAACGCAATTGGAATATGTAAGTCATCGTCTCTTCGTTCTGCGGTCGACGGTCACTTTAGACAAACACTCCTCTTTCATGGGCTAACTTACAGCAGGCAACTCAAAATCCAAACTCAAGCCTAGCAGTCCCAGCAGACCAACGACCGAATTTCGCAACTAGAGTCGCCGACCCTAGCCATCCTGCCTTCCAAGGCTCCTGGCTCACGCTGTTCTCCGGAGGCAAGATCAAGCCATCCACCAAAGGCGAGAAAAACGGTGAGCCATCCGGACGACGCGGAAAGCGAGGGAAGAAGGGCAAAGGACGAAAAAAGGGAAGGAAGATGAAGAGCGTATGTCTCTTCGTAGTCTCTCACATTTATCACAGTCTTGCTGATGTATATTTTCAGAATCTGCTCTACTTGATAATCGTCAACTTGCCGTCAGACCAAGAGCTTGCGGCTGCGAAGCAGCAGCTGGAGATGACGCGGCGATAAGATTGACCTGCCACAGAAAACTATGGCGGAGTTCAGGTGGCAGACAGTAGCTTGACGAACGGTACGCTCTACGCATTCGGTTGGGCTTCAGCAGGCGTGAAAAGGGTATGGAAGGTTCTAATGACGAGCAAGCATAGCAATCATGACAGGTCTTCATTAAGCGTGGACAGGGTGGTAAGAGCTTCACCGACAAGAACGCATAATAGATTTTGACAGTTTGGGTCCTGCTTCTGGGTTCACTTTGTTCTCTTGTGGGGATGATGTTGATTGCATCGTCTGGAGTCTTATTATCTAGAGTCTGGGTCGGGCTGAACTGCCCAGTCACGAATATAACCTTGTCTCAAAGCGTCTCAAAGGAACGCAAAGAAACGTCTGTTATGAATGACGAGATACACATCACCATAGAAAACGACAAGCTCTCCCACCGCTGCGAATGCAAGCATCCTTGTCCTCGTGATCAGCACTATTCACACCCCCTCAACCACCACCACCACCTCCCTCCCTCCCCAACATCCCTCTCACAACCACAACCATCACCACCATCACCCCACCCACCCACCCCTCCCAACCAACCCCTCCCTAAACGCCTCCCTCTCCATCCCCATCCGGCTCCCCGACCACCCCAACTCCTCCCCCCGGCGCCGAAACCTCGCTTCCTCGACCGCCATCTCGATCGCCTGCACCGTCCTTTCGTGCTCCGGTTGCTTGCAGGCGCTGTGACGTTGCATTGTCTGTGGGGTGGTCGCGGGTACGGGTCCGGAAGCACGGGGGGCGGGGTGGGTGTGGGTGCGGAGTTGGGAGGTGGGGTCGAGGAGAAGGTGGTGCATTGTTGTGAGCAGGGTGGCGGTGGCGGCGGTGAGGGTGGTGAGGAGAAATGCAGCGATCATTTTTGGGGGGGGGGAGTTGAGAGGGGATGGGGAAAGGAGGGTGGGTGCAGTTGGTTTTGGGATGAGTGGTTTGGGGATCTTGTCGGTGGGTTCTTTGTGCGGGAGGATGAATGCATTGTTGCGGGGGGGTCTTGTTGCTTGGTTCTGGATGAAAGAGAAAGTTGTGCTGGAACAAAGACTCGTTTTTTTTTCTGGAAGGAATTAACAGAGACATTGTCTTAAATCAGATAAGTAGATTCTGTCCAGCTGGTCGGAATAGGCAATCGCAGTCGTTGCAGATGTTGCAAGAAGAAAAGTCTCACTTCGGCCTTTGACACTATTCAATGACCGCCAGTCCAGCCGGCCACACGTCCAAGCTCAATAGTCTCGCAAAGTGTTACAGAAACCAAGCCTACCGCACTAGTGCATGGACACGCTTCTGCCTGAGCATCCTAGGATTATCGACTGAGAAACTGCTAGAGTAATCGGCAGTCAAGTATAACGGCTGCTTCAAGTAACGCGCCAGGTCTCTCCGCGTTCGTGCCCATGGTTCTGAAGGGAGTTGTGTCGGTCGCTGGGGCCCGAGATAGCCAGCTGATCTTTCGGACATTAGTTGCAATGCGAGGCAGAAAGCTAACGCATGCATGCAGTCTGTGGCCTTCACTTCAGTGGGTTTGAAGGTGTCGGTAAAGGTCAACTTATATTCTGTGGCATTTGTTTTGGTGGGTTTGAAGAAGTCGATCAAGGTCAACATATTGGGCAGATTGAGAAAGGGAACTGAGAAGTTGAGTTTACTGATGACAGATTTGACTCCTGCTCTGAGAGGACCCTGCGGTGATGCGCCATGAGCTGCGGCTCTCAGGACACCAGTTGTTCGGGCTCGAGGCTCAAAGTGTGGTCTAAGGCTGCTTTGGAGTCTGCCAGTGCATAGTGCGCCCACGTTGATGGTGGGTGTTCCAAGGATAATGGGAGATGATGCCGCCATTTTGGACCCGTGTTCTCATTGTGCTGGTCTATGATGGCTTTGTAGATTACACGATCATTGCAAGCTGCACGGAGGGATTTGATGACCTTTGACAATGCCAATACAGTATCGCAGGCTCCGACCGAAGCCATAGGCGGAGGATCTCAACGGGCAGCTTATCGAGCCTGGAAGGTCGTGATATCATGATTAATCTGCTTTGACGGTTCGTATTGTTCAGGGCCTTAGCTCTAGAGGAGTCTAATTAGAAATGGCACAAGGTCGGCTCAACTCCTCATCAAACAGCTCACAGAGGGACGGTGCGAGCGTGCCAAGACCAGCATCAGGACTGAGGTACTTTATTCTCGAGTTGTCCGTGTTGTTGGGGGTATTTAGTTCGGATTAGGTTCGATTCCTAATGGCGCTGGTACAATGGTGTTGCGTGCTTTTTATTTTCTGTCCGTACAGCCTCATTGTGCCAAGCCACTAGTGTTCAAACACTCATCACGTGATGCTGTGGCGCTGTTCACCGGCAGCCGCACCAATCAAAGTGTGGAAAGCGAAAGATCAACGACTGGAGCCTGCTGGAGTCGTATACTCCATGGCCATCTAATTCGGACCAATTGAAGCTTCTGCGAGAATGGTGCTACAGACGTCAGCGCATCGTGCCTACTTTGTGGGCTACCATTGAACTCGCTGCTACTCCTTCGGGACATGCGATCACTTGCATTCCTTCCGAATAAAGGCATACCTGCCACAGGAACACCGCATCTTTTGGAATCCCCCCTCCTGGTCAGCCCTATGTCCTGTGTACTAATGGTATGTTACTTCAACATGCCGGCTTTAATGCTCGCTGTCTGTGCTCACGAAGCCTCGATAGGACCGGAAGAGGATGCGGATGACAAGATCTTGTAGGTGATTAGAACCTCGACTAGGATCTTTGTACTGTCTCAATTTGCCTTTTTGCATTCACTCTATGTACTTGCCAAAACGAAATCTAACGTCGGATCTGACCAAGGGAGCGATTACCTGCTTTGCCAGCTTTCAGCTGACAAGAAGCTTTCGACTATGGGAAGCCTTCCAGCTGAAATACTTGAGCCCATTCTTGAAGAGGTAAGCCTGGTAGTGTGAGTTCCTGAGCTATAGTAATTTTCCAAGATCCATTTGAATTCTATCTCCGGCGTCCGAGCTCTGGCCTGTGCATCTCGGACTTGCCGTGCCCTGGCTAGCCCCTACTTGTTTAAACCACTCAAGTGTGAGTTCATAGAGCTTGTACGAGGTGATGACTTAGGGGGCCTAGCCGTTGTCACCTTGAGTACAGCAGACAATTTCAAAACTCTCAAATGTCAAAGTGGACTGCGGGGACAAGATAGACTGCGGACATTCACTCAAGTCCTGAGTGTAGAACATACCTACGAATGTTTCGAATACCTGCCTGATAGATCCTTATATCATTTCAACCTCTCAGCGCCCGCCCTCGACTTCTTGAGTCGCACCCTTCCTTTGCTATCGAGACTGGTCATCGACCTCGGCGATTTCATCGGTTACAGCCCTAGCTGGGATCAAGCGTATAAGAAAGCTACGAAAAAAAATGCACGGTATTCACATGCACCATTATCATGCGTAGACGGGCTGAACATCGTCTGCGCCATCGCTCGCTTCCAAAACCTCCGCCACCTCACTCTTCACTACAGGCTCCAACAAGACCAAATCGCCCTCATGCATCCAACGCCCGGATGCGAAGCCGTGCGCGAGCTATTTGAGTCGATCCAGAGACGGAAGCGAGGTCAAGCCATTGTCCGGTTAGACGTGATCTTCTACACTGACTCGATCAACGTTTTCGGGTGCGTTGACCGCTCATGGCAAATCGATCCACCTACAGTATCGAACACGATTACGATAGTATGCAATAACAATACCTCTTCCCAAGGTGACAAGCAATCTCAGTGCAGCTGCACTTGCGACAATACAGACTATGGGAAGGTGATCGAGCGCCGGAAGAGGACTGAGAGGCTCTATGGGAGACAGGCATGGACATATCGTCTCGGAAGTGTTCAATGGAAGCTTTTGCAAGGCAGATATAGAACCTTGCCGTGGAGTATCGTGATGCAATCACTTATGTGGTTGGCGCTTTTACCGTCGAATATCGTCTTTGAGGAGGGCAAGCGCGTGCGGTATGAACCATCTCTGGCAGATGTGGAGGTGAGCTGCCGTCAGGATTACTCGGATCGACGAACCCGCTTCAGAGAGAGATTGTTCGAGAGGATATTACCATATTAGGTCATATAGTGAGATTGCTTTTCACAGCAAAGTCAAATGCGGCGTTTGCACTGCTTGATAGGACTATTCATGGTTTCTACCATGCAAACATCTAATCGTCATGAAGCTTCTCGAGCCTACAAACGGGGCATCTCTCCCTCACCAATTCAAAAACCACGAGATTCAGGCCTGCGAATCATTTGGATGTCGCCATTCTTCCCTGACCGACCCAAAGGTGACGAGAAGAGTAATACTTCTAGTGATCTCAAGAGCTTCGAAAACGTTCAAACTGTGGAGAGGTAAATATTGGAATTGCCTTGGTACTTATTTTATATCATGGACCTTCACTTTCATTCCAGGAACTTCAGCTTTTTCTTCAATGCCGGGAACACTCCAACTTCGGTGGTGGTAAACCTATTGTCCGATTGGATATGTGGCCCTCCTCTCAGAGGTGACTGGTTTGACTCAAATCTTTTGGGCTTTACTTTTTTTTTCTGTCCTTTTGTTCTTGCTTTCTGCTTTCTGCTTTCTGCTTTCTGCTTTCTGCTTTCTGCTTTCTGCTTTCTGCTTTCTGCTTTCTTGGTCAGGCCGTTCCAACCCTTTCAGGCCGTCTATTGAGATCTCGGGTGACTACATTTCAGATTGGCTGCACCAGATAGACGAAAGTAGACTCAGGCGGCTAACCGCTAGCGTGATCTTAATCCCCGAATAAATGGTCTTCGGCCTTTAATATATGCTTTGTCGAAACACCAGTCTTAGTTTTTCATCCCTTCCTCGAAAAGAGCCTCATTACTCCCATCAAGCAAAACAACCCAGACACGCAAACCACCACTACCACCACCACCAGTCTGCCTCAATATCAAAACCAATAAGCCTTCCCCCCTCCTAGCCCTCAGCGCCCTCAACCCCGTCCAGCTCGCCGCCTTCAAAACCTGGTCCGCCAACGTCTTCGTACCGCAAATCGACCACGCCGTCGGCGCACCAGGTCTGGACTCCCTCCACGGAAACAATCCTCAAGAGTACTCGAGTATGAGCCGTACACTACCGTCCGGCCCGGACCTTGGCGCCGGGAACGAGTTCGTTCCACGGTTATGAGGCGGTGGAGACGGGTTCTTATTCTTGTCCTTGAGCGTGGAGACATGTTTTTGTACAAATTGTTGGAGCCGGGAAGGGCCGTTTGAGGTTAGGAGGGTGGATGAGGGGGTGGAGGCGGAGGAGGAGCTTGGAAGGTATTGGAATGTGATGTGAAAGTTGTTGTTATTAAGAAGAAGCATGGCTGTGAAGCCTACTAAATAGTAGGTGGCTAGCCCTACCACAAGGCTGGGAGCATCTTCCAACAGAAGGTGGGTGGGGGGGTAGAGAAGGTGGTTGCGAGTTGGAGGGCTGTGGGGAAGACGGGTAGAGGAAAGGATTGCGTAGAGTGGTGCGATCGGTTGTGGGTAAGGCGATGGGGCTGAGTGGAATATGTGCAGGGGTTCAAAAGAAGGGATGTGAAGACTTGAAGATGGCATTGGCTTCGGGTTCACAGGTATGCAGTACAGCTGATGCACAGTTCTTGGGCTGTGGTGCGCTTACGCCGTTCGATACCAAAGTGTTCGCTGCGCACTAAAACACGATGATGCACAAGAATGGTCTTCTAATGTGCTCTCCCACCCTGGAGTGAATCATATAATGTTTGAGATGAAGAGCGATTGGAATTCGATTGGTAAATCATCGAATTTTTATAAGCTTACAGATGGTGAGCTTCATGCAAAAGCCCAATAGTGACGGTATGCACCATTCTCCCATCGTATCCCGGGAATTAGCCCCAGACGTTTGTGAGAATCCCAAACCTTGCGATCATAATCACCCCCCTTCCTCGACTTGACCTGGTCAAACAACGCATCCTCCTGATGCTTCTCCAATGTCACGAACGGGTATCTCAAATTGACTTCTTGAAGTGGTGGAAGGAATTCCTGGACCTGAAGGTAGACCACCGTGAGTCGAAGGTGCACCGTTAAGCGCGAGGCAGCAATTCTTTGAATAGTAGTCATCTTGTCCTTATCTGGTCCAAATAAGTTTTCGAGCGTAGCAACATTTTTTTTCGCAATCGCTCGTGATTCAAGGATGTCTTTGCTGCTGAGCGCGCCTGCGCCTTGAATCTGATTCCAAAGCCACGTGCCATTTGGATCCATGGTAAACCCATAGCCACCTAAGATGGCGATCATCATGTTCCAACTTGGGTGCTTGCTTACTATGTATTTCAACGGCGTGAAAAGCTGCTGAACGCACTACACCATATCGGAGTTAGCCTTCTTCTTTAGAACAGACTCTCGAATCTAAAAGACATGTTCGAGGAGCGAAATATGCGTCCCTACCTCAGACTTGGCTTCGGACTGAAAATGATTGTGAAAGGGGCATGAATAATTCAGAAAAGCCACTTACATAGGGACAAGTATTCTGATCTCCTTCGGTGCGGGAGATCCAGCGCTTGATGCATTTGCTGCCAAGGACATGCTGGCAGGGTAGTCGAACAGCGTGCTCGGGTTCGATTGGTTCTGGGTCTCGGCGAGCGGCCATCGAAAAGATGCGTTCGATGATCCCAGGAGCTGGGGCTTTCGCGGATACGTACTTCTGCAGACATACTGGACATTCGTCGCAGTCGGGCAGATCTTGGGCCTCAGGTAGCTGACCGAGGAAGTCCCTTGGGGTCATCCTGGGTAACGCAGGAGACATGTTTGGGGTGGTCCTTCTTGGTACGAAGTTGAAGTTGGGGAATCTGATTTGACAATGGGCTGTTGGAAGAATGAGGAAAGTATTAAAGGGAATTGAGAAGGTTATGAAGATAAGGCAGGGTCTTGACGGAAGGTCTTTGTTGTGATCGTTTGTTGGAACAATGTCATTGCAAGATGTATGAAAAGACATGTCTTACGCTTTTATCACACAGACAAGGACTCCTATCAGGATAACACATTGCTTTGACAGAAAGCCATTGTTCATTGAATCATTTGTTGAGATGATGTCGTTGCAAACCAGATGTAGGAAATGTCTGAGGCTTTCATCCCACGGACAGAGATTGGGTTCTGGACAATGACTGCAAATTGTTCGGCGATAGGCCCACATTTGCTTGTCAACCTATCTCTCCCCTCATGAGGAACACGTCAAGTAGTTGAGCAGTGTTGGAAATCATATTGCAGCACCATAGTGTGTTATAGCTACCCCGCATGGTGGCAACCAGGTAACAAATTAGCATGGGCTTCACATGGTATATAAGTAGCCTACATACCACTCCATAGACAATCAATCCATGACTTCTCTTCAAAGTCAACAAGCAGTCACATTGCCCCAAGAATACTGCTGTCATATAGACAGAATCTGTGGTAGTCGATGAGGGTGTACCTTAGTCAGTAGATGTCATGACCAATCGGATGTTAGCTTGTGTAACCTAATGACTAATGCTCGTTCAAAGCTCAAAGCGTTCTCTTTCATTCTAGCTTTCACTCTTTGTCACCCGAGCCTGCCATCAAAACAACCTCTCGGTCTAGTTCAAAGTGCTAGGAAAGCGTGGGAGAGAATATCCTTTACCTAGCGGCACCAAGCTACGACATTTCAGCAAGCTGTGCTTGCTACCCCCGAGATCTCTCAGAATCAGTCTCTCACGCTCGACAAACATTGCAAAACACCCTTTTTCACAGCAGCCCATGTCTTCTCCAATGCCATCACGAAGAAATAGCAAGCTAGTCTACTCTGAAGAAGAACTGTTGGGGGCACGTACTCATGTTGAAAGCTGGTTGGAACCAAGCCACTATAGCTTCGAAGACGAAGATCACCCATCCGATGAAGAAGTTAAGGAAAGTTGGGTGAGAAAACATGTCCGCAGGTCCAGGCGTAGGGCAAAATACGCACATATGCGTAGAGAATGCGGAGTTTACCAACCTATCGAGCATCTCTTCAAGAGTACAGATATTCTGTTGGGCATTTCCTCTTTGTACAGGTGCTAACCGATAAACTGCAACAGAGAGAGGTCATAATGGTAACTTCAGAGAATGGTACAATCGAATGCCTTCACGCCAACGGGGTGGACTCCTCCAGGAAGCTCGTGAAGTCTACAACAGAGACTTCGACGCACAATTTCCACTGTCTCCAAGCGTCCATGGTTCCTCGGGATCGTCTGAGGCTCCGTCATCCGAAGACACTGACGAGGAAAACGACCGCCAACAAGAAAATCAAGAACGGATCGGCATTCAGACTTGGCTTCGCTACCGACGTGATCATCCTCATGCCTGTGGCCACCGCCCACGACCGACACCAGCCCAGCCCTTTAACTTTATGGGCCTTCCCACGGAGATCCGCTGCGAGATTTTACGGTTGCTACTCGAACGAATCAAAGAAGTGACGGATGTGAGCCTCAAAAAATCGTTCGAATTATACAACATGGTACCCGTGGATACACGTCTCTTTGCTGTCAGTCGCCAGATGCAGGTAGATGCTGAAGTAGTCTTCTTCCGCTCGAACACAATCCATGTGCATGTTGAACACTACGACTTACCATTCTTCATCACAAATCCCCCGCCGTCTATTCGGGAATTAAGGAAGGTCCACCTGTCGATCAGCCACTATTCCAGCCCGCCGACCCAGCCATTGCTGGCTGAGAACTTGGAACAGGTTGCTGATCTATTGAAAGATTGCAAGAAGCTTGTTCAACTAAAGATATCGCAACTCTGCCGGAGTGGTGGATTCCCGAAAATTTCCACACATGTTTTAAGGGATTCCTTGGAGTACTTCACTCGGGTTCGAGGGGTTAGTGAGGTAGTTCTCACTGATGTCGAGCCTCCGAAAGATGATGACGCTGCTCTGATTTACGCTCCTGAGAAGGTAACGACTCGCCTGAAGGCGATTATGCAGAGTCCGAAACTCGAATAAGTCATTAGACCCTGTCTTGCGCTCCGTACGGCATCATGTGCACGATTGTCAGGTGACATGACCTCTAGCATGTATCCTAAGATTTCAGATTGACTGGTAATTAGACTTGCTTTACCTTCAGCCGAAATAGCAATGGGATCTTCAAATTGCAAAGCAGCTCATCGTTTGACCGCTGTCTGTGTTCTCTTTCTAAAAGCGCTCCGCTTGATACATAGAACCCTTGCAGCTTGAGAGATGCTGGAAGAGCAGACGTCCAAAAAACAAGCCTGAGACCTACGCTATCGTTCCTTCGTTATCCTCCACTCCTTCTCCTACTCTCAGCAAGCTCGTCATGACCCTCTGATCATTCACCCCCACATAAACAAATTCCGGCCGACTTCCTTCCATCAAGAAGCAATAATACGGCTGCTCCTTTCCCAACGGTAGGCCTTTGGGCCACTTCACATCAACGGCCTCGTAAGGGCCCACGTATCCCGCTTTCTTTATCAAACTATCTGCGAATACGATATCCATCCCGAGCCGCGACGGCAGAACATTGTTTTCTGCAGGGCATGGCTGCACCGAGAAGCGAGGGCCGGCCCATTCGCCCCAGATACCTGTCATGTCTATGTACAGGGACCCGTGGCCAGCGCTGAAGAGCAACCGCACATCGAGTAGAAGTTCCGGGTTTGTCGTTGGCCCGATGGTTGAAGTGACTTGCAACTCACGGAAAGTGACTGAGGAGAAGTCGTCCAAAGTCTCTCGAACCCGGGCGTAGACGGTATCATTCAAGGGAATGCGTGGCGAGTACAGCGAGACGTCCGAATTTGATAAGAGGTTGGTACCGGTGCTATTCTCTAAAACAGCGTTGAGTGAGAGTAGAGAAGTGACATTGGTGAGGAGGTGCATGACCGGATGCCACGAGCAACGACAACAAAGATCAAGGAAGGAGATCCGCGATTCGTGTGCATGGGGAGAGGCGGGAATCAAGAAGATATAGTGCGGGATATACGTCGGTCGATTAGCTTCGAGATACTCAGCGCTTGCCAGGTCTGGAGGAGCTAGTTTAGCTAACTCAGCGGAATACGCGACATGCGAGCACCCTAGGAACCCTCGCAGGACAGCCCGATTTAAGTATGAGAAGGAAACACTCATGCTTTGCTGCGCGCGTAATCTTGTCTAGGTAACGGACGATGCAATGTTCAGCGTGGCAGCAACTTGGGCCTTCTCCCTGTTCGTGACCTTTCATTTCCTAATTCCTTCACGCCTGCTGCTGCAGCACACCATAGCTTATGTCGCCACAATCGCAGCATGCCCAGCTCCGGTTTGCTCCGTCGTGACCGACACGACCAGGGGTAGGGGACGAAGGCATCTCCTGTACCCTTCCACTTAGAAAAGTCCTGTCAATTGCGGAATCGTTGTCGGGTATGAGCTTATAGGGTTTGACTCGTTGCAAAATGGCCCGTTACTCATAGCGGTTTTGTCGGCTGTCGACTGATACTTTCGAGAATTGTATTTTGAGAATCCCATGCTTATTATTGACATCGATTATCACGCCCATCTCCCTTCACTAGGTGAAGGGAGTACATCGCGGGTTTCGAACTCGATGAGCGCGTGCAATTGGCGTGTGAAGAGAGAGAGAGAGCGTCGTTTTAGGATGTTTCAGGTTGGAGAGTTCTTTGCCAATCGATGATTTCGTGAGGAAATTGCTGCCGCGGTCTTGGCGCAGCGAACTTAGTCATGCCCTTGATTGGCTCGTAGGTTTTCTTCACTACGACTGTCGTTTTATGGAGTGTCAATACATTGTTAAAAACCAGAGCTCTTTGGAGGAATCAATGCACGATGCGACTGTTTCCTTGAACGTTAGCTTTGAAGTCCTACTGGCTGTCGGCCGCCCCTCGAATTCGAAGATGCGCACGTACGACTCACATCACCGAAGGCGTAAGGCGATTCTTTGCCTGGAATCCCTAAACTTCCCTATGCTTCAGGTAGAAGGCAGCTCCAAGCATCTATGGATGCCATTTGCATCAACGTACCACTGTATCCCCTGACCCATAAAAAGCATGTCTCAGGACCACTCAAGTATCATATACGACCATATTTAATACTCGGACAGTGCCTTCTACTTCTTTCAACTTCTTGCAGCTTCGACGACTTACGATTTGTGATTTACGACAACCAGAATCTGTTAAGGCTGGATCCTTTTTTTTAACCCTCCTCATCATCTCATTGTCGTGCCTGGTGCAGACTTACGATCTTTCATTGTCAGGAACAGTCGCCTCTCTAGACCATTGTTCACGTGGACCATTGTCATTGTTGTCTCGGGTACGACTCTGTTCCGATTGTGCCCCTCTATTCTCGTTGTTCAGCGGCGAGATCATCGTGCCAGATTATTGTATTCTTTTTGTTCCGTTGTTCACAACACAAACCTCATTGTGCAGAACATTCCCTGTTCTCTTTCCTCAGGCACCCTACGCCTACAAATACCCTCTGCCTTCCTCTCAATTCTATTCCTCATCTCGCATCAACTCCAACAACTCACACAACAACAGCCTCAAGACCCGCAAACTCAACGCAACTCAAATCAAACCTCAGCAAGAAGCACGCAAGTCATCTCAGACATGTACTCAATCAACAACATCCTCGCCATTTCGGGCCTTGCTCTTTTCACCACCACAGCCCAGGGGCACATGGTGATGGCCTCGCCTCCACCATACGGCAGTCCCGACAACAGCCCACTCAACGCCGATGGTTCAAACTTCCCATGCAAAGCCACGAGCAATTCTGGTGGCACCGTCACCAACATGGCTATCGGCGCCCCGCAGACGCTCTCCTTCCTGGGCGAATCTGTGCATGGCGGTGGATCTTGTCAAGTCTCTCTTACTACCGATACACCTGCAACGAAGAGCTCTAAATGGATGGTCATCCACTCGATCGAGGGAGGTTGCCCGGCTAAGAACGTGGCAGGCAACCTTGGAGCAGACAACTCCGCCTCCACTCCTGACCCGGATACCTACAGTTTTGCCATTCCGACAGGCATCGCTCCGGGAGCATACACCCTCGCGTGGACCTGGTTCAACAAGGTCGGCAACCGTGAGATGTACATGAACTGCGCATCGGTCAAAGTCACGGGCGGATCCAACAAGAGAGACACCCCTCTCAACGAGACCGACTTTGCCATCCCGGACCTTTCCGGCCGAGACACACCCTCCTTCCCCGCCATGTTCGTCGCCAACATCCCAACCTCCGACTGCCTGACCGCCGACTCCAAAGACGTCCAGTTCCCCAGCCCGGGAACATCCGTCGAGAAGGATGGCGTCGCTTCTGACCTCGCGCCTCCCACCGGGCCCAACTGTGGCGCGTCGGGCGGCTCGTCTTCGGGCGCTCAAGCAGCTTCCCCCGCTGATGGCTCATCGGCTGGTGCTTCGGCTGCCGCCCCCTCCGCTGCCTCCCCAGCGGCGGCCGCTCCCTCTGTTGCCCCGGCAGCAGCAGCCCCAGCCCCCTCTGCTGCCTCCCCTGCTGCCGCCTCACCCTCCACCGACTCTACCTCTGGTTCCTCAGGTAGCACCGGCTCCTCAGGCAGCACCTGCTCCTCCTCCGGCACCATGGTGTGCAGCGCCGATGGCAAGCAATTCGCCATCTGCGGTGCCAGCGGAACGGCCCCCAGCTTCCAACCCGTGGCTGATGGGACTTCGTGCACCAATGGAGCGATCGCGGCCGCCAAGTCGAAGCGCTCGTCTGTGAAGTTTGCGGCGGGATACAAGAACTAGAAGGGGATGGATGATTGGAGGAGAGAGTAGCAGTTGTGCGATTGATTTGATTCAATCCGGTTGTAGTCAGTAAGCGTGGCTTTATAGAGATGGTTCTGTACAGCATGCATGATTTTGTGTCTATTTAGCAAACGTAGGAGTGGGATGAAATCAAATGAAATACAGTCATTACCAAAACCACTTATTCATGAGCGATGCGATGTTTGCCAACAAACCAATTACTCTGACTTCCAAAACCACTTAAATGTGTATAACCAACCCAATTCCTCAGACTAAGATAATCCCCAAACCAAATTCCCATCTCGACGATACACACCGGAGCCCCACAACGGACATCCGCAATCTCGTCCAACTCTTCCCATACGTCGACATCATAGCCTCCCTCCCATTCTCGATCCGTTCTTCCACGCACCCAGAACTCCACCTCTCAATCAACTGGGCTCTTACCCGGTCGGCATTGCGAGTAACTGCGTGAGCGCACTGAGCGGGTAGTGTTTGAAAAGAAGAAACCCGCGATGATGTGATGTGATGAGAACAAGGTTGATGGCAGAGCAGAGTAGCAGCAGGGAAGGCTGGGCTTGGCTGGTTAAGATCCGGATATGGAGGTTTGTCAGTCGGTTCACCAGATAGGGAGGTTTGTTCGGTGAAGGGGAGGACGGGGTCCCCGACGCATCGGCCAGGCCGACGCGTCTTGCTTAGAGCCTGGAGACTGCTGCAGGAGGGTAAGGGTGAGATATGAGGCCGGGGCTAGATATTGGTCAGGCGGACGGAGGGGTGGAGGGAGCCGCTGGCGAAAAGTCGAAGGGTGGTTGGGAGGTCAGATGGCGCAGTTCTGTAGTGGGGTATGTCATTGTTTGTAACTCGATATACTGAGTCAGATGGCGCAGTTCTGTACTGGGGTATGTCATTGTTTGTACTCGACATATTGAGTCTGTTAGGGCGATCCGTTGGATCTAGATGCTAACAGACGTTTTTATCATCAATCTGTCTAGCTCACAACTCATCATGCTATCCATAACGCCAGTTCGCAGTATATCAACGCGGTGTATTAGTCTCTGAGGATCTATCCATCAACCTCTCGAGTGTACGCTCCTCGTCGTCTCAACGAGACCTCATGATTAGGAAACTCGAGATGTTCGGTGTCCACACCGGACCGCTCAGCATCATTGAGATGTTGCCGATTCCAGCGGTGGTCCCTCTCTGTCCTGAGAACATGTTCCACATCGAGACCGCAGCGCTCCAGAATCTTGCACCAATCATCCCATCGATCATGTTTCAGGACCAGCGAAGTCGGTGTGTTGCCACGATCATCACAAGCCCAGATATCCGCTCCAGCTTCAATGAGTAGATATGCCAGGTAGATCACGTGACAAGATGTCTCATCTGACCAAGGCTTTTGAAATAGGTAATGCAAAGGCTGTCTGCCGGAAGCGTCTCTTGCTCTGACATTAGCACCGAGACCACAGAGGTAGTATGTTCTTTGTGTTGCGTAGAAACCGTATCCGATTCCGGCAGATTTGAAGAAGGGTGTAACATTTAAGCAATGCCGCAACTGTTCTGCGAGCTCATCTGCTTTAACATCATCTATCTCTAGGACTTGACAACGGAGAAAGGTGATTAGTTCGTCAGAGTCTTCATAATTGAGATTCCTAATTTTCGTTAAGAGTCTGCGGTCCAATGGTGGGAGTCGTGTAGGCAACGGTGGCTCGGGAAACCAAAGGAGCCCACAAATATTGCCATCATTCAAGTCGCAACCAGCATTGTGTAGAAGCCGAGCAGCAGCACAATAGTCAACCTTGTTGGGCATCCCACACGCTCTCACTGGAAACATTGAGCCGGTATGGGCTATCAGATCCAAACAGTTTCTATTCAAGCTGTCAAAGTGATCAGTTTGGATACACAAAACCGGAGACCAATCTCACCGTCCAGAAGTGGCTAGCGCGAGAGGATCCGCGCCCTCTGTCAGAAGGAATTTACAAATCTCATAGTTGCCAGATCTTGCAGCATACTGCTCAGTGTGTTAGCGATTTAATTATAACAGAGCTAATCCGAGGGTCCCTACGTGTAAAGGAGTCCACCCATCTTCATCTCGATCTGTGGGAGATCCTACTCGATTAAAAAACAGCTGTCGAAGTCCCTCTAAATCACCTTTTGCACTGAATGAAAAGACATCAGAATTGTAAGGAATGACAGCAAATGACGAAAGTATAGGACATAGTTCAAGATATCCACGCTGATCTCTTTGGCTTCTGCAGGAGATCGAGATCCCTCTCAAGGACAGGAAACTTTGTGCTGGTATGAAAGTCATCAGGAATTTGTAACCAATCCTCGGCCCACTAATGGGGCTGATTTGATAGGCATTGCTGAATTTTTGGTACCTACTATCCATTTTGAAGGCCGATGCTGTGACGTGCAAGGATCCTACCCTCCATCTAAAGCACCAAGTGTGGGTCCAGAGCCTCGTAGCAGGGTCAATCAGAGCGCTAGAAGGACTGACTTCTCTATAGACTTCGGGGTATTGGCCGATGCTTAGGCTGGTAGCTGCTGGGCTCTGGACATTTTCTTGGGTTTCCCTTCCAAACCCATCCTTTTCTGGCCCGGAATCCTGGTAAGAAGTGTTTGCGTCTAATCGAGAGACGCTTTGCAAAGACTGCTGGAACCCATTTGCCATCGAATCGATGCTCTCACGTATGGCGACGAGTTGTGCCTCAGATGCAGAATTATAAGCGTTCAAGCGTTCCTCTACAATGGGGATGACAACGTGTTTCAGCTCCGTCCTAAATATCCTGGCCAGAACACCATTGGTGGACGGTCGAACAAGAATCTCTGATCGTATGGAGTCTCTCAGGAAGGGTGCTTGAGAGAGGCCTGACATCAAATTGTCCAATTTGGTTTCTAGAGTGTTGTGAAGGTCAAGGTTTGTCTCTCGAAGCGCTTCAATTGATGTACTCAATGAGGCGTGTCCCATCGAGGCACTTGCTTCGTTTTGTGCGATGACGTCTAAACGCCGGCTGATGGGCTTCAGTGCATTCAAGACCTGTTCCGTCGAAATGGCATGGCTTTGCTTCAAGTTTGTTTCAATCCTGAACATGTCATGGTGACGGGCGATCGAACTCCTCCTGACCGGTTTGTGCTCAGCAGATGTTACAATGCAACGGAAATATGGACGACAGGCATATACGTTTTTTTTATATGGGGATCAAACTTACTGTGCAACAGTCTGCAGGCTCAAAATGAGTGCAACTTGCTGTGTTTCTAGCCGCTGTACTATCTCCAGGGTTTTCTTCTCATCAATAGCCCATCTTGCCCTTCTGCGAACGTTTTTGGCTTCGCCACTCGACGTCAAGATTCCATCCAGGAGACCTAGGGTCTCTCCAATGCTGATGATATCTGCATTCAAGGAATCAGGTAAAACTTGGCGATGTTGCCGAAACGGGACTGAAGATTCATATTCTGTCACAAATGTTTTTAGATTGCGAAGGATCGATTCGATACCCTCGACCGTTTGCCGCAAATCTTTGACCGCACCGGGAGCATTCCTCCATGAGATGACAAGGCCGTAGATGCCTTCGCAGGCTCGGATCGTTACGTCTACCAGAGAGACGACGCTAGCAGCAGTCGATAGAGCAGTCAATGGGTCGGGCATGACGGAGAGGAATTAGCGACATCACCGTAGAAAAGTTCTGGGCCTACCGAGCTATATAAAATTGACGGGGCCGTGGAGTGGCAGTGTGATATTCCCAGGAGGTTGGCAGCCTTGCTGGTAGGTATTGCACAGCATTTTGCTGGGCGGTGTAGCTGCATTGTCGATCTTTTTCGAGACCCAATAGGGGTAGCCCCTCCAAGGTCCATTAGATAAGGATGAGGCAACATGCATATATCCGCAGTGGAGACTGGATTCTATTCACGAGTAGCGCACTATGTAGGTAGCAAGATGACTCTGAAGCGAATTCAGTTGTTTTTTACGGGCTCTTTCTGTTCCGGAAGGCTGACGCTCAGCCTAATTCGGGGACGCGGGGTCGATGTACTCCTCGTACATACGTCTTCTCCACTATTATACAACGAGGTTCTAGGACGGAATATACCTTTTTAAAATGCAACACTTTCGTGAGTAAGCATCACTGCCCTTGCCCGACGCGAATCCCCCTTCGCTCGCACAATATTCAAGCTGCCCGCGGCTCAGTGCTAACGGCGATACTGGAATAGGATGGTAACCGGCTCAGTCGCTTGGTGTGTTTGCCAAAATGAGCGCTCAATTGCACAACCTGGCCAAAGGGCGGAGCACCTGAATCTGCTCAACAGAACCATGTCCGGCCATTATATATTCTAGATCGATCTCCCAGATACTCGGGCACCTCGTGCTTTGATTCAGATATTCATTTACCTTGGGTCCCATTGTTTATCTTAGGCTACAGGCCTCTGCCTCCGCCCTGTGCCGTTTGAGTACCCTCAGGCCTCACTTTCAGGACTACCCACCCTCAGCTCAACTCAAAGCGATATTGCTGGCCATCATATTCAGGGATCTGATACATGTTTCTTCGCCCAGAAACGGCAGTATCGAATCAGCCCATTTTTGTCTCCGCAAGCGCTCACGGGTACAGCAGCTTGACGAACTGAGAGGAGGCACACTAGTGTAAGGTAGAACAATTCAATATCTTGCCCAGTACCGGGCTCTTTGCCATTCACTAAATTTGAGATATATCGCGCCAATCTTTAGCTGTGAATATGGAGTCGTGAAGATTTTGCACATAATCATTGGTGGAAATACCTTTTTATCCAGGAATAGTAATAGACTCTTTCTAAGTCGAACACGCCTCGAAGGTGCCAAGACAAGAAAGCAAAACGCAGCAAAGTACAGCCAAAGACCAGAACCAAACCCAAGGACCCACAGAGCTAGGACCACCCGTGATCCTGCACATTCCTCATACACTAAGCACCCACCGGCCCCTCGCTCGCAGCCATGTTACACTGCCTGAAGAGTCTAACCTCGTCCTCCCGGAAAGCTCCAACAACAGAATGCAACACCCCCTGGTTGTTGAACAGCACCATATCGCCCTCCTCCCAGTCATGCGCATACACCAAGTTCGGGCTGATTCCCGGCCTCTGCAGCTTATGAACAATCTCTCGCACCCTCTTCAGATCTTCGATGACCTCGCCGGTGGCCAGGTGTATCTTGCGCACAGCGGAAGGGTGCATTTGAAGGGCAAATTGGCCAGTGACCGGATTCTTCCAGACCATGGGTAGAATTTGCACTTTTGAAGGATCGATAAGCGGAAGTTCTGAGGAGGGAAGCTCGAGGTTATCGGAGACTAGGCCGAGCCCGTCAGAGCGCGATTTGGCTGCACTCATCCAGATGTACGGATGCGCGGCGTACTCGATGCGGCTGGTTCGCACGAACTCTTTGTCCGCGTCGGACAGGATGTCGTACATCTTGTATCCGCTCACGAATGCCGTGGTACCTAGCGGAACATCCAACTCATCGCCCGTCCCGTCATCATAGCGCAACGTCTGCCGTCTCCCTTTTGGCACCGATACCGCCAGCAGCGATGTCACCTTTGGCGGATTGAGATCATAAAGCGCAGCATCGATGTGCCAGCGGTAGAAGCGCGTGTGCGTAAGATCATCCTCTTCGGGGATAGGGTGCTTATGAAACTTCTTGTGGTGAGGGTGAACGAGCTTGATGTTGGACAGACCTTCATACTCGGGCACGAGGCCGTTGCCAATGATTTGCACCTCGGGTTGGTGTGGTACAGTTTTAAGATCCGGGTGCAGGATGCTGCGTTTGGCGTCGAGGGTCTTGCCGTGACCGTATCCGATGGCGGAGGAGTCGAAGCGGTGGGTTAGTTCGTATTGGGCTTTGGGTGAGCTAGAAGCTTGGTTCTTGAGGACGACTACGTGGGTTTTATAGAGTGTGTCGCGGATGATGGAGAAGTCGTTGTCTGCGATGCATCTGTCAGTACTGTTGAAGCTAATGTCGAGGTCCAGGATACTTACTTAGGAGGTTACCGTTCCACGGAGTGCTCCCTATTGTACGCGCATACTCTGCTACTACATAGACCCTGTGGTGTTTCACCTACCTGTCAAGTTTTCGAGATCAACATTTTCAATGACTGCGCCAAAATCTACATCAGACGAAGGGACCGAAATGGGGTGGATAGAAATTTGTTGAGGGCTGAGAGTCATGGTTGATGAGAGCATCTTGATTTGAGTGAGTTGCAAGTGTGGCAGTTTGTTCTCGGTAGTGATTGTCAGATTGATATGAAATTTGATGATTGTGGGAAAGATCGTGGTATAAATATTTGGATGGGAGAGAGTAAATCTCGGAGTGCGCCGGAGGCCACTTGTAGCCCGGAAGTCGCCTATTCTCGGTACGAGTAATACGGAGAGCGGCGCCGAAAGTCCCGGGGCTGTCGTACCTTAAGTAGGCTACAAGTAAGTACAAACACTGCATGCGCAACGTTACATCCTCAAGATTACCAAAGCTGAATAAGAGAAAGGATAATGATGACTGGGCGACATTTGAAGTATTGAATGTTTCATCGATTACCCAATCTGTGGTAAAACAAGATACAACACCTGAACGCCGTTTCTCCATCTCTTATCCCGCAGAGATTCGTGAAGACTCCGGAATCAGTTGTCTCCATGAACCGATCGAGAATTCCATCCATTCCAGATCGAGGATACGAAACCCGCAAGACACGGTCCTTCCGTATCCCCCACCCGAACCCTCGCAGACATTTTGAGTTCGTGAATTTATACTCGTGGCTGGTGCTGTCGATGAGGCAGTAGCTGCAAGCAGGTCCGGACGTCTCGAGGTCTTTGGAAGTGGAGTTGCTTGGATCTCGAAAAAGGTAGCGGTGGAGAATAGATGTGCTTCAAGTTCGAAGCTGGTATCGAGCGACTCTACGCGGTGATGACTTAGCGTCCTGAGTGTGATCAACCATGCAGGATATCGTCACCTGTCTGGATGTCTGACTCGGCGGTCCACTCGCCACTGTGCTGTTCATACACTCTGCGCCAGGCTCTAGGACCTTGCCATACGGTGAAGGCACTTATGAGTGTAGCAAAAATGCGAAAAGAGGTGGTGGCGATGGTCTGAATGGCTGCTAATGCTATTATCGCCCGCATTTTTGATCAGCAGCGTTGATCGATTTGAACGGGAGCTTTCTGAGAGCGATGGTCAACTGAGCATCAGTAGGGGTCTCTTTGGAGACCTGAACGAAATCTTATATTTTTAGCAAGTACAAACTCATGGCCGTACGGTGATATCATCGATTCCCACTTTTGAAGTCACATTTCGAGAGATAGGTTTACACGAAAAACAAGATATATCATAGTGAGTGTCGGAATACGCATCCTTCTGCTTATGCTGAGAAATCGCTGCAAGATCATTGCGTTGTGTCGGTCAACAGCTGATAGCCTCTATGCCTCCTTACTAGGCTTCCTCGCCATTCCTCTATTCCCCACGAAACCAGACTCTGTGAGTAAACCGAGTCTAACGTCTTATCAAAGTAAGTATACACCGCTTTTCAGCCTGGGAGCCCGAAGATTGCGGAGTCCAGTCTGTACAGGCAGGAAAGGCTAAGCTGGCGACACTGTAATGGTGGTTGGTACTATCGATGGAGCTGAAGTTATAGGGGGGCCAAAGGCTGCAGTCTCTAGAGACAGATCCAATTCCGAGACCGCCGCAGCTATCGTACTGGCCACGGCTGGTGAATTGGTCGCTGATAGCTCGAAAACACTATGAACGGCGAGATCGGCTTCGATTTCTGGGGACCCGATTAGTAAGGGCCCGTCTCGACTAATCAGAAAAGAGATGGTCACGTGATTCGAGATCGCGTTCAATAGTTGCGTGGTCCCTCTGCTGGCGCAATTTTCTCCACGCCCTACGACCCTGCCATACGGTGATAATGCTTATCAATGTAGCGACGACCCCAAAAATGATGGTACTGATTGTCTGAGATGCATTTGATGCCATTGGTGGAGCTATGTTTGTCAGCATTTCTTGCGGCTTTGGGGAATAATATGCTGAAAAAGCTCCTTAACCCGAACGTCGCGTGCTGTTTTATCAAAGAATACTTTAGTCGAACGGCTCCGCAGTAAGCACAAGTAAACAATGCGCGAACCACCAGCAGTAGGCAACAAGGGCAAAAAAGGCAAGAAAGGCAAAGAAGGCAAACCACCCTTACCCTTTTTAAGCCCGGTGGGGTTGGGCAGTGCACCTTTGATTGGTAGAAGACGTCATGCTATGCTGCAGAAAGAAACGACACACCTCCAAGACACAGCGATGGCAATCGTGCAAGGTGGTAGATGCAATCCTTTCCGGCCTCACACATCTCCACTGGACGGCAGACTGACCCCTGCATCTGCTGCAAGGCCTGCACCGTATACGGTAAGGACTCCTTTGGCATCAAGAGGGCTCTCAGTCACACGGCTCGAGCCCTTGTAGCTCCCTCGCCCCGTTGTCCATAAGACATCTTACCAACCCGGTCCGTCCAGTGGAGCTCACGCAGCCTCCAGCAAATTAATGCCGAGATCTTGAAGTGTACAGAGAGCCCGACTGTCCAGATCTGCATCCGTGGACGGAATTGGGGACGGTTCATGCTTAGCCAAATTCCTTCCCACGGGCGTGAGCTTGTCCCGCTTCTAGGACCGAAATAGCATGCTTCATCCAACTTCTACTCATGGACAGATCTCCCGGGAGTTTTGTCTATTTCCGCTTTTTACATTTACTGTTGTAGGCATATGAGGCTAAGATTGCTGTATGAGACTGTACAACAAACCTTTCTGTCTGACTTGCTAGAAGATCTAGAAGGTTCAGAAAGGTGCTCTACTTCAGGTGCAGCTTCCGCACGTAGAGTAGGGCTAGCACTGAAGGCTTTTCGGCGCCTTCCTCAACACAACCTGGATAGGTTGATCCTTTAAGATTCTCTTCACTTATCAAAACGCCTTAGGCAAGGCTGCCTATAACAATCACAGCCACAAAGTCAAAGGATGGAACGTGGTGGGCCATAACCTGCGAACCTGGAGTACGAAATTGATACCTTTTATATCGTATGCATGACAAGAGAGGCATGGTCATTAAATTTCACCTCGTTCAGGACGGACATGCTTCCTAGATATTTACAAATATCGTCTTTCATGGAGCCCGCCAACCCTCTAACTGTCCCAAATACAACCTATCCAAAAGAGAAGCAAAATCCGAGCGACCTCGTCTCAAGATGAGCTGAGAAGATTAGACGCGAATGTCCTCGAAAAACTCCGGCACCGCCGCCATTAGATCTCGCAGACACGGATGGTTCTCAAAATCTCTCCGTTTACAAATCGCAACTCGAACCGCTCGATCGCGTAGACGGCGGTCTCCGTCCGGTGTTGAATCGTAGATATGGGGGATCGCTTCGATGATCTCGTCGACGAGGCTGACGCCAGCGTAGGGATTCATCATCTCGTGTGCATGTATCTCCCGTATCGCAGCATCGAATTTCTCGGCCGCTTTCTGCTTCAAGCTGGGTATGTCATACTTGTCGGCTGTGCTGTACATTTGAGCATTCAAGTACAACCGGTTGACGTAGGTCGGGGCCACGATGTGCGGAGGTGGGTCTTTCTCATCGTCGTAAGATTCGTCATTGTATCCGGTTGTGTAGCGGTAACACAAGAGGCGACGTATCAAGAACTCTTCTTCTGCGGGGAGCTCAAGTTTTTGCGTTTGCTCTTCCTGGAAAGACGTCAGCAAATCGACTCATCTCAACACAGCATGGTTGGGAACATACCAAGAAGCCGCCCTTGCACACTACTTTGAAATAAGACGAGTCTTGGCAGAGCACATGGCTGTGCGCTTCGACTTTGAGGGAACCGCAGATGATGGTCAAGTCAGTGGGGTACTGTTCAGGATCATCGGGATCGATGGGTTTGACCAGACTACAGACCACATGGTTAGTCTGAGACTTATCCACTACGCACGACGATGGAGGTCTTACCGCGCCATAGCTTTCGAAACGAACTCTGAAGAGTATCCCTGTGAAGGTATGTCTTTTCCGGGAGGATCGAACTTGAGATACGAGAAAGACATGAGAGCTTGTTAAGGAAGTCTGTTCAGGGAAGTCGTGCTAATGTTTGAAGTTGAATTCAAAGTCCAAGGCAGAGTAGGCTCATTAAGAAAGGCAAGCGGCTCTCAATTACGGGCCGATCCTTCATGCTCAACACGTATGGGGCTCATTGTATGACGCTCTGCCCGTGAGAAGGCGGTGTGTTGAGATCGCAGAGCCAGAGTGTGTTGTTAGCAGTATGTGCACATCGCACAGAACCCAAGGAGAATGCATTCACAGCTAGTAGTATTGACAGTGCATCTCTAAAGTCATTGTACTCCTTTCAAAATGGCGTTGTTGTTGGAGACGTTGATGTGGTGGAAAATCTATCTACTTACGCGGTGTTGCTTGTCAAAGCAACATTCACAAGAAAAGCTTAAAGCGATGCATCTTCCCATCCCATCTCTTTCCCTAAGTCGTAAATTCAACCTTGAGGATGAATCCAGGTACCTCCACGTATATAATCCTCCTATTCAGGCATCTCCTACCAATAAAAAGCGAAGCCATGAACAACGCCACACGTCTCTACTCCCCACTCGAAGTCATTAATACGCAGTATCAATTCCACCTCCGAGAATAGTTGGACACACGGTAACAAACGATCTGAAGCCTCAGACCGCGTTCTTATACTCGAGCGACCAGTAAAGCACTCGGATGCTATGCCTAGGAGAGGCATCCAGAAGTCCGGTTGGCCGAGCACTCTGAGCCGGCGCTAGGCGATCCTCTATGGAGAAGTATACGCAATCCCCGGCGTGTGGGTTGCATCCGCGAGGTCCAGGTTCTGAGACGCTGGTTTCGGAGCTGAGGGAGGTAGAACCTGCACGCTGACAATCGCTTTCCTCGCCGAGGTCCGCGATATCCCCAAGAAGTCACCCTACTCGCATGGAGCGGATATCCACAAGGCACTGATCGCGTGTCTCTGTGTCTATGTGGCGGCGGCGAACTTTTTTGAAACAGTGTCACGCCAGGAGGTCGAAGCTCGGATGGTCTAATGAACAGCTCTTGAATTATTATCGTACAGCCTTCGCAATGCCAATATAGTATAAGATGTAGCTTTTTGTGAGAGTGGAGAAGCAATGCCACGCAATATCGTATCGCCTGTACCGCCCATGCAAAATAAAATACAACAGCTGAGCCGGTAGGAGACCATTGATGCCCTGCAATAAGCTACGTCATTGCTTATCTCAGTCTTCCCCCGGCATTAAATTACCACCTCTTAGGCCTTGTCACCTGCATTTTTCGCCGCCTGGCTCTGGGCCTGACTTGCGATCCCCCCCCTTCTCGGTAGCCCCAAATGCCTTCGTCTCCCTCGAATGCAACAGATCACCATCCTCCTTTGTCACAGTCTCAGGCTCCGTCGCCAACTTCGTGCCGACTTTATCCGCTGCCTCCCCATAGTTGGCCTCACGATCCAACTGGCTCTGCTGGGCAGGCTCGAGGTTGGCGTTCGTACCACTGCTCTGAGTGGGGTTGGTTTGTATGGTAGCACCCTGCTCGTTGGCGGCAGCGACGGATTGGGCTTGGGAGGCAAGGTCACCCTTGGTGGGACCGCCCATGACACGGGCCTCGCGGCTGTGGAGGAGGGAGGCATCTCCGGAGGTCACTGCCTCGGGAGCGGTGTCAAGCTTGTCCCCGACTTTGGCGGCAGCATCTTCGAGGTTGCGTTGCTTGGTGGTTTGGGATTGCATTTGAGCAGCGGTGGAGCCTAGTTGATGTTACACTGATGGTACTCACGATGAGGAGGATGGCGAGGGAATTGTACCTTTGTAAGTTCCTCCTTCCTGCTGGGAGACTTCAGAGATCACCTGACCCGCGTCTGAAGTTCTATTGGTAGCCATTTTGCTGGAGGATGTATTGAGTGTTCTTCGTGAGGTGCTGCTAGCGTTGGTGAGGATGGCTGTTCGCGTCGTTATTGGAGGGATGGTGTGGACTCTGGAGAGAATGGACAATCGAGAGAAAGTGCGGAGTGACATGATGACGATTAGCAATGGAATTTCAATCCGATTCTGCGATTGATTTTTTAGGAAGCGACGATGCAAATGCTGTAAAAAAATAACATGACTTTATTGACATCATCATCCAGATATTTTACCGTTGCTGTACTCGTAGGGCTGACGGAACCCAGCCCCGAGAAATTGCATCGACACCACGTATACTGTTAGTAACGACGCTGACTATCAGTGGCCATCAAGCTAAAGTACTTTAGCATCGAGAATCATAGATTCAACTTGCTGAACCCGTTGGATCTGTCCGGCGTTTAAAAATAGGCGAGAAGCGCCATCTTGTCCCGGTCAAAAGGGACCAACACACTGGATCACTTCTACTTAGCCAGTCGTCGGTGTCTACCCCTAGCTAGCCCGTGGGGACCGCGCGTGCATCGGCAACAGCATCGATCTGATGGAACTAAAAGGTTGGTCGTGGAATTTGTATTGAGATTTGACATCAGCCTCGTTGACCCGAAATCATGACTTGACGGTACACGACAACGGGTTCAGGCCACAAAGCTTTCAGGTGAGGATGAAAGAGGGGAGTTGTGGAGTCAGTGATGATGGAGGGCAGGTTACTGGTCCATTTCACAAAGTGTGGATTGGGTTCACTGAGGATACTGCTATAAGAATGCAATTTTGTCCAAAGGATGCAATTCCTCACAATTCGATGTCTATCCCTCGTCTGGACGCGCGAAACCTGCACGATTTCATCATTGCCTACATCTCCGCTTCAGCCCCACCTCCGCGTTGACGTGAATTTGCACCTTCGATTAACGAAGTACAGATTTGCACTGCCGACTGGTTTCGGTCACAGCCACACGAAGAAATCTAAGATGCCAAAATGTCCTCATTGAACATTGAAAACAAGAAAGCTCATAAAAATTCATACCAAATACCTCCCAAGTATAGCCTCTTCTATCCTTCCATCCCCACATAACAGCTAATAGAAGTCAGCGCAAGCGAACATCAGCGACTCAATCGACAGCATGAACTCATACAAGAGATGATGTTCGGCGAAGTCTTCCATTCCCCTGTACAACACCCAATCCGAATTCTCGATGTGGGCTGCGGCACCGGCGCCGTCACCTACCATCTTGGCACCAGATTCCCCTCCGCCCAAATCTACGGCGTGGACCTTGCCACTATTCCTCTTGACCCGAAAAAACCAGATAATGTAACTTTCGTGCAAGGAGATTACCATGACCTCCTCGGCTCCGAAGAACCGCACATCATTCCAGGCAGCATGGACTTTGTCTTCAGCCGTCTGCTAATCTCCGGCATGACAAGCTGGCCCTCATACATCCTTACCTGTCACACCCTCCTCAAACCCAATGGCTGGCTCGAGATCCAAGAAACAGAATTCCCTTACTACGACGACTCTGGCATCATAAGCAGCGATTGGAAATGGTGCCATGCTTACCAGGCCGGCGCGAGAGCTAAAGGCCTCGATCTATCCTGCGCTATCAAAGCGGCGGCCTGGATGCGCGAGTCGGGGTTCGATGATGTGCATGTCATCATGTATTGCTGGCCGCACGGGGAGCGGATGGCTGACAGGGGCCATGAGGAGTATCGGAATCTTGGGGTTTTTTTGAGAACGGAGCAGCCGAAGCTGTATCAGGCTATTTTGCCGAATATGGTGAGTGGAATGGGTTATAGTGAGGAGGAGATAAGGGAGTTGCAGAGGGATGTGCTGGAAACGTTGAAGGTGGAGGAGGGGAAGCATAAGAACTACTGGGTTACGTTTGGGAGGAAGCCGAATTGAGTGCGGTTATTGGAGCAACATTCGAATCCACCTGCTTATCCTGCGATCTGAGGACCTCACATACAGACTTCGAGGCTCGTCTTGGGGGTTTGTGCAAGAGTTCTGGTACCTTTGCGACAATATCGCTAAAGCGCCGTCGACAGCTCTGCGAAGGGAATTTGTGCTACTCAAGCCCCAATAGAGCAAATGACTTTCAGACCGCAAGGTCTATTGATCGAAGTCAAATAGACGGGGAACATCCTTCCCTATTACATGCAACGCTTTATGTGGCACGCTTCGACGACAAGGTAACGGCAAATGAACGCTCATGTTCGAACAGCCGACGCTGACCTAGTGCTCTCCAATTCAATTCACCCGGAATGACAGCTGACAGCAGACATACTTCACCCGAACATCCCCTTCAATGGTTTCATAGCTTTGGCTAGACCTTCGGACGCAACGCCTACTCGCACATGCCAGAAACAGATCGCCACTCGTCTCCAAACACAGGGTTTCCCTTTTGTCGAATGTTTATGCTCAGTCTGCCCTCGCACGAGAACCAGGGCAAGATCCATACTTTCAATATATTGACTCCGCCCAAGGTAGAATACCCTAATTTCCTCGTCGCCATACCTGTCTATCAAGGCTTTTCCAAGGGCCTGCTGCTTATCAGCAGCTTGAGTCATCTCAGGGATCCTGCACTCCACTATGGGGTCTCCTATATCATCAATGACAGCTGTGTCTGGAGGCCATTCGAACGACATGGCTGCAAAATCATACTTCTCGTTATAGTCAACTATCATGCCTTGCTTCCACCGCATGAGGTCCCACCGATTTGGAAAAAAAGTACTTCGTTCCTCCAAATCAACGGGAGCTTCGGTTGCTTTTTCCATGGCTGAGATCTTTTCTTGGCACCTTGACTGCCAGAGGTCCAAGAGCTCGCGCAAGGTACAAGCCATACCATCAAAGTACGCTTCATTTTTCTGGCGAATAGTGATTGTGCATGCAGCAGACTGGAATTGTTCGCGCAAAATCATCCTGTGAAACCGCTCGGGTACACGAATGGAGTTGGTGATGCACCAAGTCTGTCCTGGCTCGGGAACCGTTAGATGCTGGAACGCTTGACCTAGCACGACAGAAGTGCCATTCAACGCCCTCAGGAACTGCAATTCGAGCTCTGCAAGGCTGAAGTTCTTCATCTTCGATTTCGGGAGCGCCGAATTCCCAAGTTTGAAGCCATAAATTTGCATGATGGCGTAGATGCGATCCTCGGGGCGCGTGGTCTGTCTGAACCTCGCTGCGGAATATTGGATGTTCGGGTTCGGGCCAAGTCCGAAATCTATGCCAGATTCGTCTATTGTGCGATGAAGCCTTTGCAATATTCCTATCTGTGGAGGTACTTGGTCGCCCCCTTCCGCTCGTGCCGCCAACATCGCCTGGCCTAGTATTTGTCTAGCCATAACGCAAGCGCCGGATAAGTCAAGCAGTTGCGTATTGGGATTGGTGCCTGTCCATGGACCGCTTGTTGTAATGGGATGCCCTGATCTGTTCAGCAAGATGGCATGCCTCTGCAGAATTGACTCTTGCAACGTCCACAACGAAGAAAACCACGGATCCTGGAGGATGCGAGAGAGGCTATCGACGATCTCCGCGATTTCTACTGATGCATCACCTTTTGCCTCCACGAGTTCGTGGGAACAGCTCAGCAGCGTCTGTATATGATGTTGAATTGTCTTCGGTTCGTACTTATTCAACCAAACATAAGCCTGTCGCGCAGTTTTAAAGATGGTGGCCTGCCTTCCGATCTCTCCCATCTTTACTTCTTCACGTCTTTGATCGATGCAAGCGATATCGATCCAGACATACTCGTGCTTGGAGCAGATCTGTTTGAGGAGAGACGACAGGTCTTCGACTGTAAAATGATCTTCCTTGATGGATGGAATCTTCCAATCGATCCCTTTGATCTCAATGTGCGGGCCTTCAGGTACCTCATATCGGCCCCACGTATACGAGAGAATGCTGTATATTGGCTCTCTGTCCTCTCCGTAGAGGTTGCCTGGGCGCCGTTCCCGGGATGTCATCGAGGGGATGTGAAGGAGACGGCGGGGCCACTCACGTGGTACGGGGTTGAACAGGCTATATGACATCGTATGAAGGTGGCTCAATGTAGACCCAGAGCGCAACGAGAAAATATCCGCAAGGACTATCAGCCCTCCCGCTTGGGAATTCCCTCTTTCCTTTACCACTCTGAAAGTCCTTCTGAGGAATTCCTCGCCTGCAAGCTGTCCTAAGATTTGCGAATCGGAATATCGAGTCGGCTCAGGCTCAATAGCTAGCCAATGAGGTTTGGTTTTAGACGAGTGTTTTCACCGACTTTGGTTGCCTTGCCATCGTTTCTAATTCTAGCAGTACGTTTTCTCTCGATGGCCCATAAGTCTTCTCATGCACGGCGTCTGACGTCAGCAGACGCCTTTTCCTTGGCCGAACATTTATACCAGTCGCCAGCAGCCAGCCTCACGGACCTGCATATGCACGTTCCAGGATATTCCGGCAACTCTGGCTTAGGTCAGTCCGAGTGGGAGGGACCTAAGTTGCAGCGAGACTGAAGATACTTGTGAGAATGCTGATTCGTTCGATTACGTACAAACGATTAGTGGTCGCACGTATCAGCAAGTGGGATTTTCTTAGGCCCATATAAGGATCATTTAAGATCGACCAATCAATTCCGAGGACACGCTTCCTCTGAATGCTCTACCAGTTCTGCTTCCATGGGGTCCCTCAAAGTTCGATGCTTGGATAGTAAAGCATTATACTGTAGGCTGGACAAGCTGGGCGCTCAACCTTTGCTGTTTGAACACTTTGAGACCTCCCAGCGAGCTGGGTGAGGCTACATTTGTAGAAGGCAAGCTCGGCATGGCTGTAGGCCCATGACTTCCTCGTAGAGGAGCACTGTCAACCTCCATCTTGTTGTCGAAAGACAACAGATCTTTCTTGGGGCCGAGTATGAGCATCAGGGCAGGTGTTAGTGAGGCCTCAGCTATTGTGGGGCTCATTGCGACAGCTGTCCAGTTATCGAAAGCAATTGTTGGTGTTGCAGGCAAGTCCAAGGATGCCAGAAACAGATCGAGTCGTTCGGACGCGAAATCGCTATCTCAGGCAGCATCCTGGACCAAATATACCGCCTCCTAGGTAGAGATCATGTCGAGTGGAACATCGAGGTCTAGTCGTGGTAATTATCATCGAATAATGCAGCGAAATTTTCTCCGAATTAGTCGTCTACAAAAATACGCTCCACAGTAGGTAAAGCGCGGTGCGAAGTCTTACATTACGCGGAGAAACGAAATGCGTCTTCGAGACGACCGAACCAGAACGTTCACGTGCGAGGTTGGAGAGCATGAAGACCAAAATGTTGCTCATGATGACTATGCAATGTGCGTAGCTCAACCGGGTAACCCTTTCAGTCAAGTCCTGTTAGTTGGAGACATTGGAGGAGATGACCATCCCAGCGAGTACTCATGGTAACCAGTCCATTGATCAGATTCCCATCATATCGACGGACATGGCGATCAATGTCTACACACCTGGCTGTCATTTGCTACGTCACGACGACGTCATTGGGAGTCGAAGACTTAGCTATATACTCTACCTGACGGATCATACAGCGGTGTCCTCGCGGTCAATGAGAGAGTCCATCATGAGCATGTATGGTTATCCATCGTACTACCAAATCACATGGGATCCGTGCGAAGGAGAGTGATACGGCTGCAGAGATGCTGGTTGACCACTCCAGGATATCATAATCATTGAAAATCATCTCCAGCTGGAGAACACAAAGCAATCTTTCGGGTTTCTTCGTCTTGGGAAAAAGGATGGCGACGCTTGGGCGCTACGCGTAGGAGTGGTAGCAGGAGTGTCATGCTTGCTTGGTACTTACATAAGTACTTACCATTGAACTAAGTCTTGACAAGCGGCTTCAGAAGTAGCTACAACTCCTCAGTAGATCCCCAACGAGCTTAGGGTCAACTGTCAAACAGCATGAAGCCCTTGGAGTTTCAGATGTGAGCGGAAAATGGTGGCTGGCGAGGGACAAGGCGGGTGAGAGAGGAATGGTACCGAGTAATCACATGATTCTTTTGTCTGTAAGGCAGCACATGAATCGAGCAGTATGCTCTGACACGAATAGCAACAACATCGCTGGTAAGGAGAAGTGGAAGCTTTACATTGTTCGTCAATCCGAATTGTCTTTGTACATCAGAAATCAGTACTCGTAGACCAAGCCAATGGGAAAGGATTATGGGAGGCTGCAAGAGGCTGTTACCAAAACCTACCACAGACTCGGCATCGAATGCAAAATCGTCATAGAGAGTTTTGAGCTGCCATGCATGACGACGAGAACTCGGTTGCATTAAACAGGTAGCATCAGTCGAAAGCAGCCAGTATTCAATCAAGTAGTACTAGTACTTGTCGGTCGAGGGGAAAGATTTCCATGCCGCGTGGCGAGACGGGCGCCCCAAGGGTGACTTTCCGGGCGCTTAGACTGGGGGAAAGCCGCCGGAAGGAACCCTCTTGCCCCTGGAGAACCAAACCCCACTGAGCAACGGTTTCATCCCAGTCCATCCTCCATTTTCATCGACTTCTACCAGATCTATCGAAACAAATTCATCACTACGAGAGCATCCAATCAGCTCTTGGGCATCACTCAGGCAGTACCGCCCAGTGCAAGAAAATCTAGATGACTGGGCGAAAGCGTCTGCACATTTCTCCCTTGAACGCGCAACTCCTCCCAACAGTGCTCCCACCATCTCTCCTCCTGCAAGCCTCCAATATCTCCTACCATACCATTCAGACATTTCCGGAAAAGGATTACGGCTACGTCGATCTTCCAGAACTAGAAGCTGACAAGCTCAAGAAGAAGCTGAACGGTTCTGTGCTGAAGGGGTCAAAAATGCGCGTTGAATTAGCACGACACGAGAAGGATACGACCGAGGGTAGAAATGGACTTCCTGTAAATTCAGAGCTCACTCTCAGCAACGCATCTCGGAGGGGGAAGACCAAGACGAGGGAGGAGGGTGTCATACCGGGCTACGAGCTGCCTACGGAGCGCAAGGTCAAGCGAGGTTGGACAGAGCCGACCTCAAGTGACGCCAAACCTACGAAGCTGCGTAAAGACAGGGTGGTTAAGAAATCGAGACCGAAAACAACATCTTTGACTGGACAAGCCGAATGTTTGTTTAAGACTACCCTACCACCAAATGCATCGGGCGCCGACGCTGCAAAGGAGGGCAAGGCGAAGAAGAGAAAGAGAGGTGATTCGAATCGGGATGTCGTGGTACATGAATACTCCAATACTACAAAGCATGCGAGCTTCTTGAGGGATGAACTGGGTGCGGAGGGCAAGAAGATTGCATCCGAATACATCGAGGGTAAAGGGTGGGTTGATGAGGATGGCAGTACGGTTGAAGCGGAGCCAGAGAAGCGACGAAGCAAAGTCAAGATTGAGGAAGCTAACGAAGAGTTGACGGTATCGAAGCCCAGACGATCCAGAAGGTCGAGCAAGCTGGAAGTGCCTTTGGTGGAGGTTACAGCTCCTAAAATCCAGGGAGTAAAGGGTGAACCTGTCGATGACGAGACTTCCTCTAGCGGCACATCATCCGACTCGGAGAGTGATAGCGAAGTTGAGAGGTCTGAAAACCCGCCTCCAGCTCGTAAGTCAACCAGAGCGTCCGCTCGCAAACCAAAGGCCAAGAGCAAGGGGCTTGGAATCAGCGAAGCTGGAGATGGCGAGGTCGAGGTGGACCGGGTAGAGAGGCTTTCGATTACGAGATCATCTGCAACACCTCCACCAGTCCAGGAACCACAGTCAATATCAGCTCCAGCCACCGACGAAGTACACCCCCTAGAGGCTCTCTTCAAGCGACCAAACAACGCGGCATCCCATACTCCCAAGAAACCAAATCTTGAAGTCTCCACATCATTTAACTTCTTCGACCCAGACGTGGACGAAGGAGAGAGCCAAACCCTTCTCATACCCCAAACACCCTTCACGCAGCAAGATATACGACAGCGGAGGCAACGGAGTGCGGCGCCCACTCCCGATACAGCTGCCCCAGGGAAGACCTTTGGTGATATTTGGGTTGGTACATCGGATGTTAGTGAGGTGGATGGGGACGATGAAGAAGAGGATACAGCTGCAGGCAAGACGGAGGGGGTGTCGACGGGCTCAAAGGATGAGAAGCCAGAAACTGAGTTCTCAAAGTGGTTCTGGGAACATCGCGGCGAGACAAATCGGGCTTGGAAAAGGAGGCGCAGAGAGGCTGCGAAGGAGAAAAGGCAGAAGGACAACAAGGAGCGCAGAGGGTGACAGCTCGAAATTTGAATACGAAGGTGGCATATTTGATCTGTCATCGTGCCCTTGAATGCGCATTTCCCAAGTCGAAAGGATTGAGACGTGAGCGGGACATCATATAACCCATGCCTTACGGTTCGCACGAATACTGCACATGCCTCACATTTTTCGCATGCTTGTTATTACACAACTTCGAAGATAGCTCTCGTTTTCTTGTTGTTCCGGTTTGGTCTTATGTGGAGTTGCTGCTGTTATTGGTCTACATTTACCGCCGTCGCCACCACGGAGTTCAAGCCCTATTGGGCACACCACACTTGTCAGATGTCACCGTTGCATTCATGCTACCCATCACTCCCAATATCCCGTATCCCTTCACTCTACAATTCTTAACTCTTGAAGTCTTCCGAGTGTTCATCGCCTACCCTTCAGCACTTCACTTCATCCTCTCCTCGTCTCACAAGACACTTGTCGCACGCTTGCCACGGTCATCGACCAGCCATGATCTCTGTAAAGTCGATTCCGCCCTCTCGATAACAGTCTCAAGCCATGCCACCCTCCTCAGATTCAGTATCATCTACATCCCTCCCCTTCGGCGCCGACGTCCATACCCATGCCACCTGGCGCCGCTCAGGTTCGGTCCCGCGCTCTGTGCACCATAAGCATCAATCGGCCATCGACGATCAGGGTCCTCAGACATACTCCGACCTCATCGCCGACGCTCAGGCCTCCAATGATGAGTTGTCTCGCATCCCCAATGTACTAGTACCACCGAGCTCAATAAGAAGTATACCGAGGTCGTACAAGAAAGTTCTGAGGCAGCATCGCATACTGTTCTGGGTACTCATTGGGATCTTCAACATTTCACTCATCGCTTCGACCGTCGCCATCGTCCTTGGGGCCGTCAAAGCTCACCAATACGGACAGAATGATGCCAAATGCGCTGCCATCATCGTGGGAGTGTTTGGCTTCTCGGGCATGGTTGGCAGTGCCGCTGTGATTTGGCTGATTTTGACGGGCAGGAAACAGAGAGCAAGACTGGAGAGGCGCTGGGCTGACGAGGAGAGAGTGAAGGAGGCGATAGCTGTCAGGCAGCGTGAAAGAAACAGCAACATACACGATTCTATCAAGGATCGAGAGCGGTCTTTGAGCAGGAGCCGCAGTCGAGGTCGGGATCGGGATCGTGTTACGAGGCCAGCAGCAGCGGCAATACCCTCGTTCAGAGCCATGACACAAACGCCCGCATCGTCCACTCGAATACAGGATCACGATGCTATACCTTTGTCGAGAAGGGCGCGCTCCCCTTGGCCCCGCCCTATGGATGTCTCTGATGACGTTGATGACGACCCCGACAATGTTATTGACGCGGAAAACAACAAGGAAAGTACCCATGAGAATAACAGGAATTACGATAAGATTGGGAACGAGGATGAGGATGAGGATAAGCATAAGGATGAGGATGAGGACGGGGACGACGGCGCCCACGACAAAGAGGTTGAGGCTCAAGCTACGCAGAAAGTGAGGGATTCGGCCTCGACAAACTTCCTAGACCTCGACCCCTCGGACAGCGAAAACGAAGACAACAACAGAGCAGAGACCGCCGACCGACCAGACATCACCCGTCCGGAACCAAAAATCCTCTCAAAGGTCTCCCTACCACTCGACAATTCCAAACCCTTACCCCCACTCCCAGACTCCGGCCACGCCTCCCCTACGCCCCTCCCCACCAGCTCCACCTACATCAACCCCTCACCCGCAGACCCCCGGCCCGCAACCTCAGGCGCCCACGACCCCCCTCAACTCCCTCCGATCGAACAAACTCCCTTCGACCCGGCCACCGTACCCTCCAACCGCCTCGACACACGAAATGCGCACACCACCACCCCTCCCCCCCCTCCTCCTCCCACGCTCCCCCGCGGCGAAAACGGCGGCCTCGGCCCCGCGCAGTCGGACGAAAACTTCCAATCCATGCTCGACCTGGCGGAAGACGCGGGCAGCGAAGACGAAGCGGCCCGGCGGTCGCGGCGGCGGCGGGTCCGGGAGAGGGTGGAGGCGTGGGCGTGGGACGGGGGGGCGGAGCGCGGGGAGAGGGGGAAGGGGGTGCGGGAGGCGGTCGAGAGGGGCTTGGGGAGGGTGGCGGGGAGGAAGAGGGAGAGGCGGGGGGTGGGGGGGTGAGGGCGGGGGCGGGGGCGGGGGGTGTAGGAGAGGGGGGGGGGAGGGGATGCGCTGGTATTTCGTATGTGAGAGGTTGGGCGGGGTGTGATTGGGAGAGCGGGTGCTGGTGCTGGAAGGGAGGCTCTTGCTGGCTTGCGGTGCGGATGGATATCCAAACATCCATTCCATCCCGCGGACTCGAGTCTGTTGGTTTCACGATTGCACGTGTTTGCGATCTTTCTGGTGGATTCCGCGCTGGAACCGGGGATGGAAAGGAAAGGTAAGGAAAGGAAAGGAAAGGAAAGGAAAGGAAAGGAAAGGAAAGGAAAGGAAAGGAAAGGAAAGGAAAGCAAAGCAAAGCGAGGCCCGGCTCTAGGCTTCATGAACCAATCCCGATATAGAACCTGCTCTGCATCGGGTCAGTATCTATACAGTAATCGAACAAGTATTTCATCCGGTCGGAACACCGTGCGAGTCAGTCTCTCGTGTTTTCAACGTACAGCCCCAATATACATACGTGGAGTGTGAGAACGGGTTCGAGTTCGAGTTACCGATGGTGCTTCCGATAATTGTTCTGTTCTGTTCTGTTCTGTCTGAACGTGCTATGGTGATCTGCACCACTCGCTCTCTTTCTTCGGGTCCGCATTCGCGACGTATGTATGTATGTATGTATGTATGTAAAGTACAGCGGAAGATTCTTCCGTAGCTGGTATGTAAGGATGGGTGGGTCACATCTCTTTCAGGCATCCGATCGATCAACCTACCCATGCTTATTTGTGGTTCGTCAGTCGATCCCCACTGTGATGGAGCTTTGGCGCCGGAGTCCATCGTACGAGTACTTTCGTGGCTGAGACTGAGACTGGGACTGTTGGTTATTGTGCGGCTGGATTACTCTCGCTCGTTGTTGTTGTTGTTGTTGTTGGTGGTGGTGGTGTCGAAGGCGTCGTTGGAGCGTGTGAGTGGGGTTTGATTGGTCAAGTAAACCCGCAGTTGCTATACGTACCGGTAACGGACGGACCCTTCCTGCCTGAGAGAACATCGCGAGTCACGATTCTTGAGGGCTCTGGAACAGATGCTGGAAAGGAGTAGCCGCGTGGATAGGCTTGTGCTTCCATCCGCTCTACATGAGTATAATGTACGGTTCAACTCCACCTGCGCACGCTGCAGACAATTTCACTCAATCCATCAAGCGCCCCCACGTTCTTCCCGTACGCCCTCTACTCACGCACACATCGGCGTCAAGCTAACAATCGTGCCCTGATCGATAGCACAAGTGAGCGTCAACGACTCTGTCCACGGCCTATCATCTCTACTCTCAATACTCTTGAATTCCTGCATCAGTCTGATCGTCGTATAGCTAGCTTCTGTGAGTGCGAATTGCTGTCCAATGCAGATTCTTGGTCCTCCATTAAACGGTAGGTACTCCTGCTCGCTGTTAGCCTGCAAGCACCTTGATATGCGTGTGTAGCCAGAACGACTCACCCAGCCAGGCCTCAGCGTCTCCCATCTCTCAGGCTTGAATTCTTCGGCATCCTCGCCGTAGAACTCTTTTCGGCGGTGCATGGTGTAGAGAGACCATTGCACGTATTGGCCTTTGGGGATGAAGAGAGGTGATTTGCCATCCTCGCCGCCGCCGCGAGGGAGGATGGTGTCGACTTCGGCCCTGCGGGTGTTGCCTGGTACTACTGGGTAGAGACGTAGTGCTGCGATACCGTTCAGTCAGATCGACATAGAAAGCTGACAAGTCGATGCTTACATTCGTTCAGAACCCATTTCAAGTATTTCATATCCTTGATCTGCTGGAATGTCGGCTTCTCCCCTCCCAGCGCATCCACCTCCTCGCGCAGCTTCGCCCAAATATCCGGCCTCCGAGCAAGTACAAACCATGTATCGCTCAGAAGACTAGCCGTCGTGTCTCGGCCCGCTAGAAGGATGTTCATAAGCTCTGATCTAAGCTGGACTGGGTCCGTCGTCTTCTTGACCAGCTCGTACAAGAAAACGTAACGGTCATCAGCTTTTGCGTCCGTCTTCTCAAGATCGAGTGTCTTTCTGTACGCTAACCCTTTCCGGACGAACTTGTCGACGAAATCTTGGCAGTACTTCCTATCGTTCTTCGTCGCTGACCCACGAAGCCATCCTCCAATTTTGCCGGTTCGGAAAGTTTCAGCGATCGCCTCCTGACTCCTGTTGAAAGCTTTTGCAAACTCGGTGTTGTCATGGTTTGATTCTGGAGCGAGACAATTTGTCGATTCGCCGAACAAGAACTCCGTAGCTGAATCCATTGTCAACATGAAAAAGAGATCCTGCAGGTTGACGGTCGAACCATCTTTGGGAATGGCTTTGATAAGTTGATCGATATGGATATCGAAGGTGGTGAGGTCGCCGACTTGGCTGCGGACGAAATTGGGGCGCAGGAGCTCGCGAGAATTATGCCAGGCGGCGCCGTCGGTGGTGAAGATGCCATGGCCAAGAAGAGGGACGAAAGCGTCTTTTCTGCGCTTTCCCAGGCCCCAACTTTTGAAATCCAAGGCTAAAATGGTCTTGATGTTCTCGGGTTCATTGGTTTGCATGAGGTCAGTGAAGATGAATTTCATGTGGGTGTTGTTTCCAATTCTCAAGAACCGGGCTCTGTTATGAGCCATCAATCGATGCTCCTGGGCGGCTTTTACATTCCCCATGAGCGCCTTGATGCCGATTATGTTGTCGGGGAATGAGTTGAGCTCGGGACTGTGTTTCATGGGCTTGCAGCCATGCTCTTTGATCATGGCACGGCGAGATGCGCCGATGGTGAGCTCCCAATGGATGTAGTAGAGGACGTAGATGACCAACGGACCGAAAAAGACCTGGATCAGGCCGGGGAGCGCGAATGAAGCCATATTGGCCGTAGATAGGTGTGAGGTCAAGAAGAAAGGCGTTTTCTGTTTAGCAATGAGTGCAGTGTAGGGAAGAAGCTGGAGAAAAGTGTCTCGCAGCCGGTCTTCGCTCTCTCCTCTACCGAGTACAACGTGCTGACTTAGGCTGAACAACGCCAGATGCGAGCCTCGTGGCGCTATGGTGAGTGGGAGAAGTACTTTCAAGCAGGAAATCAAACACAAAATTGGTGCGTATACAATTGAGAAGTATATAATCCGCGAACCAGTGTTGCGATAGTCGAAGGAAAGCAAGAGAATAATGATGCTGCGGACATGGAGAATGATGGAGTGTCCGTAGACCGGAGACGACGAGACACACGGAGTCTTACATGTATACCATTAAGGCTATCTTCCTCTACTCTACTACTCCAGAGGCTGCAAAAGCAGGATGCGAGGAAGTCTCATGGCCGCGAGTTGATGCCAGCTGAACTGGGTACCGAGATACCTAGGACTCAAAGGCGTGCCATCTCCGACACTACGGACGTAAGCTAAGGTACTGCTACTGATCTAGTTCTCCCAGTCATGCCAAACGTTGCTTTCTTTTCAAATCTCCTACTCTACTTTATCTTACTTGTACCTACCTTCTGACGTTCATGCAATCAATTTCAATTTTCAATTTCCATGCAGAAATGGATGAAGCAATGAGGGGTCAACCATGAGGCGGCACATGAGACCTGCTTAACTCCGTAAAGTATGCCAAGCAGCCAAGGGGAGGCGACAGAGTGAGCCAACTTATTGAATCATGCTCTGATTGGTCTTGATTGGCTTAGCGGCACCGTGCGACCAGGAAAAGCTCGGCTTTCTTTGGGCTTGGTCCCCGGGCCTAGGCCAGTCAGCCGAGGTTGGTGTTTGGACCTAGGACCCCATCGTCTCATTTGGTGGGGGGGGGGCCACGCCCTGAAACATAATAATAATGGCCAACCGCGCCAGCATTGATCAAGTAGAGCACTTCCTGCAGTTCGGCCTTCCCGGTGGGATCCTGGGCATGGGAGCACATGGCATCCCGGAGCGGGCATCATCTAAGGTATCATCCGAGCGATTGCTGCAGGGGACATCGGCCGTATAGGAAGGTAGGATTTCGGCCGTAAGACAAAAAAGCAAGGTATCCTTGATTGCTCTGTTGTGTGTTTTCAATTTTCCGCTGGCCGGGGTTCATGCTGATGAATTTCTACTCGCTCGGAGAGAAACACCAACCACATGGTTCTTCCGAGCGAAGAAAAGCAGGTATATTGCATGATCGAATCTCCAATGCATTGCTTGAGAATGAGTCCACTGCATTGACGCAAGAGAACAGTCCCGCTGTTTGGGTCTGTTTTTCAAAGGCATACGCCTCGCTGACGGCATCCCATAGCCTGACTTGGTCGAAGATCCTCCAGTGGCAACGGCTTCCCCAGCTGTCCTCCCGCATCCCTCCGAACCTCCAAGTTCCCCAACCGAGTACATCCATTCTGCTATCACAATGGCACCCACTCCCTATCGCCCACGTGCGGAAGTCTGGTGGCTTCGTTGTCCATTTCGCGCACTCCGAAAAGTAGGTCTGCATCCACTGGGCTAATCATCCGCGCGCCTTGCGACCACCTGGGCGAATTTTGAGATATTGAGGGAATTCCAGGTTTTGGTAACGGCCATGTGATGACTCGCAAATGGAAAAAAGTCCGAAGTAATCTTATTGCGTGATATCTGCGAAGGCCAGTCGGAAGATGATTGAACAACCGATGGGATGCTGGGGTTGCAGCCTTACCCAATCATATCGTTGCGGCCGTTGTATTTCGGCCATAGCAGGATTTTGGATAAAGCGTTATAGGCTTTGACGGCCTCTGAATGATCGATACCGCTGGGATGTTCGATGCAGTGGTAGGCCAAGTAAGCGAAACGTGCGATTCGGCCATGATAAATATCCATACTTCTTGGCACCAGGTCCGTTGCGTTCTGCAGTGTGCAGGCAAATTTCACATAAAATCCCGCAAGAAGAATTGGCAGAAAGTAGAACATCCTCACTGAATGAATGCATAACTTAGCAACCTGATCTCCGACCAATTCGTCCATGTACTAGTACAATAAACTCGCATCGTGTCCGACATCCTGTACACAGATCCGCCGACTTCACGAGCCAAAACAGCATCATACCTTCATACTCCCTTCCCCTCCCCCCAATCACCCCCGCCCACCGCCACCAACCTCCCCACTCCCCTCCCCCGCCTCAAACCTCCTCCCGGCCTCCAAATCCGTCACCCCCTCGATCCGATTCCCGCACCAATAATGCCCCGCGCTCGCCCTCCCCAGCGCCGCCCCCGCCTCCCCCCCCAACACCTCCCCGTCCACGCTCCCCGTCGCGACCTCCAGTTCCCCCGCGCTCCCCTCGCTCCGCCACGTCAGCGGCGACCCGCACGTCGCGCAGAACCCCCGGTGGCGGCCCGGGCTGGCGGAGTACTCGGCGAAGGCGGGCAGGTCGGCCGGCGAGGCGGTTTTTGCCGGCACGGCGGGGGAGGACCAGAGGAGGCGGGAGGGGGCGGTGTCGATCCAGGCGGTTAGGAGGGCGCCGCTGCGTTTGCGGCATTGGGTGCATTGGCATGTGTGGGTCTTTTTTTGTGTTTGTCATTCGGTAAGTATGTAACTTTCCTTTTTTTCTACGGGCGTGGGAGAGCGGGGATGGATGGGCGTCACCTTGGGGGGCCAGCCGGATGGGCCGCCGAGGTTGAGTTCGTAGCGGATGGCGCCGCAGAGGCAGCCGCCGGTGATGGTGGTGGGTGGAGGCATGGGTGAGGGGGTCGGAGTGTGCTTTTGGGGTTTGAAAAGGGTTTTTGTTGAATGGTCTTACGAAAGGACTGTAGATACTTTGGGTGGCAGAGCCCCGCCGAAAATGAAATTATTATCAGTAAGCGAAGTGGTTTTTCTTTTTCCTTCTTTTTTCTTTCATTCGATTCTGTATGCAGCCTAAGGCTATGCCAACTGTGAAGAACTTACAAAGGCCTAGTTCAATAGACCAAGGCACCGTGTGATTAACATACCCCCGTATTCTCATAGATCTGATTGTCCTCCGTTTTATCACGTAGAGTATCCCTAGTCGTCCTTACAAGTATAGGCCTTCGACTTCTTTAATGAAAAGATATCATTCGACGCCCTCGAATTTCCTCTCTGTCCTATGATCATCCTCTAAAAAGTCATAACCAGATAGCCCCGTATCCATACATGTGGCCAGCGTGCCAGCCAAGTATCACTTGACATGGTTCGGTGTAACATTAAACCGCTTCACTGCCAAGAGTCTTGGCGTGAAATATGTACTCGTGCGTTCGAGAAGTGAGCTACTTGATAGAGCGAGGACACCAGTAGATCAAGCGACATCCCACTAAGTAAAAAGATCTATTGGTGTCCTCGCTCTATCAAGTAGCTCACTTCTCGAACGCACGAGTAGAGAGATGGCGCGGCCACGACGACGATAACAACCTGTGTATGGCGGAGCTTTGGCACTTGGACGTGAGCTTGTTGTTGTCATCCTGTGTAGGAGAACAGCCACTGCGACGTACGCTTTCGATTCTCGTGACGTGGATTTCCCCTAAGCAGGATCAACCGGCCGTTTTCCTCGCCGTATCGCCCATTTACTTAGAGGCTTCTGCACTTGATCGACGAGTAGGCCACGTCGTGCCCGTTTGGGGCTTTGCGGGCGTGCGCATCGCTGCAGCGATACACGCTGCCAACGCGAGGCTGGGCCGTAGCTGCTATCGAATGCAGGACTTCGTGGGGTGGTTAATACTGGTCACGAGCATTGCGTACAAGTGCTACCCAATTGCTGGTGACCAGGCAGTGTATAGGTGGTACAAATCAGGTCTGGACGAGATTCCAATCAGGTACTTTTACTCGTGAGAGAGGGCGAGATCGTTCCAATGGTTAACGACAAAAACAATACTTACTCCTGTTAAGGAGTCGGCAGCGTAGGTAGCTTCGTTGATTCGGTAAATTCAAGGCACTGCTTTTAGCTTAGGTGTAAGATACTCCTTTCCGGGTAGTAGAATAACCGCCGCAGATGCGATCACGAGCGTATTCAAGCGTTAAAGTGATGTTTTACGGTACCAAATAACAGTATTGGACGAATCTACTGAACCAATCATTTCGACAAGGCTCTTGTTTTGAACTCCAAGTACCAGGAATACATACTCCACGAAGCTATCGACCAACAAAATGGCTCCGCAAAACAAAATCTGGAAGAAGAAGCCGACGAAGGATGGGCGAAATGCGAGGCAGCGCCGAGCAGGTCTAAAGCGGGCCGCCCAGCTTGCAAGCGGTAAGCACATGTATTCATCCGTGTAAACAGAGAGCTCCGCAGCTCGTTCTCACGAAGGCCTATGCTGACAAGGCACCCCGGACCACATCTTACTGCCGTTGCAACCGCCCTTCAAAACCGAACCTTCACCAGCCGAACCGTTGGCTTAATTACAACCTTGGGGCTGATGACGTTCGTGGGGGCTAGAATGAGTTCTGTTGGGGGTTCAAATGGGACACTCAGTTGTGCGAGCGCGTGAATAGAGAGAGGGTCGATGCTAGGCGTGCTGCCGGGGTGGGACCGGAGGCGGGGATGAACGATTGGTAAGCGCTTATCCTGTCAGGCAAGCTTGCAGAGAGACCTCCAGTCTGAGAGGGTGGCTGCGTTGTCCTTGACGTCGAGTTAGGGTATTATGCCCAGAAATTTTGTCGTTCACGATCAATATTGACTTGAAATTTGAGTGGTAATAGCCAACAGATTCCTCGTTGATGTTGATCCCGTCGACATTTTAAGAATATGTACCGCTTCGAATGTCATTATCTCTGGCACTTTACTTGACATCTGTGTCCTTGAAGGGCATGCTGACTTGAAAGTCTGATTAGGTTTGGTCAGGCTGTCACTGGAAGTATTGCCGGTGCCGGTGATGGCTCTGGGGTCGGGGCCGAGGTCGAGTAGAAAGGAGGAGAGACGATGGAGCAGGAGGTGGAGAATGAGGAGGGAAAGAAGCGGGAGGATAGGAACGAGGATAAGGGAGAGATCTCCCATTGCATTTCGGGTGTAGAGCATGGAGTGAGTGGTCTCGGGCTTTAGCTTGGGATTCAAACCCCATCAAAAGCCTCTCCTGACAAGCAGTCTTAGATTCACCACGCAAAGCAAAGGCAAAGGCATAGTCTCATCAGTCACTGCAAAGCAGATGGTTTCTGAATACCTATGCGCTGATTTACTGCGAGTGCATAATTATCGGGAACGCAACGCAGAATTTGAATCTCAACGGAGGACGGAAGTGACCTCGCTCATGCGTTCCGGTCTCATGAGATCGCCATCCGCGGCCTAGGTCATCCAACCTGGCATAGACTGGCATGATAACTCGAGGTTGCGAGGCTGATCGAAGCATGAATCCACTCCAAGCGTACACGCAACCAATTCCACCAGATTCACCAGACGCGTTCAGTAAGAAGTCACCGACCGATGATGGAGGAATAATGGAGAAGCACTAGAAACTTTCATGAGACGTCGTTGGAGAAAACGGTAGAGATTTTTCAGCTGACAAATTTCTTGCTAAGACACCAGGATAACCAGGTGTGATCATTTTGGCTTGCTTGCATTCCAAGGGTTCTCTCCGCTCAGGTCTTCTTTTATTCTGGGGTAACTGTGGCATTGGATGGCACGTCTTTCTCAGCAGGATTGGCGCTCGCCAACTGGAGTCTCTACGAACCAAAAGAGGACAAGACGATACATGTTGTCAGTGCCCTTGCAGCACGAGATGAGCCACCCGGCGAATGTCACCTTCGCCTAGCCATACTCCTAAACCCTTTTCCTCGTCCCGACTCAGACGGTGTGCCCAAAACCTCGAATGGGACTAGTGGATTTCCTAAAGTTTTGCGTAATTCAACGGTCGCGGTGTGCCTAAAACCTCAAATGGGACTAGTGGATTTCCTAAAGATTTGCGTAATTCAACGGTTGCGGTGTGCCCAAAACCTCGAATGGGACTAGTGGATTTCCTAAAGATTTGCGTAATTCAACGGTTGCGTGGTAAAGTATTGTCAGGGAATGAACCGTGTATCGAATAATGATATTAGGGCCAGTTCGGTAACCACATATTTTGAAAATAACCCCTACTTATTTTCACTAAATAACGCCACCTCTTGGCAAATGAAAATATGGCTTAAAAATAACACTAATTTATTTTCAAAATATGTAAAATATATATACGGTTCCGTTCGGTAACCCTGTTTCTGAGGCTGAGTCAGAAACGTCGCAAAAAAATTGAGAAAATCATCTTCTTTATCAGTAACCATTAAATTTCTACCATTCCACGTTATTATGGCGGAGACACCTGCTACTACTGCTATATAGGCTTTAACTATTATTGATACTTTTATTGCCCCCTTATTGTTATTGCCATTGATGTCCCCTGTTAGTGTCCCTGCTAGTGTCCCTGCTGGTGTCCCTGCTGGTGTCCCTGCTGGTGTCTCTACTGGTGGGGTTAGGGTTAGGGTAACCTTAATACTTATATGTATATTAGTTACGGATGTCCATTATTTTAGCGTGCTTAGCCTTCTTTTGCCAAAAAACAAGGCTCGAGGCTTGTTTTTCAGATATTTTGAAAATATATTCTGAAAATATGATAATCGAACGATACCCTGTATCTATATGACGCTAAGTTGAAAATAAGTAGGGGTTATTTTCAAAATATGTGGTTACCGAACTGGCCCTTAGTGGTGTCATATGAATGGAATATTAACTATGAAGGTTGCTAAGTAACATGTGTGCCGAAGTCATCAGAGTGCCAAGCCGCCAAGGAGCTAGCCCGAATGGAGCCTAGCGCAAGTCTGGAGAAGGAATGCCGGTTGAAACCATGACAAGTATGTATGGACGGGATGAGAACAGGCAAAGTCTAGGGCAGAGGAGAATGATGATGCCTCAGAACGAGAGCGGGACACGGCTGAAGCATGTCTTAAACGAGTGTGCGACAATGATGAATGTTGCGCCTGCATCTGGCCCCCCGCCCGGCCCTACTCAACTCATCCTGCTACGTACCTACATACAAACACTGCGCCCTCGCTTGCTTCTCAGAATACAGCCGTAGCTGTGCATCCATCCCCGGCCATGTACACACCATACAGCAAATGTTTCCACCGAATCGGAATCATCACCCATTCTCTACGGGACTCGCTTAACAAGCGACAACATGACAAAGACGATCGCTTTGCCTACATAACAACAACAATGATAACACTAATAATAATAATAATAATTTGTAAGCACTTGGCTCGCTCGCTCGCTTCGCCCCACCAACAATCATCAACAGCCGCAAGCTTTCTTGCAACGGCTGCAAGGAAACCCGGCGCAAAGGCTTGGTCTGACTGATAAATCACATCTGACAACGCGCACTTTTTACCCGGCAAGCGAGCGAGGCGGTTTTAATTATGGCCCCGACTGCAAGGTTCGTGCAAAGTGCTAGGAACCCGGTTCTACTTCATCACATCTTACGAGTCACAGCGTGTAGATTTTGAGTTTCATCTCATCTCATCTAGCTCTGTACTTTTTTTGCTTGACGCACGGTAGTATTGTTTGTTGATGTGTTGTTTCTGCATTGATATCGGTGTTTTGGACGTTTCATGCCGGGGGGTCGCCAGGGCAGGGGTGGATTCACGATTGTCGGTCTGGCGGGGGGGGGTTTTTTGGGGTTTTTCTTTTCAAATTTTCCTTCACTTCTTTTTTTTTTTTTTTTTGTTTTTGGTTTTTGGGGTGCGGGGTCTTTCGGCCTTTCTTCTTT